TAAACGGTTATAAAAAATTTTCATTTCATGAAAATGGAAAAAAAGAATAAAAACCCCTTTTTTTTGAAGTCCCGTATATAAATAAATAATTTCTATTATATCCAAAAAGAGAGAAAAAAGTTTTTTTTAAAGAAACTAGAAAAATTTTCCATGATTTCAATTTTGGAAAATTTTCAAAAATTAATTTAAAAAAATAGGTTTTTTAAATTCGACTCAGAGAAACAATCGAAAAAGCGAAAAAAAAATTCATTTTCGAAAATTGGAAAAATAGGAAAAAATAATTTTCTGCTTGTCATTTACTATCAGGACATTGCACTTTCATTTGTGTACACAGAAATAAAAATGTTTAGTAGTTTGTGTGCTAGAGGGGAGTGTGTTTACCCCTCAGAAGTGCAACGTACTTTCGGGGCAATAGACGAGAACGACGACATATGTCACTTTTGATGATGACGGCTGGTTATAGGCGAGTTCTTGGCAACTTTTAGAAAATTTTCTAGAGATCCAAATGTTAAGATAAATAAATGAAATTCAAACAAAATATATTTAAGAAAATTCATAAAATAGCAGATGTCAAATTACTCCGCAACTTTGAAATTTCGAATTAATTAACCCAGCAAAAAAAAAATATTAATAAGCTTAATTTTATAATTAATCTTAATTTTAGTACCACAAAAAATTATATAAAATATTCAAATAAAATAATAATAATAATAAAAAATAAAAAAAATTAAATCTATTTGAAAATTCAAATAAAAAAATATGTTACAAGATTTCTTTTTATATATTGTGTGACAAAAAACAAAAAGAAATTTAAATTAAAATCGAAAATAATAAAAAAAAAAAACCCTGTATTAAGTTTCTGAAAAAGGTTCGCAAAATTAAAATAAAAAAAAAAAAAAAAACAATAGAAGAATTTTTTCTCCAACTCGGAACTGAAATACCGGAAGCGTGAGACATATTATAAAATATAAATATAGTCAATGTGATTTAACCTTTGCGCGAAAAAAAAAAAATACGAAAGAAAGTGGTAACTCGTTAAAGCAGGTATAATTTTTCACACACTGCTCTGGTTAAATTCACCTGGTGCACACACATACAATAATCACGGTATAAGAGAACCCCCAAAAACTTTATATATATATGTATATAACGGACCGAAACCGAACAGTAGGGACATTTAAAAGTTCAGATTTTTACCCGTCTCTTTAAATTCGAAGATGACGACCAAGACAGTTGGGGTATATATATATATATATATATATACCGGTGAAGAAAAGGGGCCAAGAGGGGAAACATTTAAAAACTAAGGCAAAAAGAAAGAAGCGGGGGGAGAGGGGGGAAGAAGAGTCGAGAGGCGGGACAAGATTCGCAAAAGAACTTGCTTTTCGATTTTTTCTTTTCTTTCTTTTTTTTTTTTAAATCCCTAGAGAGTTCTTTAAACTCTTTGCACATTCACTTTCTTTTGATAAAAATCTCACTCCTTATCGAATCGCGCACATTTATTATTATTATTATTATGAGAAAAAAAATTAATATTTCGAATCATTCTAGAAATAATTTTATATACTTTCAATTCAAGAAAATTTCCCACCGAAAATGTAAAAAAAAAAGAGGAAATCATTAGAAAAATTGAATTAGAGAAGTATAAATAGAAAAAAAAATTGGAGAGGAAATAAATCGAAAAGGGGGAAATAGAAAATATATCCACCTGTTTCCAAAATGTAAAGAATATTATAAAAAAAAAACCTTCGGAAATATGAAATTAATGAAGCAATTTATACAAGGGCTGTGAAAGTGTCAAGGGAAATAACGTTTCCAAATGGTGTGAAAAACTAACACCGGAAAAACGATATATTCTAAATTTAAAAACATAATTTTTTGTCTCTTCAAAAATAATAAAATTCATGCCTATTATTTTTACAGTTGTAGAATAAATTAATCATAAAGAATAATTTTTAAATTAAGAAAATTTTGTAAAAAAAAAAAATAAAATATTAAAAAAATTAAAAATATTTTGTATAAATAAATATTAATTAATAATAATAATAATAATAAGTAATTAATAAATATTCTTATTTTCAGAATATTATTAAAATTTTAATTTTTTTTTATTAATTTGTTATACAAATACACCGAAAAATAATTTGATTTAAATAATCGGTTGCTTTATTATCAAATAAATATTTATTTAATTATTATTTGTGTCAAGTAAATGGTATTTATTTCAAATACAGAAATTATTTGATTCAAGTAAATATTTATTTGATAATAGTCAAGTAACCGATTATTTGAATTAAATAAATTTTTTTTCAGTGTATGTAAGAAGAAATTGTATGAATTATTAATAATAATAATAATTAATAATAATATATAATTAATAATAATAATAATAATAATAATTTATTTATTATTAATTAATATTAATAATTAATTTATTATTATAATTATTTATTATTATTGTATAATATTCAGTAAATAGAAGGGAAAATTATATCTAAAACACTGAAATATTTCGATATTCCAGTTAAAATTATTCCTGTGAGGAACTAAAATTTTTGTCTTTTTAGAATATTTTTTTGATGACTAAAAAATTAATTTTGGACTTCAAAAAAAAAAACCATGAAAATTTGATATTGTCAATTTTTTCCTATAGTATACGAAATTGATCTTTTTTTTTTAAAAAAAAAAAAGCGTGCTAAAAACCTTTTTCTACCTAATAGCGAGTTTTTGCGAACAGCTGATTTCATAACGGTTTCAGACTCAAGTAAGAAAGGTAGGTCAGTGCCCCAGGAGGGCTCAACGCACCCTTATATATATACATATATGACTGAGAGCACGAGCCCCATAACTAATACACATTTCATTCTTTACAAATATACATGTCTGTGTGAGCCTCGAATACTTTCACGGGTCATACATTTTTCAAATAAAAAAAAAGAAGAGATTTTTTATATAAATTTTTTTTTTTAAACAAAAAAAAATTAATATAACGAATATTTATGGTCCATTATTCATAATAAGCGTATAATTTTAATATATAATCGTAATTTTATTATTTAAAAAAATAATATGTAATAATAATAACAATAAAAATATTAATAATGTCCCGTTTATAAATAAATAATAAATAAAAAAATTAGTAATGTCCAAAAATTATTATTTTTTTATAGAAAAAAATTATAAATTTAAAAAATTTAATTATTAAATTAATTTTTTTAATAAAAATATTTTTCAACATTTTTATTTAAAAAAAAAGGAATAAAAATATTTTCAACATATTTTTATTTAAAAAAAAGGAATAAAAATATTTTCAACATTTTTATAAAAAAAAAAAGGAATAAAAATATTTTCAACATATTTTTATTAAGAAAAATGTAATAATGCCTATAATTAATTTTCTACAGACTTTCAAAATTAGTTGTAAAATAAAATTGAATAATTATTTTTATATAAAAAATTAAACTCCTATTAGAATCCCCCCCTCTCTCTCGCAGACAGTAGAGAGATGAATATAATAGAAAAGAGGGAGCACCTAACGTAAGGGCAGGTGAACACCTGGTCCAACCCTGGCACGAGCTACGCGCAATTCAAATCCCAAGGGGTGCTCAAACCACTTCAGGCAAAAAATTGCTCATACATAATAAATTTGATTCGTGAAAAAATTATTGGGGTGTCGATTGATTGAATATATAATCACAAAAAGAAGAAAAAGAAGAAGAACAAGAACCCTTTCTTAAAACAAATTTTTCAAATGAATTTCAAGATTAATGCGCGCAATTAGTTTTCGTTGGTCACTATCATTAATTTTCAAACCCCTTTTTACTATTGTGTCTTCTCATTTTGTCCGCACATAAATTAATCGCAATTAATTTTCCTGCTATAAAAATGATGACAAACGCATTTTTATTATTTTTTTAGTATTTTTGTAAACAAAAAATTTACAACTTTGTTAATTAATTATAAAAATAAATAATTAATTTCTGAATAAATCTATGTGTAATTTAATTCCTAATAATAAATTAATAATTAATAATTAATAATATAATAATTTTATATATAATATATTTCATAAAATTAAATAAACTAGTATAAAAAAATATTTTAAATAATTAATTTGAAATACTAAAAAATAATCTCTTGATACTATTAATTTTGTTCAATATATTAAATAGTATAATTTCTTTTGGGATAAAATTTGAATATATTACCTAATAGAAAAAAAAAATTAAGAGCCGTTTTTTATAAATATATAAAACCACTTGAAATTTAATGTAAATCAATAAATTATGAATTTACCATGGAATAAAGAATGAGAATCGCTGAATTTTTAAGGCATGTGTGTATACATAAATAATCAAAAGCAGACGCCAGGGAAAGATTTCAAGATTCAAGGCCGGGGGAATCCCTCGGTTCACACCCCCGGACCCATCTCCCCACTATATATAGTGATGTTAACCCGTCCCAAATGGCGAGGCACGTTGGGGCCTCAAATTTTTAACTACTTTGACAAAAATTAATCTCATTTTTTTTTTATTGCTATTTTAAACTAATTTAAAAATTTTTAATTGCCATTATTTATTTTTTTTATAATTAATTAACAAATTGTTGAATAGAATATTTAGTGTTAAAAAATATATAAATTTGAATAAACATTTTTTAACCTAAATTTTTAAGTCTCATTATAATTATGGTTAAAATTTCCAAATGATAAAATTTTTTACTGTCATCTAAATTCTAACCGCTTTCAAAGAATATATATAAGATAACGGCAATATCGTTGCGAAACTCATTTTAATATAATATTATAATTGTAATCGTGACCCTGAAATTCCAAACGTTCGTGTGAACGAATTTTTCTATTTATTTAAAAAATTAATTTAACACTTATTCACATTTTAATTGCCATAAAAATTTGTCATAAATTTTTTTCAAAATAGTGTTTTTAATTTAATAAATTAAAATAATAAAACTATTTTTTTTCCAAATGTGCAAAAACTCACCCTTCAATTTTTCCGCACTCTTTCCATGACGTTTCTGTTGACTTTTTGGAGAATCATCCGATGACAATGTAGAATTATTCAAAGCACGCACAATATTTGTAATCGGAGAAAAAAATGCTACTGGAAAATTTGACTGCCTCACAGGAGGCTCATCGACTTCAATGATTTGTGGTAAAAATGATTTTGGTTGAATTGACATATTTCACGATTTAAAAATGAAAAATTTCTAAATACCAAACAAACTTCACGAAACTTAAAAATCACGCGTTACGCACGAAACAAAGAAATTTTAAAAAAAAATTTAAACTACTGAAAAACTAAAATAATTATAATTATTTTTTTCAATTAAATAATTAAGTACCAAATATTAATTAATAAGTGTTAATTATTAACCGTAATTTCCGTTTTTCAAACGACACTGAATTTAAATTTAAAAAAAAAAACTTCCAAACACTTCAAGAGGTTAAAATGTTTCATGAAACATTGATGAGAATTAAAATCAGGAGCACTGATTTGCTGTTCATCAGCATTGAGCAATCTGAAACAAAAATATTACAATTGTTTATAAAATATTTATATTATAACTTAAATTTGCTTAATAAACATAATTTAAATATTCTTTTTCAAAACAAATATTATAATAAATAATTAAATAATTATTATTCATAAAATAAATAATTTTTGTTATAAATAATATTGCAATGAGTTAATAAACAATAAATAAATATTATTATAAATAATCACATTAAAAAAATAAGTAAAAAATAATAAATATTTGCAATTAAAATCATATAAATTAATCCTGAGGCAAAAATTTTTACTTATCAATTTTAAATCACTCATACGAATCTTTTTTTTTTTTAATATATAACTCTTGGAATTATTAGTTGTAAATGATGAGAAATAAAATTGAAGAATGGCTATAAAACGAACTTTAAAAACCAGAGCGAACTAGAAGGAACGACTATACGATAAAGACTGACGAAATGGTTTATATTAAGTGGAATGTGGTACTGTGCGAATATTTGTGATAAGTATAAAGACTCACTAACCGTCATATGAATGGTCCTTGTATAAGAAGCTCATGTATAGAAAGAAAAAAAAAACAGAGAAAATAATGTACAGAATGATAACCGATTTTTTTTTCACTATTGCACACCTTTTACTTTTTCTTCATTCATATAAAAACTTCCTTCTCTCTTTAAATATATATATATAAGAGATAAATAAAACCAAATAAAATTCACTTTCATTCAAGTACAAGGTCAATTTTAAATTTAGTTTTTTTAAATTTAATTTATAGATAAAAAAAAATAATAATAATTAAAAATGATAATAATAATTTTATTATAATGCAATAATAATAATAGTTAAACTAAATAAATAAAAGTTAACATTTATTTATTTATAAATATTTAATGTTTTGCCTTATATTTCAAAGAACAAACAAATCTAAAAAAAAAATGTAAATAAGTCCGAAATTATTAGAACAATTAATATTTACCAATTCTTTAATTCACATATTCAAAATTAAACCTCCCACATTTAACGGTCAACAGCTAATATTGTGCACAGACTGCGTTATAATATATCTCCCCAGGAACGTCTCTAAAAATATTCTATCTTAAATTTGATTTTAATTTTAATTTATTTATTTAAGATAAAATTATTCAAAATTTGTAAATTTTTATAATTCTTTAATTTTAACTGTATTTCTACTATGAATTTTAATTTAATAATAATTGATTAAAAAATACTCCAAAATAGTTTTGTTTTTGTAAGAAAATAAATAAAAATTTGTTATTCATCAAAAAAATATTATGCTATCATCAATTATCAATTTTAATAATTATTATTAATAATTATTATTAATAAAATTATAACCAAAAAAAAAATTCGAAGTCATTTTAATTATTTTAAATAAATGTGAAAAGAATTGGAAATTTTATAGACTTTTTTTCATTTAATTTTTCAATTATTTATAAAAAAAAAAAAAAATTAACAACAGGGCCCTTAAATAATTGTTTCCTTGCCTATATATAAAAACGGTTTCATATACACAATTTTTTTTTCTCACTCTCATATTTCAGGAACGAACGGGTAATGTGACCCTAGATTACTCACTACAGTTGTTTTACTCGAAATTTGAGATTTTTGGGCAGTTACTACTAAATCAAATATATATTACAAATTTCGAACAGATGGCAATCGTTTCAAATAGATTTTTTTATTTTTAAATAAATTTCTATCTCAATTTCACAATAAACTATACTACATAAATGAAAATTTGTTTATAATTATTTTTTTTCTATTGTAATTGAAATACAATTTCAATATTGATAGCGAAATAAAAAAATTATAATAAAAAATCCAAAGCCAAAATACTTTTTAAAATAAACCCCTATGTAATTATGGTAAATACACTACTGATTAATTTTTAAATTGAAAAATTTCCCAGTTTTTAAAAAATCTTTTCGAACAATTTGCAGAAAATAATTTTAATTCAATTTTTCATTTCTAACCTCAATTATTATTAACTCTACAACATTTATTTTTTCCCCTAATTGAATAATAATTACAATTAGACAAAAAAAAACCTAATTAGAGATTTATAATTATCTCACGAAACTAAAACAATTAACCAAATTTTCTATTCATTTGAAAAATTTAGAAAGCAAAAAATCAATTCCGATTAATATAAAGGTATATAGATCATATTTCGTATTTTAATAAAACAAATAAAATTATATTTATTTCGCATATCATTAAAATTGAATTTTCTTTTAATATATTTCACTAAACAATCAACAACAATGAATCACACAATGACACTAATTAGTTAATTATCCCTGAATAACCAAATATTACCTGTATGTCACATTAGTCCTTTGGACACAAAATCAATTAAAATTTATGAATAGGTTAGAAATTCCTAAATTACAGATAATATTCTTCAATTTTGGAAATTTACCAACAAATAATGAATTATTTTCTTTTCCAAAATAAAAACTGAGAAAAACCCTAACCTTGGCCACGTGCATTGCAATGATTGATATCATTTATTCTCGAAAGAAAATCATTCATCTCGTAATAAAACGCAATTATATCTAAATCAATATTAAATTTCTCGATATTCTATTCTATCTGATAAAATAAATAAACTTTGAAATAATAATGAACTTTCCAGAAAAATAAAAATAGAATTTGATTGACGAAATTTGTTAAGAATATCAAAAGGGAAAATTTAATTATTCTTACCGATAGTATGAATAAATTAAGCAAGTCTCCTGTAGAAATCCAGGATGGTTTGTCAAAAGACTAAAATTTGTTTAATCATCACTGATAACAATAACTATCAAAAATCCAGCACCCTGCCGGTCAATGACTTATATATTGATTGTGGAAAAAATGCCCCCAAGCTAGACAATTAACCGCCAAAAATAAAAACAATGAACATCAGCGCCATCTATATCTCCATAAAGCGCGCGAAATTACTATTTAAATTCAAATATCCATAAAATTTAACTTTTTAGTATTAAAAAATAAAAATACACAAATTTTTTTAATACTTTAAGTAAGAAAAACCAAATAATGAAATTGATAATAATAAAATTAACAAAAATATAAATATAAATATAAATATAAATATAAATAAAATATAAATATTTTCATATAAAATATATGAAAATAAAAGGAAACAAAAATTATTCAGTGATAACGGAAAAATGAGAATTTATTTTATTTTTAATTAAAGAATTATTTTTGAATAAAAATAAGAAATTAATGACAATAAAAAATAATTGTTAAATTTTAGGTCATGTTTGCGCTACAAAAAGCGCAAAAATCTTTTAAAAATTCACTTAAAGAATATTTTTCAAAATACTAAAAGTGATTTAAATATTTTTTTAAATTGTCATTTTTGAAAAATATCGTCTTATCAATAAATAATTTATCACTAAATTTTACAAAAACTTTGTTATTATAAAAATTCTAATAGCAATTAAATTCTTTAAATAATATTCTCAAATTTCCCAAACACTAATTGCTGAAAATAAAAGAAAATTATTACCAACAATGAAAAAAAAACTCATCCATTGATATTTATCATTCAATAATAATCAATTGCACAACGAAATAAATAATTCATATCAAATATAATAAAAACCAATTATAAAAATAAATGTACTTAAGAAAGATTTGAAGAAATTTTATGAAAATAAATCTTTCTACAATTTTTTTTTATTAACGTATTTTTTAAATAAAAACTCATAAACAATTTTGATTAAATTACAATTAAAAATTAATCAAATCTTTCTTTAGCCATTAAAAAAAAAAAATAAAATGAAAAATGTCGAAATTTTGTTCTGTCAATTATTAAAATAATAATAAAAATACGGATTCATTCATTTCAATCTTGCATTCTCAAAGAAATTATTTAAGGAGCTTTAAAGGAATAGAACATGTCTTTGAAAAACGCGATTTATATAATTTATTATTGTTGATAAATATATATATATAATATATATATATAAGTAAATTTTTCCTCACTATTATTCACAACATATTACTTTCTTTTTCCTGTACAACCAGGAATAATAACATTCGGTTAGTATTAAATAACTCTCGTTGGTCCCTAACTTAGATATTTATATTATCCCAATAAAAAATAAATGTAAGGCACAAGTCGTCAGTTAATTAAAATATATTGGCATAACTCGAAGCTTGAATACGAATTTTTGTGATAAAAAAAATATTCTAAATCTGTGATAATAGTTGCCAATTTCTTGTTTTTTCTATCACAATATTATTTCTCTCTCACGTTGCACTGATTTTTTTTTTTTAAGTTATTAAATAGTCGAAATATCTGTATAAAAAATACAATATCACTTTGTTAATACTCTTAAGTCATTAATACTTTCCATACGTTAATATTCGATTCTTAATTAAAAAAGAAAAAAAAATGCAATTAGAAAATATTTTTCATTTACGTAATAAAATTTCAGTCTAATAATCAAATTATCTCTAAAAAAATTATGTTAAGTTGTATTTTTTTGTTCAGAATCAATTATTGGATTAACATGATTGATTTGAGCGATTCTTTGAAATGGCCTGGAAGACATTATATAATTGCTTTTTAAAATGGTTGTTTGTAAATTTTTTGGTTTTGGTGGAAGTGGCGGTGGTTTCGACAATTTAGACGGTGAAATAGACGCGAAAGTAGCGCCAAATATATTATTTTGATTATTATTTAATTTTGACGGTGAATTACTATTGCTACCGCTACTACTATTATTATCAACTATTACGGTTTGGTCAATATCGACGAGTGTTCCATCTAAATTGTCAGAATTATCGAAACTATTGCTGCCGCATTCCCTTAATTCTGTATTTCCATTTGTCAGCATTTTATTATTGTCCTGATGACATGTTAAGTTCTGCTTTTCCTCAGAGGAATCGTAAAACTTTGTGTGGCCATCGTAATTGACAGATGTACCCCGTACTTTCCGCATTTTTTTGCTGTCCAGAATTTTTCCATTCTCCTTGTTCTGAGAAGTAAATTATTCACTAATTTAATCTGAACGTTAAATAAATTAACGTATTTTTTGTTTGTTAATAATTATAAAAAGTTATGTTACTTTTTATCTATTTCAATTTATAGTGTTTATATTATATAAATAATATAAATATTAATTTTATATTTATTTTAAGATATTAAAATTTTTTAACTATAAAACTTATTTTCTAAACTTATTCTAAACCTGTGAATTAATTTCAGTTAATTTACCTTTGTTTTTTTTTCTTTTTCAGAAAAAAATTTCAACATTTTTCATATAACAAAAAATTTGTTCCTACCTTTAAAAAATCCGGCAATTCGTAATTAATTTCAGTCCCTCTTTGATCTTCAAGTCTTGATCTTTGTGCTCTTTTCAATCCTTCGTATAGATCTAAAATGAAAATAAATAAATTTCAATAAATTTACTCTAAAACAATAACATTTTATTGAATTAAAAATTATAAATATTTTAATATTAAGAAATATTAAATTTTCTCACCATCGCCATCAAATTTGCTAGGCAATTGAAGTTTAACTCCATTTCTCCATTTAGCGATAAGTGGTGGATAAGAACGAGTATTTTCCTCGTGTCCACAATCGTTCCAAGATCCTTTATCACTGGAACTGACGCTTTTAGATTTTGATTTTTTCTTTCCATGACTCGATGAATCTCTCATAAAAAATTTGTTTGAAAGAATCGATGAACTATCCGATCGTTGGTCATCCGACTATAAAAAAAAATGTTAACAACTGTTAATTATTTAATTTAGATAATTTATCCTAAAATGAACGTGTGAAAAAAAATTATCTAAATTAAATAATTAAATAAATAATAATATAGTAATGATAAAACAAATTTTTAGTGAATTTTTTCACTTTTATAAAACATAAAGATTCACTAACAATTTTTTTTAAATGAATATAGTGAAAAATTTCAGGCATTTTCGGAAAACTTATTATTCAGATTTCCTTTACAAATTGTCGTCGCCTAATTCAAAATTAAGACGATGAGAAGTGGGGATAATGAGTTTTTAATTATGGGTTTGCGACTAGGAGGGAGACTGTGTCAGAAGTATAAATAAAAGGTACAAATTAGTTTCACATTCAGTATTCATTTTCGCAAATTCGAGGACATCATGGCCAGGAAGTGCGAGACAAAATTTGAGCCCAGTGAATTAAAAATCATTGGCTCAAAAATCGTGAAAAGAAGCAAGGATTGGATTAAGCTTCTCAATAAAAAACTGAAACGATCTCGAAAGGAAATCAGATCGGATACGAGGAAAAAGGCGTTATTACAATCTGCCCTTTTCACCGCCAATTTTCAATTACAAGTGCGGAGAAGACTTCGAATTCAACGGAAGGAGAAGAAATCGCCGCCTTCAAATCAACAGGAGTGCAGTGACGTCAACGACACTAAAAAATTTGATCCAGTCATCGTCAATTTCATTGAGAGCTGGGGAAATTTTTTGAGTGACGTTCGGAAGTTCTCAGAGGATGAGAACAATTTGTGAATCAAAGCATATTATGCTTTGAGGAAACATAAATTGAAAATCGGCCCTTTTCAGGGCCAACAAATAATTTTGACGTTGGAATTACTTTGTTCTTGAAACATATATAAATATATATATATGAGTTTTTATTATTTCTTTATTTTCAGATATTTATTGAATTTGTGAATATTTTTAATTAAATTGTGAAACTAATCAAAGAGAATTATTTACCTTACAGGAGCCTTCACTATATTGATATTTATTTGTACTTTTTCCAACTAGCAGTTCCTCAAAGACTTTGTTTGTGATTTCATCCAGTGTTGGTTGACCTTGTGAAACCTTTTCTGATGTTTTTGGCTGAACATCCCGGAATATATCTGTGAGTAAAATTTAATTATATTTTAATACATGTTTTTCTGTTCAATTGACAAAATTAAATCTTATATTATTTTTATTTAATTAATAGTTTGTTATTAATTTATAAAAAAAATTATATTATTAAATTATATAATATATAATTATATTACTAAATTAATATTTTTAATATTTTTGTAGAAATAATATTAAATATTTTAATAATACATATTTGATACTGGATTTTTAAAATTTTACAAGTTTACTTTGTAAATTTAATTTTAAGCAATGTTTGAACCAAAACTATTAATTCATTTTCTAGAAAAAAAAATTATAAAAGAAGTGTAAATTTGAAACAACAATTTTAAAATTAACTTACATAATTATAATAAAATAATTACAACTTATAATCAAAAGAAATTTGAACTCTAAACAGTTATGAACAATTATCAGAAAAGAAATAATTTATTTTAAATATCTTTGTGTTTTTTTTTTTTTTATTAAATTTGTCTATTTGTCAAAATGACATTTTTATGGCGCATCTCCACTGTTAAATTATTTCTACAAAAATATTTAAAATATTGAAAATTTTAAAAAATAAGCTTTGAATTAAAATTCAAAGAAAATTATAATTGAATATATTTATTCTTTTTCTTAATTGATATTTAAAAATGTTAAATATCCTTTTGTAAAAATCCAATAATTGAATTGAAAATTTTAACACAATTAAAAAGTAATTAACTATTTACTAGTTAATAAATAATCTACTTAAATAAATGGATTTTTAATTACCTTCATTATTGGAAGTGAGAACAAGTCTTGTAGGTGCATTTATTGCAGGTGTGTCTGCCGAAAGTGGATGTCCCTCGCCCCAGATTGTTATCAATTCCAATTTGAAACCATATTTATTAAGAAGAGGTCTCAATACTTCTCTTAATGTTCGACCTTTATGAGCAACAACCGTTATTATTCTTCGTGATGGTAAATCGACTTTTAATACTTTCGATGGTACCACTTCAACTTCTTGCCCCGATAATACCGTTGACGGGTACTTCAGATTAATTATCTGAAAAAAGAAACAAATTTTTAAAAATTAAAATCACATTTTCACATTATATATTTTTGTTTATTTTTTTCATTTAAAGCATATTTTAAAGCAAAAGCCATTATTCCTTTAAATAGCTGTGGTTAAGTCCTGAAAATAAGATTTTATACACCCATCACCAAAAAAAAAAAACTACTTTCTTTATCTCGTGCATCCATCAAGATTTTGAAAATTATTACACCTTTCATTTGTGATATTAAATTTCCCTCTAATCAATGATAATTTCTAATTAATATTAATTTCTATTCCCATCTACAATTTTATTTAAGTGGACGCAAAAAAAACCTTTTTTTTCACGTTTATTTCAAATTGCACCTTATGAAATAATAATAATTCTTATTGTTAGTCGAGTGGTGTGACAGTCATGCACATTTCTTTGAATTTGAAATGCAAAATGCGGTGTACTAAATTCGATAATTTTTGAAGCGTGCCGATATTTGAAAAAAAAATTGTTATTAAATACAAATTTTCGATTTAAATAATAAGTGGCCATTGTTGCAAAATTAGTCACAGATTTTTTTTTTTTTTTTTTTTAACAGCTTGCACCAGATGTACAGAAAGTGACACTAACCTCATCTGTGACAAGTACAAGTACGTCATAGTTAGAAAATCGTAGTGCTCGCTTATCGAGTAAACGAGTAACTACTTCTTTAATCGTCTCCGTTTGGCAAGTAGGCACAACAGTTGTGGAACCATCGGGTAATATTACTCGGCACAAACCAGTACATTTCGTGTGTATCTCTTTTGTTTCGTTCGAATGCCCTTCATAGGACGACACAGACTACAATATTTACATACAAAATCGAATATCAGAATTTCAATTCAATTAAAACTTTTAATTTTAGAAAGGTTTCAAAATAATTTTTTTCAAATTTAATTTATAATTAATTTTTCCCAATTTCTTTCAATGTTTTTATACACTTTCAGCATTCATCATTCACGAATTTATGAAAATGGAAAAACTTGAAAAACTCTTATTCACGAGACACTCGATTTTTTAAATAACAAAAATATAATATTGACACTTTTAAATTTTTCTAAAATTGAAAAAATCGAATTTTAATAATAATAATTAGTTAAAAACAAATTTTCTACTTTTTTGAATAAAGTTAAAAGTAACCAGAACCAGAAGTACGAAATTATCAGAAAACAAACATCTGTTGATAAGCAAAACATATCCAGAACTTCCGCTGAGATAATAATATGATGACAAAAACATTCATAAAACGTTGTTTTAAAAAACAAAAAGAGATTCATTATTTAAATTATTCATTCATTAAAAGTATTTTTGATTAAAAATAATCACTATAATGAAATAAAATATCACTATTTAAATTTTCAATCATATCATTATTTGCAAATATAGATAATTTTAACTCTTGCTTGAATGTAATATTAATTTTATAATACTATTTATAAAATAATTATCATTTGTAATTAAATTCACTGACATCTAATTTTAAACTAATTCATAATTTTTAATAAATACTAACAGTTTTTAAAATTATCTTAAAAACCATCAATTAATTAAAAATAATAATTTTATCATTGCTAATTTTAAATACTCTTTTGATGTTAAAACATTCAATAATTCAGCATAGTTCAATTAAATGGTTCTTCAAATAAAAAACTCGAATTTTTAAATTACATGGAGAAAATTGTGATTATGATGAAAATAAATAAATAAAAATTAATCGAGTGTCGCGTCAATAAAAGCGAGGATGAATGATCATTGTATAAGGGCTTACATGCTTGTTAAACGATTGCCTCAATGCCAGATCCCATGACGCTAATGACGATCTACTGCTGGATATAGATATACTGTCCTCATTGTTATTACCCTCCGCTTCCCTTTTAATAGTTGTAAAACTCTTGTATATAGTCTCACTACGACTAGGGGTCTGAACATACTCTGACTCTCCTCGGTCCTTCGACTTTGATCTAAAATAAAAAATTCCAAATACTTTACTATTTTTATTTTATAAACGACAAAAATTTAATAAATTTTTCAAATTAACATCATAGTATTAAAAATTATTTCACTTAAAATATAAATTAAAAACAAATATTAAATGAAATTAAAAATATTTCTTTTTCAAATTAATTGTGAATTTAAAGCATACCTATTTTTTCTATGCCAAGGGAGAATCGATTTCCGACAACGATCTTCAGCGTCGGAATGACTTTTCTTTAGTTTCACACTCGGAGAACTCGTTAAACTTAAATCCCGATCTTCAGTACCAATAACACTGTTTCCCGTTTCCAAACATCGACGATATAAATCCGATCTCAAAAATCTTGGATAACTGTCGAATTTCATTAGATTGAATACTTGCTTTTGTGCCTGAAAACATGAAATTAAATAATAAAATAAATTACTAAAATATTTTATAAACTAACGAAAATAATAACTTTCTTCGAAAATGATGCGAGATCAATTTAATTTCTCGCGGAATTTAATTCAGGAAATATCTTTAAAAAAAAGAAATGAAGGTAAATTGAGATCAATTGAATGTAATAACATACCTGCATGAAGAGATCAGCAGGAGCTGAATTAAGGAGTTCTTGAGTGATTTGTCCAGCTGCATGACTGTCAACATTAACAGGTTCTGCAGCGGTTGCTGATAAATGACGCTGATATATTTGCCGAGCTAATCTTCGTCGACTCGCGAGGTCTTCAGTATCCGTATATCTTTCGCATGCTGCCCAAAAGTAAATATTTTCATGACTAAATTCTTTCTTCAAAAATTCCTGTAAAAGAGAGAAAAAAAAAATTTAGTTATCAACTGAAAGCAAAAAATTATTTTACGATTAAAAATTAAATTAAATTAAAAGTAAATTGAAATTAAATAAATGAAATTCTTTTTTTTATTTTTTAAAAAACTTTTTTTTAACAATAATAATAAAAAAATCGTTGACTAATTTATAGTGACATTTAAATAATGAATTTAAATAAAAGTATTTTTTTTTTAAATTTAGTTTTGAATTATTCATATTTTCTTTGTAGAAAATAGAATATTGTGAGAACTGTAAAATCAACCGTGATGCGTATTTGAATGCGCAACAAATCGTAAAAGTTTATTGACAAACCAGTATACTTACAGCGAAAGTTTGCAATCCTTTCGGATCTCCTAATAGTTTTTCGAAACCGGAAGCCCACGAATGTACATTACAATTGGCAGTTTTGTCACAAGATTCTGTACTTCCATGCTGCAACAAAAAAAAGGACAAATTTAAGAATTATTTTTCTAAAAAATCAAAAATTACACATTTTTCAAAATTATAATAATAAATTATTAATTTTAAAAATTTAAGCAAAAAAACAAATTTCCTCAATAAAGCAATAACTACTAAATAGTATTTTCAATTAAAAATAACTAAAAACTTATTTTCCACAAATGAGAAACTTTTTACCGTTCAAATCGAGTAGTTTCAATTAAGAAATAAATACGTACATTGAATGTCAGATTATAAAGCCTTAATTAAATAATTAGAACGAAAACTTCTCAATAGATGAGAAATCGTTTCCATGAAAACGGATAATTTTATACAGGGAATAAGTCAAGTCCTTGTATTAAATAATCGTGTGTCTTAAGTTAATTACAACAGTATTTCTGTAACAAATTACTTTGCCGACATTCCAGTGTGCAACGTCAGAATGTTGTATATATATATATGGCCAAGTCTTTTGAACGTGATGAGCGTTAATGAATCTGTGGACGTGACAATATACGCCTCACAAAAAATTAATTTAGAAAGGAGAGCTCTGCGAGTCTCGGGCGCATACCCTCGAATTTTATATGTCCAGAAGCAACAACATCAATAATAATAATAATAAGAATCAAATAAAAAGATGTTCTCTCTTCTCCGAATCTGTCGATGCGATTCGAAGAAGCTTCCCACTTCAATTAGCTCCAAATTGGCCTGACCACGTCGATCAAAAAAAAAAAAAAGGGAATGAAAAAAATACCCATGAATAAGAGAAACAAATCTTGAATTAAAAATTATCAAATTCGATTCTTGTAATAATTTAATTTTTGTCTCCTTCTTCTATGAATAAATATAAAAGAAAATAAAACAAAAATTTTTATATAATAGTTATAAAATGCAAAAAAAAAAGAAAAAGGAATTCTTGTAGGAAATTTCTACAGATGGGAAATGTACTGGAATTAACTATAGGATCCCCCAAGGAAAATTATTTGCTATCTGGACCACATGACCGTGCATCGTTCCATAGTGTTTTACCTTACCGATGAACGTTCCATGTTCCGGTCTCTCGTTGCAGTCTTGTAATCCCATTTAATTAACTTGAGCGAACTCGCTCTGAACATCAACAAGCAGCGCGATCTCAGTCACTCGTGTTTCATTCACAAAAAAATCTCGCGAGTCGTTTTTATTTTCTTTTTTTTTTTAATTCATTGAGAGAAAAAAAATCATTGTCATCTCTTTAGAATGATGACGCTCTCTTTATATGCGGGGGGATCGTAGAATAAAAGTATAGATAAGAGCACCTCAATAACTTCGTTTTCCTGCTTGATTAACAGGGGACTCCGCCCAATACTGTCCTCGTTTGTACATGATATTACTGCTGACAAACACTGACAAGCACGTCTCAAAAAGGGTTGCACACCGTTGACAGCCATGCACTCTCGCCACTCACTGCTGGACCAATTCCCCTCTATATATATATATATATTCTATATAAAATGAGACACACAACATACGCCTGATGTACTCGCGATATTACTACCAGGAGTTTCTCTGCCGCGCCTTCTCGATGCTCTCAAGAGTTGAAGTTGGAGCTCTACTTCCCTTCACGGGGAAAGGGGAATTCAACGTACCTACTGTGTCATGAGCCAATGGCGTAGTATTCACTTCATCTTCAAAAAGAAACAATTTATCTCGCGCATATGATTTCACTGAAAAAAATTCTTAATTCACTGAAACAAATTAATAATTTTCATAAAAATTGAGAAAATGGATTTGAAAATTAAATTCCCTTTTTTAATTTCTAAATCAAATTCAATCAAAAAAAAAAAATTACAAACAATTAAATTCCATTGATCTAAACTATTGTCGTTAAAAAAATTAAACGATCTAAATTATAAATGATTAGAAACTAAATCCAAACTATAATCGAAATATTCATTGATAAAAATTATCAATAATCCAAAACTTTGAAAAATCCAAACTATAAACAATTGTATGTTTAAACGATCCAAATTTCTATTGATCCAAACTGTGAATGATCTAAAGTTTAAACAGTCCAAGCGATCATCTAAAAAAATAGAAACGATAAAAATTTTTTAATAATCGATCAAAATTTCCATACGAATTATTATTGACGATCCAAATCATAAATGATCTAAACTATAAACAATAAAAATTGCAAACAATGCAAATTTCCACATTGGAAATTATAAATAATCCAAAACTGTAAAATAATTGAAATTTTAAACAATTCAAATCTCTATTAATCTAGACTATATTCTAAAAATATCTATTGATTTAAATTATTGTCGATCTAAACTATAAACTATCCAAGCAATAAATTATCCAAACTGTAAGCAATGTAAATTATCAATAAACCAAATTTCTATTGATTAGAAAACTAAATTTCAAATCCTGGATTTCAAAAAAAAATTATTTTTTTTAATTTAAAGAAGCAAAACTCAATTTTTTCGATCTTATTGGAAAATCGTGGACGTCAACAAGTCTGGAGTTGAATCAGTAAAAATCAATTGGAAATTGGTTTAAAAAAACGAAGAAACTACAATTAAAAAAGAAAATTAAGAAAGTTGTAAGTAATAATTGAAAAACACGTGGGACATTCCTTTCATGTAAAGAAGGTAATTACTACGCCTATGATTTCATTTCTCCTTAAAAAGAGAGAAAAGATAAGAGGCAAAACCGTAAATCTAGATTATCTATATAGAATTTCCTACCTTTAGAGGCATACATTTACAATTATGGTAAAAAAAATATTTTTTATATTTCATATTTCAAGAAATTATTTTTTATAAATAAAATTCTAAATTAATAATTTTTAAAAATCTTCTAAAAGAAAAGAAAAGATTCAAGATTATATTCTGCGCCAATGATTAACGCTTGTCTGAGTTCCATGCAAGCATTACAAATCCTATAGAAAAGGTATTGTGTTAAAGAGCATTAAGAATTCATTTTTTTCTCTTTTTTTTTATTTGAATCATCTTTTTTTCCTCTCTCTCTCTATATATCTCTCTGACTCTTTCCCCTTTCCTCGACTTAAGCCATATTCTAGGCAGGAAATGATGACGCGTCCTCAATAACGAGTAAACGAAGAGAAACGGAAACCAAGCATCGAGTGTTTTTACCTGTTTTCATATAATCATCATCATTATTATTATTATTTTTCAATGAATTTTCTCTCGTGACAATTCTTGCAGCTTCATAAGACTTGTTTTATTATAGTCACTTGCATTAATTGCACAATATCGTGCGTATACGATGATTAAAAACTTGTAGTACTGAATCAGTGTGTCAGTTACATAAATAATATTAAATGAGTCCTCGGATGAAATCTCATTTAAATAATTGCATTTTTTAAAAAAATTAAAAAAAAATGTTAAGCAAAAAAAAATTATTTTTAACTTTTTTTACGTAAAAAAATGTGAATAATAAAAATTTTTCAAAGAAATAAATTCTATATTATAGAATAAAATTATGTAAAATAACAAATTTTAAATTAAAATTTTTTCGTTAGGACCATAAAGATGCATCAATGACTACATCTTTTAGATCATTTACTTCCTGTCTCATGAATGTTTCATATTCTGAACACATTTTTAGAATACAATGGAGGTACACATTATTGAGACCAGGATGTTGATCCTGTTTTACCCCCGAGTAGCAAAACAGTGGCGTAACTAATAACCAAACCCGTAATTTTTCCTGTTATTTCATAATTTACCGCAAGTGACAAAAAAAAAAAAAAAAAAATTCGCCTATCACTTAAATTTTTAAATTATCAATTTATATATTATAAATAATTAAAATTTATAATTCAATATTAGTAAATAAAATTATAATTTTATTATTATGTAAAATAGCTTTTGAACTGTAAGTTTTCACTCTTCTTCTTTTGCTATAATATTTTTATAAAAAATTCCAAAATCATAAAACATTTATAAAATCTCATAACAGTGCGTGTAATAATTTTACTCATGTTAAATATTAATTTCCAAGAAAAAAAAGAAGACAAAGAAAACTTACTGCTCATTTTCTTCCATAAAACTATTAAAAAGCAATGAAAACATCACATACCATACAATTACGACTGGTACAATCCTCGACCTTTCTTATTTCCTGAAGACTACACCACGGTCTTGTTTTATCGTTTTTACTTGGGAATGAATGCATAAATGTCGTTGAATAATCATCGCCAGGTTTTAAATCCTCCATACTATGAACAAATGATTTTGAAACTGCATAAACTTTTGGACTAAGTTTATTGCACAAACTTAAATCCTCCGTCATTTCATCGCACTGCATTGTATGATTTTTTGCAATTTCCATTGCTTCCTCAAAATCGTGATACATTGTCGATGTACTTCCACAAACAGAAGCCAATGATCCAACTGACGAACTTCCCAACCCCTGCTGCTGTTGCTGCTGCTGCACAAGCATCGAAGCAGATGGTCCCGGGCAGGTGGTGGATTCCCCTCCACTTCTCAATAGCACGCTTTGACCCTCGGAACGTGCGCTAATTGTGCTATGCGACATTGCCAACGAATAACAATTATTGTCATCGGATTTTTTACGAAAGTCCATTGCACTTGGATCAAATGAAAAATCAGAGTCACGTGAACGATTTACACGAGACAGGTCATTCCATCTTTGATCGGTTGTTGCTCGTACTCCTAATCTTGATCCTGATAGTGTATCATTATTCATTACCGAAAGTGGCACAACTCCCGACTAAAAAAATGAAATTTTTCATTTATTATTTTTAATTTTTAAATAATTTATTTAAAAGAAAGAATTTTTTTTAGCTATTTTTATTAATAAAGTAAATAAAAATTTTATAATTGTAACTAAACTATTTGAATAAATTAATTTAAAATTGTGGAACTTTTCGACATAATGAAATTTAAAAAAAAGACCTTGGTAATTAGTGTTTCTCCCTTCATGTGGGAGGAAGTTAATATTTTTTTGGAAAATTACCTCTATGAAAGAAAATTTTTTTTTTGTCAAAGTCTCTTAATTTTTTTAATCACTATAATTTCTCTAGCATTTGGTAATTAAAAAATCTCCATTAAATTATCAATTACTGTAATTAATATTAATTTTAATTAATCACAATTAAGAATAAAAAAACAATTTACTAAGAAATAAACAAGATTTTTGAATTTTAAAAAATATATAACTAAATTTATTTATTACTCTCGTGGAATAATTTCTTAAATTAACAAAAATTTAATTTAAGATGCATTTAACTTGCGAGTGGTAAAAGTAATTTTTTTTTCTTTGTTATATCAAATAAAATATTAATTAATAATACAAAAAATTAATAAACCCAACTTTAAATTTTAAAGAAACTGTCAATTTCAGAAACGACTTGTTTTCATGAAGAAATATCAAAAAAATCTGAATTTCTAATAAAAAACAATTATTTCTAATGAAAAATCATTCTCTGTTAAATTATTAATTAATGCAATTAATATTAATTTTAATTAATCACAATTAAGAAGATACAATTTATCAAGAAAATAAAATGAGCTTGAATTTAAAAAAAAAAAATATAAAATTTATTTATTACTCTCGTGGAATATTTTCGTTTCTTTTCTTACAAATTTCAAAAATTTAACATGCATTTAAAAGTGTCGAAAGAAATCTTTTTGTTATTATATCAATTAAAATATTAATTAATAATACATACAAAAAATTAATAAACCTAACTTTAAATTTCAAAGAATCTTTTCATTTTAGAAACAAAAAATTACTTGCTATGATGTAAGGTAATGTTTTGAGAAATTTATTTCTGAATTTCTAATAAATGATCTTAAAAATAAAAAAAAAAAGACAAAATATAAAATAACATACCCTCTGTGAAATCGATGGTCCGCAATGCCTCTGTGGAAAATCGGCAACAATATTTCTATCCGAATGACTTCCATAATCATCTTTAAATCCAATTCCAGAATCGCTATTACTTGAATGTGCAGTCGATGTACTAATATTACTTGGCTGTGGTGATGCTGTCTCCTGATGACGACGACTCTCATAAGGATTTGCATCAGGATCAACAGTGTCAGAAATATATAATGTTTGAATTGCACCAATTAAACTCACACAACTGTCGGGAAATTCTTGACAAACATTTAATTCCGATGTTTTTGTACATGTGAAACCAAAAACATTACATGTACTTGAATGTACATCATGATCAGTGAGTTTATAGTAAATTGTAAAAACATGACAAGAATTTGAAACAATATCATCTGTATCCTTTACGGATTTTGTTAAAATTCCAAAATACTGTTTATCCTGTTCTGAGAATGAATTGCAAAATATTATTCGATATGATGGATATTCGGCGACAACACGATTCTCAGAATTTGTTAATTTTATATTTGCAACGTGAATTGTTAAAAGTACTGTCGTTGGTGTCCTTTTCTCAGCCTTTAGTCTTTTTATACATTTTTTCAAAACCTGCAAAAAAAAAGAAAATGGGTATTTATAAATTATTTCAATATATAGTAAAAGTAAAACATAACCTAAAAATCATATTTTTCGATTTTTCACTCACTTCCATCATTGAGGATGGATGTAATTGATCAGGAATATCAATTGTTCCCAAATATCCAACAACTGTACGATGAACAATTTTTTCTGAATCTCTTTTATGTGAAACGGGCGGTGGTGGAATTGAACATTGAATTTTATTTGGATGTACACTTCGTCCACTGAACATTGCTCCAGTTTGCAAATCACGAACAACATTTGCAATTCTATACAATGGTTGAATTGTACCAACATTATTGGAACGAATTTTGTGTGAATATTTTTTCGATCTCACTGTCGCTAAACCTTCTTCATCCGATGAGTCTGAATAATAATTCTCAGCAATTTCAAGTCTCAGAATACCTTTAGAATTGCCAATTAATTTGACAACATCGTCGTGTGGTGCTTTACTCACATTATGTCCATTCACAGCGACTAGATAATCACCAGCTCGTAGTCCTGCAATTTCAGCAGGACTACCTTGTACAATACAACTAAGAATTGATGGTTGTTGACCCGATATTGTAAATCCAAAACCCTTTGCACCACGAGATAATTCCACCGCCCTTACACCATAATTAACTCGCTTTTTCTTTCGTCTATTATGCTGCATATTTACCGACATGGTTATGTTTTATTAAACGCGTTCACACGATAAAAAAAAACACACTTATTATAGATACATTAAGGTACGTTTCTTTAAATATCACTAATAATAAGGTAAATTATTTTATTTTCTCGAATACTTTTGCACATAACATAAGGACCAACCAAAAAGGATGCGGCCATTTTGGAATAATGCACAGGATGTTACTCGATTTAATTGCACTAAAAAAAATTTCAATCTTCATAGAATTTCCATTATAATTGAGAAATATCACTGAATTTATTTAAAGATAACAGAATAGAACTTTAATTGAAGATAAACAAAGGGGGGAAAAAAAACTAAAGAAAACAATGACAATACCACCGACTTCTCAAGTCGGCGACTACAGCGCCGCGTCGCTCTGCAAATACCAACGGCATTTTAGTGAAACATTGGAGAAATGTTTGTGGAAAGGGGGAAAGTGTTATTTATGAAAGTCGTTTTCTTTTTAAGTGGCAATAAAGAAATTCAACTTCTAAGCTTTCGTTCAAGAGCAGTTACATATCCTTTATTTCGTGTATCATTCAAATGTATGGATAATCTTTTAGTCAAAATTTGAAATTTAGCAAATTTTTTAAACTTAACCTTCAAAATCACGGTTTTACGCAAAAAAAAAGTGTTAACAATTAAAAAATATTGTTTTTCTGTTACTAATATATTAATATGATTAAAATACAACTTGAAGAATAATTTGAATATTATTAAACAGTAAATTAATCAATATTTATTTATGTAACATTGAATTAGTATTTTTTGAACTTAATGTAATTGCAATTTTCTTGCACTGAAACATCACGGGTTGCCTGATTTCAGGAGCATGATGAAGAATTAATTACCTGATAATTAACAATTTAACTTTTCATTCAATTAATTCCAATTAGAAATAATTAGGTTTTTAAAAGTGAATAAATATATGAATGAAACACAAAAATGGTGTTAATGGAATAATTTTTAAAATATACAAACTAATTTTTTTAATAAAGAGGAATTTAAAAATTATGATATAATGTTTCGCGTTAAAAGACGTAAGTAAAATATTTTTTAAAATAGTTATATTAATAAAGAAGAAATGTTGATTTTACAGTTTAATTAATTTTTTTCATTGTTAATGCTTTACATTCCTATTTTTTTTATTTTTTTTCTTATGATGATTTTTGTTATGCTTTTTTGTATTCTTTTTGGTTTTTTTTGTATGTTTTTTCTCAGATTTTTTCATTCGTCTTTTATCTCTCGTTAGTGTTTTATTTTTTAAATTCCCTTCTCGCTTCTGCTCCGATTGCATAAGTTCTGAATATCTATTAATTAATTATAATTATAAATCTATTAATTAATTATAATGGAACATTTTTTCATGAAAAAAACCTGATAAATTTTTTTTTTTTTTAGAATTTGCTTACAATTTATTACAAATCTTCGCATTCCTTGATCGATAATGATTATTATTATTATTATGTCTTCTTTTTTGATTATCATTCAAATTTGAATTTATTTGATATATTCGAGGATTTTCCAAATTTCTATTAACTTTCATGTGACAAGATTGTATCAATTTTTTTTCATTATTAGAAATTGATGATCTTTTAAAAACTTTATCATCTTCAATTTTCTCAGATGTAATTGAATAAACTGAATTTTTCTCATCTAATTCGTGTTCACTTTTTGGAAATGATGCAGCAAGATCTTCAAGATAATTTGCTTGTAATTTTTCATCATTATTATTTTTATCAAATTTTTCTCTTTTTACACGAGCACTAATTTTTTCATTTTTAATTGAAATTCCATTTATTATTGAAAAATAATTAAGAAATATAATAATAAGAAAATATAATATTTGTGAATACATCAAGTACCATATAAATATACCAATTTAATGGTAAATAAAAATTTTCGAAAATCGTCATTAATGAAAAAATAAGGTACTTATTGTTTATATTTGTCGTAAATATTTTGACATTTTGGTATTTTTAATAAAAAAAATGACTATCGTTATAAAAAATTTGAATTTTTGTTTAAAAAACGGCGCGTATTTTAAAGCGCATGCGTTGTAAAAAAATTTCGCGCGCTTTTCTAAATTTTAAATTTAAAAAAAAAAACAATATTAAATGTTTTGTTTTTATAAACACATAAATGATCATTTTTTTTTTTAAATTTAATTATAAAATTTCCCCTTAATCAACTAAGTTTTGTAAAATTAAATCAAAATCTTAAATTGAGAGAAAAAAAAAATATTCTTTAGATTAAAAAAAAAAATTATTTATTTCTCTTGATTTTTGTTTTTTTTTTTTAATTAATTTTTTTTTTTACTCACCAAACATATATATCCCTTCTCCCATCGTGAATAGACTATAAAGTGCGCAAGTACTCTTGCGCAAATATGTTCAGCTTAACTCTTCCAGGGCATCAAATGCATTTGTACATATAGTTTGAGAGAGTGCTCTGAAAGTATACCATGCTGCCGCGTCGATTATTTTTCTGCATTTTTTTCCATCAAATTTTCCTCACTGGGAGATCTACAGAAAAAACGTGAGCATTATTTTAAAAAAAATGGAAATCCTCCAAAAAAAGAAAGAAATAAATAAAGAAAAATTTTCAAAAAAAAAAGAAATCCTTTTGAAAACATTTTTATTTTATAGAAAAAAAGAAAATAATTAAAAAAATAGTATTGTTTACTTCACTGATAAATCTTTTTTGAAAAAAAAATATTACAATCTTTACATTGACAGTTGTTAATTATTTTTCCCATTAAATGTACAATTTATAATGAAAAAATTCTTTCAATTGCAAGAATTTCTTGGGGGGGGATTTTTTTTTTTTTTTTTTTTTTGCATTAATAGGAAAACCGTCTATGGCGTCCCTTACCGTTATGTTTACTTCAGTTTGGCGTGCTGGTGCAATTATAAGTGCCTCTGGAAACTAGACGCTGTTGGCTTTGTTTTTCTGTAACAAAAAAAAGGAAAATTTATTTTTATTAACATTTTATGACGTGGAATGTGAAAGTTACATTTTTAATTTTACCGCCTAATGTGATTAAAATTATTTCATTTTTGTTTCGGAGTGCTCCAAAAAAATAAATGTGGTTTTGATTTAAAAAGAAAAATTATTTTTTTTTACTGTTTTTTAATTGTGTAATTTGTTGCTTCTTTTTTTTATATAAATTATTTTTCATGCATTGCGTAACAATTCGTGATGTTAAATTTTTTTCGACTAATTTTTCTATTTTTCTCATTTTTATAAGTAGATAAAATATAAAAATAATTTTCAGATACGAATTTTTATTTTGAAATTTGATTTCAATTTTATAATTAAAAAAATTTCAAAATAATTAAAAATTTTTTTTTTTAATTTTGTGATTTAAATTTTGTCTATTTTTGTTTTTAATTTTTTTTTTATATCTGTCTGATCATAAATTCCTTTTTCTACTTGAAGAATTTTTGTTATGTATTTTTTTAATTTTATATAAGATAAATAATATAAATTAAAAATAGCAGATTATTAAATTTAAATTAATTAACAAATTTGTTTTATTTTTTCGTTTTCAGGTGAAGTAAGGTTTATAAATTTAAATTAACATCTTGGGATTAATCGAGATGGCTGAGGGTGGAAACGACAAAGGAAATAATCATATTTCATCAAGTCAAACGGAAATTAATGAATGCTTAGCTAGTTGGTTGACTTATTTGCAGGTGAGAGAAAAATATTAAAACAAAAATTAATTCTAATATTAAATAATTTATAAATATTTGTTTATTTACGAATAAATAAATAAATTAATAATTTATATTTAATTTTCCAAGCGCTAAATAGATGAAATTTTAATTTTTTTCCTTTTTTTCAGATGCTAAACGATTTATGTTCGGCGGGTACAAAATTAGCACAATCTCTTCACGATTCAGTTGCCCAATGTAGATTAACGGGTCAGTGTTTGTCAGGATGGGATGAATTGACAAGAGCAACAAACGTTGCCAGTAACACTGTCAAAAATCATATTGTCGCATCTTTAAAGGATCATGAGATTCTCGAAAATATTGGCGATAAACACGTAAGAATTTCCACTCGCAAATACGAATTTAAAAATAAATAATTTTCTACATTTCTTTTTCCTTCATAAAAAAAAAATTTTTCTTTTTTTCTCACTGTTTGAGAATAGAGAAAATTTTTTTTATCATTTTCGCTTTTCCATTTAAAAAAAAATTTTTTTTTAATGATTTCATAAAATTGAAATTGGAATATTAATTTTTACTTTCGTCTTTCGTATGCGATTTCTGATTTTGAAGAAAATTGATTTTATGCCTACTTGATAATCGACTGTTTTTTTTTTTTTTTTAATTGTAGGACATACTTCGTGACAATCTGTTGACCTTCATAAATCTTCAGTATCAGTTTTGCGTCGCATGTTGCGAATGTCTCGGTAAGTTTATTCACATTCGCTTTATTATTCTCTCAACACGACATTGAACCAGTCACTAAATAAATTTTATCTGACCTCAATATAATCAAAATGCAAATAATGCTTTCCGAAATTGTAAGTAAAATTAAATTTAAGTTTTAGAATTAATTAAGGTCGCTAATGAAATTTGTTCTAATCTGTAATTTTTATAGAAGAAAATTAATCTCAAATTGTAATTACAGAAAATAGATGTGAAAATTGTTTTTTTAAATATGGAGAAATTTTGTAATATTTTTTATATAACATTTTTTTTTTGTTATATATATTTTTTTCTAGCTAATTTTAATTTTAATTTTTACAGGTGGAATGGCTGAATGTTCTTGTTCGCAAGCGGGAAATGTTGAATGTGATATTGCAGCTCTTCAGCAATGTTTTGAACGTTTATATAGTTCACCACCACCTTTAGCTGCATCTACTCAACAATCACAGCAAAATTGTCATAGATCGCCTTTGCCGTATCCCTTGTTTCCACTTCAGGTAAAAATAAAAAGAAAATTTTTAAATAATATTAAAAATTAATTTTTAGAATCCATTTTGAAAATTCGATAACTTTATTGAAATAGAAATTGTATGATCGAAAATTGTTTGTTTTTTCATAAAAAAAAAAAAAAAGTTTCAGCGAAGGTGGTCAGAAACAGCAGCTGCTGAAATGTGCGGTGAAGCAGCATATACAGTGAGAAGATGGTCAATGCCTTGGGACTGTCGACATGTGACAGAATGGTCTCGTCAGGATATGAGAAATAGACTACGTGTACCACTTCAGGATCGTAGCAGGTCTACAACACCTGATTCTATTTGGAAATCAGCAACAATGACAAGTCAAGATGGACTTCGTGAAGCAATTCAACTTCTTTCTTGTAAACCAGGTAAAATAAAGGATATTTCAAAAACAATAATAAGAAAAGAAATAATTTATTACCATTCTATCTAAATTTTCATTATTATTTTTTAGGCGTTAGACCTGCTAATCAGCTTTCGACTTTTGCTAGTCAACACATTCCTGGTGTAACATTGACAACATGTACCTATGAAGCGAGTTACGAGAATTCCATTTGGCCCGATTCTAGAAGAATGGGCTCACCCCGATGTTGGCCTCAAGATTCTCATTCAAGTGATCATTCCGATGGTTATTTTCTTTCATATATTAAAAAAAATATAAATAATAATTTATTAATTTAATAAATTTTATTTAATAAATAATTATTTATATTTTTTTTCTTCAATATTAAAAAAAAAAAAAAAATTTCAGGTCATCGTGATAGCGATCAAAGTGGACATTTGTCCGGTAAATATATTTTGATCAATTTAGAAAAAATTATTCTCTAAATTATTTTTGTATTAATAAGTAATAATTTTTAGAACACAGTGGAGGTGACAGTCGAGAATCTGACGCCGGTAAGAAAATTTGTTTCATTACTTAACGAAATTAATTTTAACAAAAAAAAAAATTGCAATTTTTTTTTTTAGGAACCACAGACGTTTTGCCTTCACGAAAAAGCAGCTCATCTACTGATTCATGCATATCTGCTCATAGTCGTTCAGGTTCAGAAAGCGCTGGCGCTGGGGTAAATAATAATAATTTTAACTAAAAAAAAAAATAAGAATAATAATTTTAAAAAAACGTCTAATTTTGCAGGAATGTGCAAGATCACAATTATATTCAATGTGGAGTGGTGGCGATTTGCCTTTCATAAAACTGCCAGAAAGTACAGAAATTCGCGATGAACATCCACCAGTTTAAAAAATGAAAAAAAGAAAAACAAAAACGGAATTTTTAATTAACTCCAATAAAAATATGGACATGTGCAATAAGTGGGTAATATTGAAGAATCATAAAATGCCAAAGAAATTACTCCAAAATTAAATACAAACGCCCCAATCGAGAAATTAAATGCTCACGATTTAAAAAAAATAATATTAAATACCAAAGACTTTAAACAAAAACTAAAACTTTATAACGAGTGTTTAAAGTTTTAAATTTTTATTAAAATCTTAATTTTTTTTTCAATTTTGTAAAAATCAATTTCTAATAATACTGGCCTTTGGTCTTCAAAGAAGAATGCGAGCTTTACAATTTAAAACATTAACAAAATATTTTAAATTAATCATATTTTATTTATTTTATTCTATCTTAATTTATCCATTCACTGAGAAGGAAAAACTCATTGAGTAATATAAAAAAATCTAATTTCAAGGTGAAAAAAAATTACGGACCAAAATTATTGTTGAATGTAGAATTAAATTTGACAATTAGTCAAAAAATAAATATTATAATTCTAAATGTAAATTTATTATAGAATGAAGAAAAATCGGCGAAGCTAGATTTTTCCAAAGTTAAATTAATTGAAAACATAATTAGCGAAATATATAGCAAATTAGTTAAAAATTTTACTGCCAAAAAAAAATGTTTAACTGAAGAGAGAGAAACTAGCTCAAACTATTGTGAACTTAAGCTTTTCGCTATTTAAATAAAAAAAAAAACGACTGAGATAAAGGAAACTTAAAATTTTCAAGTATTTGCTCAGGTAGCAAATTCATTTTTAATCGTAGTATAAGTCTGTAGAAAATTTAATAAATCATAAAAAAACGTCTTTTTATTCTAAAGAATGACAAAATAAAAAATTGCTTTCACGAACATTTTCTTTAATTAAAAGAAATTGTTTTATTCGAATTTCATTTTAAAATTAAATTTTATAAAATAAATTTTAATAAAAAAATAATTTTTAAATAAAAAAAAAACAATTTTTCAATCAAAGAATAATTTTTTAAGAAAACCAATTTTTAACCAAAAAAAATAAATTTGAATTAAATTATAATTAAATATATTTTTAAAAGTTGGAATTATAATTTTTAATAAAAATTAAAAATTTGCTCGAAAGCAATTTTGATACACGTCATTTAGAGTTGAACTGGAAATATGTCTCTCGTGAATACGAGCTTTATTAAGCGAATGATGAATTTTAATGTGTGATTATATAAAATTAATAAAGAACGATTAATTTCAACAATTAGCCGAGCTAATTGTTGGAAAAAAAAAAATAAAATCTCTTCCATCAACACATTTGATAATCATAATAACGTTAAAATGCTGTCTAACAGCGTTATAATATATTAAGAATTTGTAAAATTGCAATATATAAGTTTTTAATCATCATCTAAATAAATTAGTTAAACTCGAAATGATGAAAATTTCAATTTCTAAAAAAATTGCATTTACTACTTTATATAGAAAGGCAGGCCTCATATAAATGTTCCATACATATATATATATATATATATATATATATATATATATATATATATATGTATGTATATTAATGTGTATATGTATGCTTCTTGTAAATGTGTTTATACGACTGCATTGTGAAAATTTAGTAAACACTCAATAACTTTTACGATTTTAGATTTTCTTTTTCTCTCTTCCATTTTTAAACACCTATAAAAACGTGACTCTTTGGTAAAACATTTCCTATATTTTCATTATATACATAATTTTCTACTTATAAAATTTTTAAAGTTTCTTTAAATTTTTTTCCACTCTTTCTATCTCTTCAAATTATCATCTTTCCATTAATTTTTAAACTATTTTGTTTCTTTAAATTATCAGTTTTCTTTCAATATTTCGACATTTTAAAAAAGATTTAACATATTTAATAATCATTGAGAAATAAATTTTGTGATTATGAATTTATTTCTTAACGATGATTAAAAATTTCATTTTTAAGAAGTAATAAGAAAAATGTCATATGTACAATTTTTTATTTTATTTTTTTTTATGGCACAGTGCGATAATTATATATTGTTCTTAAATATCATCGTACGGAAAACACATGTAATATTGCCTTAGATATTAAACATAATCATGAGAAAAATATATATAAACTAACTATAATGCACAATAAAAGTGATCCATAAGAATCGTTAAGTCTGGCCCTCCACAAACTTTTTTTGTTCTTTCTTTTAAAGTTATTGTCATGATCGACTCGTTTTGTAATCTGTTTGATTTTTTTGGCCCTCTTTTTCTTTAAGTTATTGTCAATTTTTTTTTTTTTTTTTTTTTTGTTTCATCGAAACTTCGACAAGTTTTAAAAAAATATATATATTTATGTATATATGAATCTCAAACCAAAATCCAGCTTCGTTTCGATTCACTGACAATTTGTTCATTCTTTTTTTTTTCGAAAATTTTGTCCAAAATCAAATGTAAAATTCTTTTACATTTGATTTTTATTTAATGTCCATTCTGTATAATTTTAAAATTATAAGATTTGCAAATTTTTTCTAGTGACCGGAATTTTTTTTTTTTTTTTTTTTTTGAAATTCAGATCGAATGAAAAATTATTTGCTTTTTTTCTCCTTTTTAATCGAGTTCATCCTCGTTGAGTTCTTCGTCCTGTCCATAGTCGTCATATTGATCCTTGAGATCGTCATCTTCTTTATCAAGGGGACAATGAAGACATCTTGATTCATTAATTCCATAATTGATGCAGGTATTTCCTATGCATTCACAGCATCCATCGTGAAACCAACGAAAGCTCGTTGCTCCCATACTTTGACATGAGGCTTTACATTTAGTCCAGGATGTACATTGCGCCATATAGGCAACTGTACAATTCACTGTCACCACATTTGGATTTTGAGGATGCTTTGATTCTGCATCAACGGATTCTAAAAGAAATATTAAAAATTAAATTCATTTTCGATTAATTAAAATTACAATTTTAATATAAATTAATTTTTTTCTTTTAATTTAAGCACAAAAAATACTCACTCATATAATATTTCGGTTCATGTTCTTGTTTTGATTTAAACATAGTGACATTAAAATCTACTGGAAATGTATAAGTGATCCATCGTTTATGAGGATCAATATCTGCTGTGAGAGCGAGAAAAAGTCCCGGAACTGGTTCACTAAATTCCTCGATATGAGATTTTTTACTCAGAGGATTGTCAGTGACATTCGGTTTTGGACAAAGATCTGAAAAAAAATTGTGATTTATTTCTTTTTCTAAATTTTTTCAAATAATTTTCAATTTTCTTGAAATTAGAAATTTTTTTTATTCTCTTTAGATACGAGGGGGTATTTAATACTTACCAACGCAAGAACAGCATTCTTCATAAAAATAGCTTAAACAATGAAAGCATTCCTTGCAGCAGGTACAAGTTACTAAATCACACTTGCAGCTTCCTGTGAGCATACATTTACTAACGACGCTGGCGCAAATTGCCTCATTACAAGCTTTCGAAAAGCTCGTTATTGCTAAAAAGACAATTGTCGCTGTTCCCAGTCCAATTATTACTCGTGTTCTCGTCATTTTTTTTTCCTGAAACTAAAAACAATTTAATTAGGAGATTTTTTTTCTTAAATATTCTAAAAATAAATATTTTATTTTTTTATCAAAATTTCAAAGAATTTGGAAAATTATTTTACTATATTAAAAAATGAATTAAAAATCAGGGAACATATTTGTTGCATGTAATATAACTTTTGATTAAAACGCGTTTATAATTAAATCCATGATCTATTAATATCGTCAACAACCACATCCTACGTTATTTAAATTAAATTATTATTGGAAAGGAAAATCACAACGACCTGCAATTTTATGCTTATTTATAAAATTCTATTTTTATAATTTTGCTTTCTAAAAAAAGAATCGCAATATTACTATAATAAATCAGTTTCTTGAATTGATTTTAATTAAAAATTTTCTTTTCTAATTTTCAAACAAAAATTCTGTCAGAGAGAGATCAGAAAATTAAATATACAGTTTGCAAATAATGAATCGATTTTAAAATAATAAAATATAATGTTGAATGAAGTCACAGAGTAAGATATTAGAGATAGGTGATTTGACGATAGTGTAAAAATCATGGATTGAAATGTAGATGGTTGTCAGCCAGGGACAGGCGTTTGCACACAGCCTCGCCTCGTTATGCCCTCAGGCATTATATGAAATAACTTTTTAACATTCACCAATCTTTTATATACGTGGCTTGCACTTGCTTTTTATACTCATATTTTTCCATTCTAATATAAATATAAATTAAAGATTCATTTCGTAAACGTCCTTAAAAAAAAAATCTCAATAAACGTTTTCTATTTTTCATAATGTTTAATAAAATATTACTGCAATTCTATAAAAATAAAAATTTGCAAAATTTAATTTTTAAAAACTTTTTTCTCCTTTTTTGTTTTTGCAATCAGTCTTTAAATTTTTAAAAGTTCACTTTCAATGAATAAAATGATGGAAATATTTTTCAATTATTCGAAAAAAAAAAATGTTTGCCAAATTGTAATTTCAACTATTATTTCTAATTCTATATTCGAAGACGTGAGTTTTCCATCGAGTATAATGTCAATAAAGCCTCGTATGCTAATTTTACGAGTCAACATTATATATATGTATTTATGAAAATGAAACGTAGAAGGATTTAGATAATTTTGTAATTCTCTCAAATTAAATGGAAATTTATTTTTTAAAAAAAGGTAAAATTGAAATAATTTTAACGCGTTCAATAGTAGATTTTTTCTTTCGAATTATACAATCTTTCTTTGTTTACACAGTTTCGCGTCGCAAAAAAAAAAACAAATTCGCGATAATTTATCATTATTAATTTCGCAAAAATGATTATAATTCCAAAGTTATGTTGAATATATTAAATATTTACCTGACTCTCTTTCTTTCTCTCTTTCTCTCTCTGCTCCCTTCACAAAAGAGTATTTCCACGCACGTATGTTTCTTTTACGCTGGAGAAACTATTTTAAGAGCGTGGCAACCGGTTCGAGTTGCCATAGAACACATTTCGAACTTGAATTTAATTTTCCAAATCAAAAAATAAGAGTCAAAATTGATATAAATTTTGAGAAATAATCACAATTGTAAAAAAAAAAAACTGGATCCTCTCACTCTTTTTCTTTCTCGCTCGTTAAGATCTCTTCTGGAGAACGCACAATCGATTTCTGAAAAAATGACGTAGTTCACTTAGTTTGTTTTTATTTTTCTTCAGAGAAAATTTTGTTTCACAATCAATTAATTAATAACCAGTTTGGTATTTTTAATAGATTTTTGAAATTATTTTTTTTTTTTATTTCGAATTTCGCAAAAGAAAAAAAAAACACACAACCGAACAACAGGATCGAGAAGCGACTCTCTTGGACTGAATTAAGGAAGAACGTGGAGAGCTAGGACCCATGAAGAGGAATGAGGAGTAGGAGAAGGAGAGCTGAGAGGAAGAGGAGGTGGGTTGCTGCTGCTGTTTCTGCCCGTGATCTCTGCAATTCTCGGGGAAGGAGAAACCTAGTGATCGCAGGAGAGGTAGAACTGACTGAGACAGGTTTTCGATTTTTTCCAGCTTTTTGTCTTACCTGCGGTACTGCTGCTGCTGCTGCTGTTGTTGTTGTTGTGCAGTTATGCTTCCCGTCCAACCCCCCTATAAGCGAGAGTCTCTTTCGTCACCCTCTTGAAAACTCTTAATCTTCTTCGTTCCTTTGGAAACTAGAAAAATAATTCACAATATTAGGAAAAAATCAAATAAAATTTGACATTAAATAAGAATAGAAAAATAGTTTTGAAAAAGAAGATTAATTTATAAAATTAAAAAGCACAAATTAAAATGATAAGAGCTGATAAAAATAATTCTTTTTTTTTTTCAAAACTATTTATTTGTTCGCGAACTAAAGTCAGAATGTGAATGAAAGATGAATTGAGCGTTTACAAACCTCTCATTTACCTCCTACTGCAATCAACGACATTTAAGCCGTTTAAAGAACACTAAGTTGCTTCCGCTATTATCACGCGTGCCGTGTCTCTGACTATTGTTTTCTCAATATATTTCCAGTTTCAACCAATTAAAATAATTATCTCATATTTTTTTCTCTTCTTCTTCATTAAATCCTCTTCATTGAAGATTCATCTGTGAAAAAAAAGAATAAATTATTATAATTTAATTTTTTATATTTAAAAAAAAAATATTTTGTGTTTATTTTTTAAAATTCTATTTTAAATATTATTTAATTTTATCCATGACTTTCAATTTTATTAACTCTTTGAAGGAGAAAAAAAAAGAGGAAGGATATAAATTTTTGCTCCAAGGGAGGTCGTTAGCGAGAAAAAAAAAATTAACCATTTGTCCGAATCCTGAGTCAGAGAGAGTAAAAGAGAGAGAGAGAGATGGGTCAATCAGATAATGAGAATATTTTGCCGGTTGGAGCATTGTTTAAAGGTAACTGGTCCATAAGAGGAGGCTGTAGACACACAGGTATATTCAACCTAATGACTATAGAACGCGAGGAATCCACTTTAAACGGCCCACCTTGAAGAAAAAGGTAAAACTCAAAAGTACCAATTTTGTTTAGGGTCGAGCGGAAACGATGGAATTTCTAAATCATATAAGTGGTCCGGTCACAAAATATAAAGACACAGAGGCAGAAATTGATATTTTTTTTTCCTTCTTATTTTCGTATTAAAATTTTCTTCATTTTTTCTAAGAAAATCGAAAGCATTTCTTAAAGAAATTCTTTTGTGAAAAAAAAAATAAATACGAAAAATAAAAACTGATTTTTTTTTTTTGTTGGGAAAAAAATAAAAAGAATTTCCTTAATATTTTCTAATCAATTAAACGATAAACAGATAATTATCGCGTTAATTAAAACAATTGATCATAAGGATATAAAACAAAAAATTAAAAGTCATGAATTTTTTATATTGTAACAAATTTTCAAAATACTAAGAAAAGATGTAAAATTAATATTTCACAAGTTTGTCAAATATAATCACAAATTCTAAGAATCTTTGGCTATCATTCAGTAGTTACACACAAAACAATTACTATTTTAATAAATAAAAATACATAATTTTAAATACAAAATGCAAAATTAAAAATACATACCTTTCTTCAATTTTTAAAAAATATAGGAATTAATGTTAATTTCACTAAAATTAAAAAAAAAATTTCAAAATACAATAATTACCTTATTTTTTAATGTGTTTATTCAATAAATTTTTGCACTGTTTTTTTGCAACATAAAAACTTTAAACGTCCAGTAGATATTGTAAAACTATAAATTTTTCCAAAACAAAAATAAACACCAATTGTCACTGAAGAAATAATCAAATGTTTCACTAAATAGATTTTAAAAACGCAGATTTTCCGCTAATTAACAAGTGTTATTTTATAAGTTTCTTAGTTTTTTATGCATGATTAATGCTTTGTTTACATTTTTCTAACCTAAAAATAATGTTGACAACTGTCACTAAAATTTTCCGTTTTTTAAATGAAATGTTTTTGGAAATTTTCCGCTAGGAGCAGTACTGTGCTCAAAGTAAAATGCGCGAATTAATTTAAAAATATTAAATTTTAAAAAGACTATGTAAATGTAAATATTATATTTTTCTCCGAAACTATATTTCAGAAACAAATTACAAAAAAATTAATAATAGTTATTTAAAAATTCATAATTAAAAACATTAAAGCAAATAAATTATGAAATTACCGACGATCATAAATATGGAAATATTTTTCAATTATCTCACAAGATGGAGCTAATGCGCCATTTCCGGTTTCCTCATTTTACCCGGTGAACTAACCTTTATTTTCCATTGTTGTTGAAATACGTTATACGTTTTTTTTTCATTACATATATATATATAGTGATATATAGCAAGCATCAAGAAAACATATAATTTGTGTAATTTTGTACTTTTTTACTTCTAATTTTCACAAAGAAAAAGTATACCAACTTTGTATGTTGTAATACATAAACAAATTTTTAGGTTGCTTTAAAACGTTTGTAATCGTGAATATTAATTTTGTAATATTGAAAATAGTAAAAATAGAGGTTAACAAGCTTGTGGATTGTTCCGGAAATTTCTTATTAGATTTGAGAAATAATGTATTAAACAATTGTTTTTTGAAAAATGTTGGGTTTAATTTGCTCTGGACGTTTGGTAAGTAAAATTTACCATTGTGCTTATTTTATCGATTATTAGAGTATTAAAAAGATTTTTTCCTCCTTTAGCAATTACAAGAAATAAATTTTTAAGTAAATCTAATATTTCATAAATCTTTGAGTTGTCAATTTTGATTTGTATTTTAAAAAACGGATTTCTAAAATTTTAATCGAGAAACTAATACATGTACTTTAAATTTATCATTTAATTATATAAATGACTGTTAAAATTTAATTTAAAGTTATAATTGAAAATAAATATAAATTTATTAGAAAATAATTAATTTACAGGTCCAAACTAATTTCGAACAAGTGTCTGAGACAAAATTACTTTTTACCGTTCCGGATGCTGACGATATTAATCATATCGTCTTATTTCTTGTAGGAACTATTCCTTTTCCTGATAATATGGCAGGAGCAGGTAAATATATTAAATAAGTTTACCAAAAAAAATAAAAAAAATAAACAAACAATTGACAAATTATGTTTCTTTACAGTTTACTTCAGTTGGCCGGATCCAAATGCTCCTCCGAATTGGCAATTTTTAGGATATATTGCCAATTCGAAGCCCTCGGCCATTTTTAAAATATCTAATTTAAAGAAAAATGATGAATTTGAAAATCAAAATTTAAGTATTTTTGGAATGGGAAAAATTTCTCACGTTGCACAAGTTGGTATTTCAGTGGAACCATTGGCAGCAGTTGAACAACAAGCAGCTGCACTTGCAGTTCAACAAACAAATTCATTTATTGAATTTGCTCAAAAAACATTAACAAACTTTGTAAATTATGTCTCTAGCTTTTCAGTGACACAAAGTCAAATGCTTCCAAATTTAACTGAAAATTATGTTCCACTTTCAACAATTCAAACGTGGTACGAAAGATTTCAAAGACGATTGGAACAAAATCCAAATTTTTGGAAAACATAACTAAATATAAAACGGGCAATTTATTTACTGAGATATTCAGAAAACAATTGCTAATATAATATAATTATATTAACAAGTGAATAAAAATTCAGTAATGTAATTTAAAAAAAAAAAAAAGGAATTTGATTTCAATTTACTGGCATGATAATACTGTAATACAGTGTATTTAAATAATTTTTCATATTTTATATGTTTACTAGTTAATAAATATGTTTTCATTTATATAAAACAATCATTTTTTTCATTATAAACAGAAAACGACAAAAAAAATTTATATTTAATTTTTCTAAGTCAATAAAAATTATTTTTTTGCAAAAAAAAGTAATAAATTATATTCTGTAACCTATTAAAATAAATGGAAAATTTTAAATTTACCGCGATATTTTTCTGCCGGAAAGATTTTAGTACGAAAATATTTTTTATTTTAAAATTATTTACAAGAATTTTGTTATTCATTTTAAAACTACACGATATTAATAAACAACGTAATAAAACGTTTTTATATATACGAGAAAAAATTTAATTTTAGCACCATTTCTAAAGTAATACGTAAATCAAATATATAATTCAATTATGATAAAAACTATTAATATTTAGATAATTAAGATTTTTTACTTAATGTAATTTTTTTTTGTAATATCGTTGATATTTTTATTTTAATATATAGTAAAAAGAATTTTTTTTAAACAAATTTTTAATTAATAAAAAATCTAACCTCAAAATTCATAACGGTTCGAAACTTCGAAATTTTCATAACTGTCACTTGGGGTGTCACAACTTTACATTATTTTTTATCAGTGCAATTAAAAGGTTATTATTATTCAATTATTTTTTCTTGAAAATCACTAATTTGTTTTTCTATATATCAGGTAATTGTTTAAAGTTTGAGTAAATAATGTAAACATGAAAATTTTCTGTCAACTTCAAACATAACCTTACTTTTTTTGGCTTTAATTGCTCTAATGGCATTGAAATTATTAAAAATAGATTTAATTCAGTTTTTTTAAAGGCATTTTTAATTATATTTTATTTAAAATTAAATTTATTAATTAATAATTCAAATAATTTCAAAAATACTATCGAATTAGTAGTTTGTTGTTATAAAAATTAGTTTTTTTTAAATTCGTACTGTTTATTAAACAATTATTATTCAATCTTTTGTAATTAATATTCTAAATTAAAAATAACTTTTTCTTGTTAAAATGAAATAATTAATTGAAAATTCATTTTCAGATGGAGCCAATGACATTAGGTTCACCTGTGGGAAGTCCTGCACAATCTCCTAATAATCCCGGATCTCAATCTGCCTATTTACCAGGATTTCTACTAGGTGATAATAATATGGTATGTAAAAACACATCTCATTCTATAAATTATTTGTTAATTGCGATCAATTAATAAATTTTTCTTTGCCTATTTTTAGCATAGTAGAGTAGGAGTAGCGAGTCCTGATACATCACGATTTGTATCATCACCTGGAATGCATTCGCCAACTTCGGGTTTAAATTATGGATCACCTGACTGTCGTACTAATCGACAAAAAGCAATGTTTGGAACGCCAACGAGTCCAAGTGTTCCTCCTCAAATTGGATCAGAAAATCAAGTTGGTGGTCCACCAACTCGTGGTTTATTCGATTCATTGGAAACAACACAACTAATAAGTTCACATACATCTTCATTGAATCAAAGTCATATGAAAAATCAATCACGAATTCTATCGGGCAATATGAATACAACATTAATTGATACACCATCAAGTCCTGTTAATAATAGTGAATCATCGCAAGGTCTTCTTCAGTGGGTGACTATTTTTGGTTTTCCACCAAGTGCACTTAATGCTGTTTTGGCACATATTTCAAGTCGAGTGCGAATTATTGATAAACATCATGCACCACATCCACAAAGTAATTGGATTCATTTGAAATGTACCTCGGAACAAGAGACACAACGTGCACTATCGTGTAATGGAAATATTATTTCTGGATCAATTATGATTGGCGTAATACCATGTACTGACGAGGGTGTAATTTTGAATTCTGACAAAGAAAATCGATTTAAATTAAATAATAGTATGCGATTATTCACATCACCTGTGAAAGCCGGTCAGGGAATGGCAAATAATTCAATGAAAACACCAGTGAGAATTCAAAATGCACGACCATTAGTTACTGGATATAATCAAAGTTTAAGTCCACAATCAGTGAGAACACCAGAAAATGTACCACACAAAACAACTGGCTTGGTATCCAAAGCCATGGAATATGTATTTGGATGGTAAAGAAATTTTTCTCAAAAATTTAGATTTAAATTTGACTTTATTAAAAAAAAAAACTCATTCGAAGCTTTGAATTAAAAAAAAAAAAATAAAATTTACAATTATTTTATTTGTTGCGTCTAACAATAAATACGTCACAAAAATTTTCGTTTAGCACAATTTTTTCATTCTTTTTTATTTGTTTTAATTAATTCAATTTTTTGATTTTTAACTTATCGGGATAATTTTAGTTCATTTGATTTCTTTTTTATACAGTAAAAATTGTGTTAAATGAAAATTTAGACGATAGATAATTTGCAAATAGAAGCGAATTAAATTTATGAATTGTAATTTTTGTGAATTGAATTTCATAAATGTTCCTTGTGAACTAAATTAATAAATAAATAAAACAATTATATTTGATACTTTAGAAGGGCAAAGTTAAAAAATATTAGAATAATAATTGTAAAGTTTTTTTTTATATAGGTTTTTCCATTTTTTTCTAATGTAAACTTGACTTTTTTTTGTAAATAATATAAAAAAAATCTCATCTTTTTGTTGAATTTTAATGACAATTTGTTGTGTAAAAAAATAGTGTTGAAAATAAAAAACATTTTTAAGTTAATTTAATTTTATTCTTGAAAAAAATTGTTCGATCGCAATGAAAAAAAAGATATTGAAATAGAATTCGTTTTTCAACGTTTTGGAAGCATAATGCAGAAAAAGTATTGATTTTTAAAAAGAAATGTGACCCATATATTAATGTATGCTTTATAAAGTGTAACTTTTATTATTTTTATTTAAAGTATTCAAAATTTTGAAAAGAGAAAAAAAAATTTTAATTATCTTTAAAAAACTATTTTCTTTTGTCATTTTTAATTTTCTTAAATCACATTCTAGATTTTTCTGTAAATTTGTGGACCGGTATTTACTTCCGGTTACGATGCTAGTCAAATGTACATTGATTTTATCATCAATAAATGTAAAAATAATTCCTATCCAAATTAATCGTCATTGGAAAATATTTAAAAATTCAAAAGAAGAATATTTATTACAATTTCCAGTCAATGAGATATTAATTTATTAAAAAAAAAATTTCTAAAAAGTCTCGAAATTGAGAGAAATTTCTAGAAAAACAAGTGAGATTTCCGATCGTCAACTTCTAGTCTTCTAGAATGTTCCTCAGTTGATAAAAGCGAGTGCGACACAAAGGAGGGGCAATATTCTAAACAGTGATTTCGTGCAAAACGGATGCAAAAGCAATACAACATTTTTATTTTCTTTTCATTAAAGAGATACTTGTCAGTGATTAAAAAATAAATAAACAGTATTTTTGAATTGCATTTAGATAAAAAGTGACAAAAGTGAATTAATTTTTCTGTTATTAAAAGAAAAATTTGCCAAAGGAAAAAAAAAAGAAATGCCTGAAGACGTCACCATGACAGACAACGGCGAAATTGAAACGTATGCGTTTCAAGCTGAAATTGCTCAATTAATGAGTTTAATTATCAACACATTTTATTCAAATAAGGAAATCTTTCTACGAGAATTAATTTCAAACTCTTCAGATGTAAGTATATTGTCAACATCATTTAAAAAATTTCTTTTTTTAACACAATTACCAAACATGGGAATTCTACAAATTTTTCAGAACATTCCAGATTATTTATAAATAATATAAATTTAATTAAGTTAAAAAAAAACGAATAAATAAATTAAAAAGAAATTAATTCATAAAATTAAAATATGAACAAAATGTTCAACATTATAAATAAAAACTTGTAATTTATAACAATTTTTTTTGTTTTTTTTTATAATTTCCAATTTTTTGGAATTTGAAAAAGATTTTCTAATTTTCGGTATTTTATGAAATTTTTTTTTTATAATGATTTCTAATTCTATGGAATTTGAAAAAGATTTTCTAATTAATATTTTTTTTCAGGCCTTGGATAAAATCCGGTATGAATCATTGACAGATCCTTCAAAGCTCGATGCTTGCAAAGAATTATATATTAAAATTATCCCTAACAAAAATGATCGAACACTCACAATTATTGATACGTAAGTATTCTTAAAATCTATTGTAACAAATTTTATGTTAAATATTAAATAGAATTTTTAAATCTGAATTTTAATAAAGATTAGAATTTTTATTTGTAAAAAAAAAAAAAAAAAAAAACTAAAACTTAATTTTTATTTTCTAGTGGAATTGGTATGACAAAATCTGACCTCGTCAATAATTTGGGAACAATTGCAAAATCAGGAACAAAAGCTTTTATGGAAGCTCTTCAAGCTGGTGCAGATATTTCAATGATTGGACAATTTGGTGTTGGTTTCTATTCTGCATATTTGGTTTCCGATAAGGTGACAGTCATCTCAAAACACAATGACGACGAACAATATCTTTGGGAATCATCAGCCGGTGGATCATTTACAGTACGACCCGATAATGGAGAACCAATTGGCCGTGGAACAAAACTCATTCTTCACATCAAGGAAGATCAAAGTGAATATCTTGAGGAATCAAAAATTAAAGAAATTGTCAAGAGACATTCACAATTTATTGGCTATCCAATAAAACTTGTCGTCGAGAAAGAGAGGGACAAGGAATTAAGCGAAGATGAAGATGAGGAAGACGAGAAAAAAGAGGACGAAGATGAAAAGCCAAAAATTGAAGACGTTGGCGAGGATGAAGATGAGGAAAAATCAAAAGACGAAAAGAAAAAGAAAAAGAAAACAATTAAAGAAAAATACACCGAAGATGAGGAATTAAATAAAATAAAACCAATTTGGACAAGAAATCCCGATGATATTTCACAGGAGGAATATGGTGAATTTTATAAAAGTTTAACAAACGATTGGGAGGATCATTTGGCAGTAAAACATTTTTCCATTGAAGGACAACTTGAATTTCGTGCACTTCTCTTTGCACCACGACGAGCACCTTTTGATCTTTTTGAAAATAAGAAAAAAAAGAATAACATTAAATTATATGTGAGACGCGTTTTTATTATGGACAATTGTGAAGAACTTATACCAGAATATCTTAATTTTATGAAAGGTGTCGTTGACAGTGAGGATCTTCCTCTCAATATTTCCCGTGAAATGTTACAACAAAATAAAATACTCAAAGTAATTAGAAAAAATCTTGTGAAAAAATGTATGGAACTTTTTGAGGAATTATCAGAGGACAAAGAAAATTATAAGAAATTCTATGAGCAATTTAGTAAAAATCTCAAATTGGGTATTCACGAGGACAGTCAAAATAGAAAAAAAATTGCCGAATTACTTCGTTATCATACATCAGCATCTGGTGATGAGATGTGCTCTCTTAAAGATTACGTTGGTCGAATGAAGGAGAATCAGAAACATATTTATTTTATTACCGGCGAAAGTAAAGAACAAGTATCGAACAGTTCATTCGTGGAACGAGTTAAGAAACGTGGTTTCGAGGTGATTTACATGACAGAACCAATTGATGAGTACGTGGTACAACAGCTAAAGGAATTTGATGGCAAGCAACTCGTTTCCGTGACAAAGGAGGGTTTAGAACTTCCCGAGGATGAGAATGAGAAGAAAAAGTTTGAAGAAGATAAAGCGAAATTCGAAAATCTCTGCAAAATAATGAAGGATATTCTCGATAAGAAAGTCGAAAAGGTCGTTGTCTCGAATAGATTAGTTGATTCGCCTTGTTGCATTGTGACATCTCAATACGGCTGGACCGCAAATATGGAGAGAATCATGAAGGCTCAAGCATTACGCGATACATCAACAATGGGTTATATGGCAGCGAAAAAACATCTCGAAATAAATCCCGATCATCCAATTATGGGTAATTTAAGACAAAAAGTCGAGGCTGACAAAAATGATAAATCAGTGAAAGATCTTGTTATGTTACTTTTTGAAACTGCTCTTCTATCGTCTGGTTTTGCCCTTGAAGATCCCCAAGTTCATTCGTCGCGAATTTATCGAATGATCAAACTTGGCCTTGGACTTGAAGATGACGATACACCAACTATTGAGGAAGAAAAAATTGACACTGATATTCCACCATTGGAAGGCGATATCGAAGAAGCATCAAGAATGGAGGAAGTCGACTAAAATTGATCACTAATCTATATCATTATTTCGATTAAATTATGAAAATTGCTAAATACTTAAAATTGTCGTTTAAATAATTTTATTTATAAGAAAAACAAAAATAGGAGAGAGAATTTTAAATAGTTGGCAATATTCATTATTAGCTTAAGTCATTATTTCCATTCGCACATTTAGTTTAATTTATTTGTAAGTTAAATTATTCTAGTGTAAGGTCGTTGAAAAAAAAAATTGTGATCAATAAAATAAAAAAGAAAATGTTCGGTAATGATTTCTTTTTCATTTAATTCCAGACTAAAAATAATTAAAAAATTTTAATTGTAAAAGAAAATAAAAATCTTTTTAATTTGAATATTAATTTAATTTCATGTAAAAATGATTATATTTTAATTTCTCTAAATTTTCTCAAAGTAATTAAAAACTTAAAAATCCCGCCATTAAATATATACAATTTTTCTAACCTCAAAAGTGACTTTTTTCAAATTTTATAAATATGCATATAAACGCTTTCAAAAAAACTAAAACTGATAGAAATAAAATTATTTCATAGACAAAAAGCGAATAAAAAATAAAAAATACTTTTAATTAATAAAAATAAATGAAATTTGAAAAAAAAACTTTAGAAATCAGCCATAATAAAAGGCAAATGTAAAGAGGGAAATACAATTATCTTTTTTCTACGCCAATGCTTGATGCTCATCCGGGGGCCATAAAGCAGCTTGGCTCAACACTCATATTCCACGGGTGAATTTCAAGAGAGCTTTATATTATCCTTTTGGGAAAGGGAATCGTGACGCGCGACGCAAGGTTCTTTACCCGCCATATTACATCGTTAAATGTCATTTGTGTTGCGTCCTTCGAAAATTGTTTAAAGAAATTTTTATTAAAAAGAAATATCATTCTATTTTCATCGTAAATTAAAGTAAAAAAACGAAAGTGATATGAATAGTAAAAGAAAATCAGCGCCAAGTAAGAAGCCTCGTGCAAAAACACGCAAGACTGAATATGACGAGGAAGATATCTCAAGTGATCATGATTCAGAGGTTGAGGAAGCTGATACCGGCAACACTACAGTCGACGGTGAGGATGGTGCCGATGTTGAAGAAGAAGATAATACCGACGTCTCAAATATTCCCGAATTACCTGCACCTGAGGTATAAATTATTTATATAAAAATAATATTTAGAATTTTTGCCACCCTATATTCATTTTTCTGTCAGCATTATATTTTAATGATTTTTATCTGATATCTTTTCCTATAGAGAATTGTAACGGTTTTTTTTTTTCACTTTTAGGGGAAGCGTCTTTATTATCACTGTTTTGTTATATTATTTCCTTGATAAAAGTAATTGAAAAATTATCATTTATTTCGTATCGTTATTTGTAAACACTTGCATTTTCAATGCAAACATGTTTTGAAAGGAAGAGAAATATTTTTGATCTAAGCATTCTTTAAGAGAGATATCAAAATAATATTTCATTTACTCAATTAGAAATTTGTCTAATTATTATTTTTATTTTTACGTTTATTTTAGTTAATCCTTTGAGGACAATTGTTGCTTTCAGGCAACATAAACATTTTTTTTTTGTTATTTTAAGCATAAGTTCCTTGATTTTTAAAACTAAATATTAGATCAATGTTTTTCATTTAGTTTAATAAATTTCCAATTCTAAACTCTGGTTTTGAGACAAAAAAAAACCCCTTAATTAGTTTCGCTGAAAAACTTATTTAAAAATCAAAAAAATCGCGATTTTTTAAGAAATAATTTGGTTCTCAAAGGGTTAAAAGTAAATTTAATCTGATTTTTATTAGTAGTTAATTAAAATTTACATTTGTTTTTTTAAAAATTAATTTAATTATGGAAATATTAATTTTTTTTACATCTTAATTTTGTTTTTTGTTTTATAGGGAGGATGGGGCAAGCCGGGAACTTTGCTTATGTGTGGTTTGACAAATTGGGATTTGGCTGGACGAAAAGCAGTACCAAAAGGAGCAAAGGCCAATGTTGGCAAAAGCCTATGGGTTCCACATACATTTAAAAATTTAAATGGATCTCGTGTAAGATTAGTTGCATCGGCTTCTGCAGCTGCTCACAATGTTGTCGTCACTGAGGACAATAGATGTTTAACATTCGGTAGAAACGATAAAGGTGATACTTTTTAATAATCAAAAAAAAAAAAATGCATCGAATTATTTTAAATATTAAATTATTTTTAAATTAAATTATTTTCCATTCCGTATTAAAATTTTTTTGGAACGGATTTTATGGAAACAATTTTCCATTGTTCTTTTTAAATTATTATTTTGCTATTGTCTAAATTTTTTTTGGTATATTTTAGGACAACTGGGAGTTGGAGATATGAAACGTCGAGATGAACCAACCGAGGTGGAGGGTTTGAAAGGTCACACTGTGATAGCAGCTGCTTGTGGACGTAGTCACACTTTATTTTTGACTAGTCGCGGAATAGTTTTTGCGGCTGGTGATAATAAACTAGGTCAATGCGGTGTGGGAAAAACAATTGCAAATGTTCTAACAGCAACAAAAGTAAAATATTCCGGTCCTCCCATTATTAAAATTGGATGTGGTGCTGAATTTTCAATGATTCTTGATATTAAAGGTGGATTACATTCATTTGGTTCACCCGAATATGGTGCATTGGGTCACAATACAGATGGAAAATATTTTATAACAAGTACAAAAATGGGTTTTCATTTTGAAAAATCGCCAAAACGCATTGTCCTTTATATGGAAAAGGGAAAGGATAATCATGTGACGCCATTGGATCGTGTTGAAATCACTGATTTTAGTTGTGGTCATTATCATACTGTTGCAATTGACAGTAAAAATCGTGCTTTCTCATGGGGATTTGGTGGAATTGGCCGATTAGGTCACAATGAACAACGAGATGAATTGGTACCTCGACTTATTAAATTTTTGGAACCACCTAGTCGAGGTGTTCGTGCAATTCATTGCGGAAGTACTTACAGTATTGTTATCAATATTCATGGTTCGGCATTGATGTTCGGTCAAACAAAACGTACAGGTGAAGCGAATATGTATCCAAAACCAATTCAAGATCTTTCTGGATGGGACATAAGATGCGTTGGTTGTTCGCAAACAAGCGTTGTTGTTGCTGCTGACGATTCTGTTATCGCTTGGGGTTCAAGTCCCACGTACGGTGAATTGGTAAGTTTATTATTTATTTTCGAAAAATCTCTCTCTCTCTCAAAAAAAAAAAAAATATTTGAAACAAATGTAAAAATTTCAGGGTTTCGGAGAAATGAGAAAATCATCAACAACACCAATGGAGGTAAAAGCTTTGGAGGGATTGTATATAACAGCCGTTACTTGTGGTATGTCACACACTCTTATGATTTGTCGGGATGAATCGGAAGAGGAGAAAAATAAAATAAGCAAACTTCAGGAATATTCAGTGTAATTGTGCAGAAGATTAAATTGCACTTTTATCATAATACAGGAACTGTAATTAAAATTCGTAATTTATCACAACTGTTTCGAAAAAGGAATTGATAGTTGAGTAGCTTGAGAAATCCTCATTGTTTCGAAAAAAAAAAAAATAAAGAGGAAAAAGGATTGAACTTTTGTCGAAAGTAAAGAACGAGTCCAAAAATCAATTTTGATTAGCCCTAAACAAAAAAAAAATGAAAAAATTGAATACTAACGAAAATTTTTTACTATAACTTTGTACTTGACAAGAAACGTCCACTAAATTTTTGTTTAACAATTTTTAAATCTCACTACTCCGTGATTCCGTACAATTTTTTATTAATACGTCCAATTTTTTGTTACGTTTCAAACGAATCTCATATTTTTTTTTTTTTTTTTTAGTAACTCAGGATATAAAACCAAACAGATATAAAAGTATATTTTGATACTTTTCTATTATAAAACAAAATGTTTCTTGTAACATCAATCGACTGATAAATAAGCGACACAATCTGTATTACAAATAGTTATATATATATAATCCGAGAAATTTAAAAGAGAAACTTTTTTCCCCCCCTCGTAAAAGTTAGATATTTACTCAATTTTTATAAGCTGGTACCTGAATTGTCACGTTTCATTTTTTCAATGGCACATTGAATAACGAGAGAAGGAAAAATTATTAACGATAAAAAGAAAAAGTTGTATAAAAAATTATTTATGACTTATTTATTTATAAATTTAACGCTTAATTTATTTATTTCCAATATGGAACATTTATCTTACCGAATATTTAAAGTAGAAAAAAATTGGTTAAAAATTAATTTCGATGTAAGTTTAAAATTAAAAAATGGAAAAAAATGTTCCTTCTCTCTCTGTGCAATTGTGACCTTTGTTAGACTTTGTTTAATATTAAAATAAATAATAATAATAATTAATGATACAACGCAACATAACGACTGATAATATCACCTATTTTTTTTATAAAAGGTGAGACAATAGACTTCAATCCGTAAGCCTTAATCATCGAAATCAATTTCAATTATTACAAAATACTCTGAGAGCAAATTTATGCTATTATTAATATTGTTCTAAGAAACAGATCTCAGAGAAAAATAAATATAACGAATTAAACACGTTTGTATTAAACTTCTGCTCAGATATATACATACGTAGCTTATACTCGCACATCAAGGTTTACCCCGTTCTTCCAAATAATTAATTTTCCCTATTTTGTACTTATGACAAAAATGTACTACACATTGAACTATGCATTCGTCGACTAATGTTTTTTTTTTTTTTTAAATGATTTACAATAAGAGAAATTATTTTTCAATATTGATTTTAATTTTAAATCGATTTTATCCTTTTAATTGTCATTTGATAGAATGTTTTTTTTTAAATTAAAACGTTAAATATATTTAAAAGAAAAAATAAATGTACAGTTCAATAATACTGTGGTTAAGGTTTTTATGTACATTAAAGTTGAAATACGAAGCCTAGGTTAAAATAAAAAAAATGCCGTGATGTTTAAATAATCAATAATTTAAAAAAAAAACTCAAGATTTCATTCCATTTCAATTTGTAATAATTTTATCTTTTTCACGGCAAGTCTGCACTGAAATATATATATTACATAAATATATATATTCTAATTACAAGCGAGAAATGTACGAAAGTGTAGTTACAAAATAAATCAAGCAAGTTTTTTAGAAATTACTATGTGTTTAATTATTTTGCAATATCTCAATCCCTTTTTTTTATTTTAGATTTATATTTGTCGTTTAATTTTTTTTTTAAACAAATTTATTTTTTAGATAATTATAATCCAAAAAATGTTTGAAAATTTATTGTGTTATAGATATTTTATATAATTTTAATATTATGTAGATAAAAGTAAAAATGTTTCACTTCAATATAAAATAGAGAAAAGTTTTTAATTTTACTCACATTGCGATGAAGTCCTGTATCTGATAATATCCAATGCAATTTATCTTCTTACTTCGGAAAAAAAAATTTTAACCTTAATACACTTATTTATTAAAGTAACGACACTCCCGATATTAAAAATGTTAATCTAATTTTGTTTTCACATATTAACCTAATTTTAAATAAACTTAAATCAATAAACGGCACTCCCGATAAAAAAAAAAAATTATTCATTAGTTTATTTGGCGCCAAAAAATAAGATTGCAATTTTCGTTACATTCATCTCAATTTTGCAACATTTTAATTAGAAAAGACACAAATATTGTTTCACAGCAACTAAATATACCTTCTTTATAAGATTTTTGATAAATCAATTGGCAAAAAGCATATTATTTAACGGAAAATTCAACACAATGTCGTTGCAAAATTTATTGTTAAAAAATTGCAAGATGGCGGACAACAATAACCAAACTTTGTTAAGAGAAAATATTTGATCATTTCACCACATTTCATAAAATACTCACAACTATTATATCAATATGATGTCCGACTTACCGAATATTAACAAATATTAATAGACTTTTCTAAAAACTTGCCGAGAAAAACTTTAAAATAGTGAAAAAATGAGGAGCAACAATGTAACAAACCATCCGTTTCAATCGCTCCCGACAAACTGAGGTAAGCGCCACCTAGTCAAGCGAACTATTAAATTTTAGTTTTTCATATTGAATTTATATTCCGATTTCTACCTTAGACCTTTAATTTAATAGTAAAATTAATGAGAAAAATAATTATTATACTTGATTATTATACTTTTGTACACAAATAATGAACAAAAGTAATGAATTAACAATATGGACAAGAAATTGACTAGTTGTGTCGGAAGTAAATAAGAAAGCATTCTGATTGGTTGATCGAATTCCTTAAAATTTGAAATACTACTTTAATTATTTAATCTCTACTAAATATATTTAATAATTATTGATATACCAAAATATTTTCTGAATCTCTTTAAAGAAAATACTTTAATTATTTATTATCTGAAAATAATAGATAATAAAATAATAAAGTAAAATAAAGAAATAGAAAGTTAATTTCAGAATGCGTTCCAAAATTCACTAGCGACAGTGCTGCCACAATAACGGGACTTTTATGAGTATTTTTAGATAGCTTTTGGAACACGAGAGTCAAGTTTTTAACCCCACCCATCCTATCCATGACAAATGCAACTTTTACTTCCCGCTGAGTTCGTTCTCCGTCTCCACACGAGATCTTTTGGGTTTTAGCCAATATTCTTGCTTAGTGCTTGTGTTCTCTTGTATCTTCCGTTAATTTTCCAAAAAGCTTATTTGCATTTCGCAGTCGTATATCTCCAAGGGATATATTTTGTTTGTCGTATGTCCATCCAGAATCTCAACACATTCGGTAATTATCGAATTTTTGATCTCGATGATTCCTGTGCGCGTTTTCACATAGAATAGTTTTGACAAAATGGCGACAGCGTCTTCACTTGCATCACTTAATGCAATATAAATTAAAGAAATAATTGTTTTGTGTGTAATTAAAAAATTTTCATATCAATAAATATCAATTCAATTTATTGTGCGTCAAAACAAAACTCGCTGTTTAGATCAAAGTTTTCAATGTCTACCACGAGGTGTAGATTCTGACAAAAACATTTTGTTTTGCAGACCCCTTTGCAGATGCAATCAAGGGTTCAGATGATGATGTCCAGGACGGTCTCGTGCATATAAGGATTCAGCAACGGAATGGTCGCAAGACCTTAACAACGGTACAAGGACTCTCTTCTGAATATGACTTGAAGAAAATTGTTCGAGCATGTAAAAAGGTATGGTATATTTAATTTCTGACAATCTCTTCTTTTTTTTTTTACCCCCGTCCCTTTTTGCTTTCTCCTTTTATCTTAATGCGCGCTCTCTCTTTCTCCATCAGACTCACTTGACTTGATCATTTTTCATTCTTCACTCTAAATATAGAATTTGATGAGAAAAAAAAGGAATTTATCTTTTTGATCGGAAAAATAAATAACGGTATTTTCAAGCTTCTTTATTCGTGTGTCTTCCTGGGTTAAACCAGTGAATGTATTTTTTTTTTTTTTTATACGTCATCAAAATTCCTATCAAGCTGGTTTCCTCATTGACGCTTGAGATTGCGGAATTAAATGTTTCTTTGTCATTTCATTTTCAAAAATGGATCATGCTTCTTATTAAAGTAAATTGTAACGCGTAATTCACTATATTTAGAGTGACCTTGTTCCCATTAAAACACTACCGGTAAATAGCTCAAAGTCATTACAATGAAATTATATCCTTAACTTTCACGATTTTATTATAATCAGTTGAAATTTAATCTATTTCCATTCACTAAGCAATTTTTGAAGAAATTTCGATTTCTTTTCCATTTTATTATTTTTTTTAATTTAAATCTATATTTGATAATTAAATAAGACATATTTTTTTTCTTCATCAGCTTTTGGAAAATTTAAAGATTATTCTAGAAATTGCGAATAATCCTTTTAATTTATCAATATCTCAAGTAAACACATTTGTTTACATATAATATCGCAATTATTAATGTCATTCCAATTATGAGTCATAAAACGTCATATATAATTATATATGTAAGCTTTATCTATGAATTTTTATAAAATTTCAAATTTCTCTATTTCGCTTTTATTTTTATATAAATAGAACAATAGATTTAATAAAATTGGAAAAATTTACTATATTAGCGAATAACCTTGAATAAAGTTCACAATTGCAAATATTAACAATCAGAAATTGAAATTAGAGTTAACAAGCAAATATAAAGTGTAACTGAGAAAAACAAAACTTATTTTTTTTTTTCATAGTTAATGATTAAAAAATTTCATTTTCTCTAAATTTTTTTCAGATTTAAAATAGATTTTTTTTGAAATTTTTACAAGAGAATAATTTTGAAAAAAGAAACATTTGAAAATAGTGAGAAATTTTTATTTCAATTTAGAAAATTAAAAATACAAAAAAATTAATTATTATTGACTTTTATGTAGGAGTTTGCCTGTAATGGGACAGTAATCGAGCACCCGGAGTACGGGGAGGTATTACAGCTGCAGGGGGATCAGCGAGAAAATATATGCCAGTGGCTAACTAAATCAGGTCTGGCAAAACCTGACCAGCTCAAGGTTCACGGTTTCTAATAAGCAAACCACCGATGCCACTATCTAATAATACAATTCCATCTACGCCATCACTTTTTCATCTTAAATTATCTGTATCGGTCACTACTTGTTGATACTTCGTGGGATATCCTATTATATATACGCATATATATTTCAGTAATAAAAAAAAAAAAAGAAACAAATATATACGTATATAAAAAAAATATATATATATATAAAACATAGTACCGTTATATAGGCACATTTTAATCCGAATTTCGGTACGTGAATATATTAAGAATAAATATTTTACAGATTTATGTTAGGTGCTCAGCTCGATTTTGTCACAATTAAAATAATATTAATAATAATAATAGCGATAAATAATAGAATTTGACGAAGCTCTACGTTCATGAGATAGATACAGGTAGAAACGGATGGATCTTAATTTTGATGTTAGATAGTATGTATCTGGGCGCCATAGACGTGTTCAGAGAGGTCGATTCAAGTTCTCCTAGGGTTCTGATTGGCTTCTCATAAAAAAAAAAAAAAAAAAAAAATTTCTCTACAGCTTTTTGCTTCACTTTTTTCCCCCTATATATATATATATAAATATAAAATAAGGACCATAGTTTTGTGCTTGAGACTTGATCAATTTTTTTTTTCTCCCTCAAACTTTTGTGCCTTTTTATTCCACTGATTGTATTAGTTGTAAATGACGTTGAAAATAATGTAAAACAAAAAACGCCACAATTTTTTTTTCGGCGTAAATTGTTTCACTTCTTTCTAAATGCAATATTGGTATATAAATAATAATTGTTTTTTGTCTTTGAAAAAAAAAAAAAAAAATGTGGCTGTTCTAATTAAATAAATGGCAATTCATCAGTTTAATCAAAATGGTTTATAATTTTTATAATTCCTGGATTTAATTTCTTCAAAAATATGACTTGTTATTTCTTTAGCTCATTCGATTTTAAATTCAATTATTGTTTCCTGTATCAGAAAGAACGGTTTAAAATTTTGAATTTCAGGTGTTAAAATGAAAATTCTTCTAAACAATCGATTTCCTCTTTTTTTCTCGTTATTTGATTTTTCATCATGATAAAGTTCTCAATTTTTCTTAAGAATAATATCTGTTAAAATTAATTCGATACGTTATAAATTTTCAATGGGATGTTTAATTAAAAATTTTGCAATTTCTTTCGTAATTGAAAAATTACAAATTTAAAAAATTAAATTATCACCTGAGAAATGTGAATATCAACAGAGAATAAGGTAGGAATCTAAACATTTCAAATTAAAATTAAAAATTTGTTAATTTTTTTTTTCTTTCTTTCTTTCGTTCCTAATTCTTACGTAATTTTTGAAACTTATTGTTTATGAATAAATATGTAAATTCAAGTTTCTTACAAGTATTAAAATCAAAACAATCATTTACGACTTTGAATTTAATTATTTTGATTTTATTTTATTGTTCATATCCTGAACTTTTAATTGCTTTTCAAATTTTGTTTTTATAGGTCAATGAAAACTCAAATTCCCAAAAGAAAATGTGGTTTACATTATAAAGTAAACAAAATACAAGGTGAGAAAATTGTTTTTTATTTTTAAAAAGTTTTTTTTTTTTTTTTTTTTTATAAATAAATTAGTAAAATTTTTGTAAAAGAAAACTTTCACAAATCTAATTTTTATAATGGGAAATAGTTGCAGTGTTGTGCTATTGACCAAGGACGATTATTCAATTTGTCCGCAACGGTTACATGGCACGGATAGCACGATCATGCCTTTGCGTGCTGATTTCTTATCGACTATCGCAAGATATTTTTCATGCTGTTACACTTTGAATCAAAGTGCGTAAAAGATTTTGGAACAGGAGTTTAATATTTTTTTTATTCTCATTCATTGAAATTTAAATCAGGAAAATAAATTACTTGTACATTGTATAATTATGTATATATAGAAAAAGAATGTTTATATATGCCATTTACAAGCTGCGCATATATTATGTAAAATTGCTAGAAATCATGTATATGTAAAAAGAGATGCGTTTATCATCAAAACACTACAGGGAAATGATTTGACTGGGATTCCCTGAAATGTCAAAAGACCTCGACAAGAAATGAGCAAATGCAGGCAAGTGTGCCACGAAGGGTATAATACAACCGTGTACAGTATATGTGTCTTTTCCTTTTAATAATGTGTGCGTATGAGGTCCAGATAGTCAGTAGTGGCTCAATATAGTTTTTTTTTTCATAATTAATTCCATCTCACGAATATATTTTTCCCGGAAATTGATATTCTTTATGGTCATAAAATGACAATATAAATATCAAAATTTTTCACGGTAAATTATAATAATTTTTTAGGTTATTTATTTGTTTCTTTTAATCGAATAAACATTGATAAATTAACCTTGAAAAATATTTTATTAAAATTAAGTTTTAAAAAATATTAAATACCTGTTGTGTATTATGTAATATTTAAATTTCGTTTCCTTTCCTCATAGGTTGGTTTAGAAGAAACGTAAAAGGGGGGAAAGTATGTTCGAAGGGTTGTAAATGCCCCCTTAATTCTTCCGCTACTGGGCGCAGTATTTGCAAGACATTGCACGGTTATGTTCAAAAAATGACTCATTACTCTGGACGTTGCTGAATTTTTCGTAGTTAGTGCATAATATAGGTAAGTCTCTAGTGTACATTAATGTGTTATTATTTGAATATAGTTTTTAGAAAATATTGAATTTATCAAAAACAATGGAATGATTTTGCAAGAATTGAAAAATTGTCTCTCATATAATAACACGTGTTTCAACCGTTTGATTATGGGAAAGTGGGGGGGAGAGAGACCCTTTGAGACAATCTTGTGTAGAAGATAACTCTCTCCAAAGTATTTTAATGTTCGGCATATATAAAGTGAAAAGTGTGCGTCACCAATACGCGATAGTGAAGCTGTTTCTTAGAAAAAGAAAAAATAAGCAAAGCAACCGTTCTCCGCATACCAAGTAAGACGCTGATTTCGAATGGCAAAGTAGTTGAAGTTTTGTACTCGTGAACTTTTAATGGTAGATAAGAGAGCAAAAAGAGGAAAAATAAATCATTGAATATAAGAGATGAAATTAAAATTTGCCGCGGTTTTTTAGTTAAGTGCCGGTCCCGAGTTTTGCGCTACTATCGCGGCTACTGTTAAAGTTATAGCGGCGACTGCCCAGAAAGCATTGAGCCACGGCATGTGCCTTTCTGTGTCGGCCATTTTGTAGTTTCCTTGAGAAATTGTGTTGAGTTGATTCTTCTTATCGGTAAGGATTTAACGAAATTAACGAACGCCGCTTTTCACATCGATGCGAGCTTCATAAAAGTACGCTCACGCGTACTCCTGCCGGAGGAATTTTGACTCGTGGGATTGAATTAAGGGTGCGTTTCCGTTCACGGGCCGTGTTCTTTTGCCTGGCCTCACGATCTTTTTAACACTCTCGTGTACGAGCCAGTAAACGAAGCTGCCGCCAGCATCCACCGATAAAGCTCCTTCAGGTTCGTAAAACGGTAAATCACAAGTCCAATGAGCTCGTTAATAAAGATTTTGGGACTTCGGAGTCCTGTTAAAACGGTTGTCAATCGTGTGGGGCTGCGTGCGCGATCGTTGCTGGCCCGGCCAATGTCTCACTCTATATTTGGCTAGTCGCATCCAACATATTGCATATCTTGCCCTTTCAAAATTCTCACTTTGCACGGCGCGTCTATCACCGACGAGCTCTGTTAATGGAATCTAGTGTAACGTGCTAAAACGAACCCTCATCCTTTTCCATACGGTGTCCTTGCTGGAGCGACTCCTAGCATGTGGTGTGCTCACTTTGAATGCAGAAACCTCGTTCCTTAATGTCGCGTTATATCGCGTAATTTTACATGTTACGTTTTCTTATAACCGGTAATATTAAAATAATTTTCATTATTCGTTTAATATCACGGAATAAATAATTATTGTGAATTCTGCTAATCGCTAAAAGGATAAAGTCTCGTGTGCTTAAGCTCATCTAACGCACCCCTGGTGAGAGAAATGGACGGAGAACGATCGGCCCCTTGAAACTACTCCTGACTTCCATCTGGACTCATCTTTTGCTTTCGAGTATTGTATTTCTCAATTTGCATGCCCTAATCAATTACGTTCCTTCAGATTTGCAGATTGCATCAGCTAAGTACTCCATTTTAGCAATATTGTTAAGTGACATTCCCACCAAACCCACCATATCTCTCTCTCTCTTTCTCACTCTCTTCAACATAACCACAAAGTTACATTTTTTTTTTTATTCACAATCAATCCAACCAGATTTCAGAACTAATTTATAATAGAACTGTTGCAAAATGCATCTTTGACCTAGAAAAAAGAATATATTGTCTGAAAAAAAAAATTTTTTATTTATTTTTTTTGTTTTTTCGACAAAATATTTCTTTTTTAATGACTCATAATTATTCTATATGTAATAATCGTATTTTTTCTCTGACGAAAAAATTATGTATAATGCATTTGTCACAGTGACTTTTCAATGCATCAAACATTTATTAAACGGATTCTAAAAATACTTTAGTCGTGATATTACACAAATTGTAAAATTACATTTTTTTTTAATGTTTATATTTTTTTTTTTTGTGGAGAAGGAAATATTTTTTTTGTAATAAAAAAAATCATTTTTTAAAGTGAACATTTTTTTTTATGATTTTTGTCATTAAAAGAAAATTGGCAATATTTGCAATTGTTATTTACTAATTGTAACTAAATTATTTTATTATACCAAAACTTTTGATAAATTGTAGAAAATTCTTTCTTCTTTCAAGTTACTTTAGATTTTTGTAAAGCAATTAAAATTTGGAAATGTAAAATTATGGGAAATATTTTTTGTGTGATTAAAATACCCCTCGTTCTTCAATAATGAAGAATATGTTAATGCGGAGAAGGTTGTGATTGTTTTTTTAAATGCTATTTAAAGAGATTAATTTAAGTTTTATTTTTTTTAACAGGGCACGTGTACATGAATGGGGACATTGGCAAGCTCCCACCAGGGGCGGTTTACACAGCCACCCCTGAAACACTCAGCATGGTTGGAGGTGCTTCCGGTTTAGATTACGGCGTCATGAACGGTGGACCAAGTGGAGGTGAATTAATGCTCGACGCGGGTGTAGGCACCTTGGAACCTGCACCTCAACTTGCCATGGGTATGGGAGGTGCCGTTGGATACAGTCCAGTAGATATCACTAATATTGGCGAAGTTTCCGCACCAACCAGTCAAATGGCTGATCTTTCCGTGTCGGGAATACCTTTAGAACAACTTAAACAGATGCTCTCGTCTCAACTCGAATATTACTTCTCCAGGTACATATTTTAGTTTTTATAGTAATTAAAATACAAATGTAATCTTTTTTTTTTCTCATTTTAGAGAGAATTTAGCTAATGATACATATTTATTATCTCAAATGGATAATGATCAATATGTACCGATATGGACGGTAGCAAACTTTAATCAAGTGAAAAAATTGACGAAGGATATCAAATTAATAACTGAGGTGCTGCGAGAGTCTCCTAACGTTCAAGTAGACGAGGAGGGTCAAAAAGTCAGGCCCAATCACAAACGTTGTATAGTTATCTTAAGAGAAATTCCTGATAACACCCCTTTAGAGGATGTAAAGGTCAGTTTTTTATTTTATTAACTTGAAATTTTAATTTCTAATTTTTTTTTTTTTATTTCCATTACAGAATTTATTCTCAGGAGAAGGTTGTCCGAGGTTTATTTCGTGTGAATTTGCACATAATAGCTCCTGGTACGTTACTTTCGAGTCCGATGAAGATGCTCAAAAAGCCTATAGGTTTCTACGTGAGGAAGTACGAGAGTTTCAGGTAAATTTGAATTCTTTTTACAATTAATTATATTTTACTGTAATTTAATTGTATTTTTTTTTTAACTAGGGAAAGCCAATTATGGCGCGCATCAAGGCTAAACCAATGAACAGGCTACCGATGCCAACAGTATCAGGAGTTGGCGGAATTAAGAATGGATATCGAACTCCACCTCAACCACCGCCAGTCTATGATCCTGGAACTTATCAACCAAGCCAGCAACGATTTATGTACACGAATGGTACCACGATGCCACAAACTACAATGCCGCCATATGCCAATCAAGTTCACGTCTACGTGAGTAATTTATAATAAATTTAATTTTTTTCTAGAATAATTTTTATTGTTTCTCCCTATCAATTTTGCAGCATCAACCGTTTTACCCAGCTGGAATGGTGCCTTGGGGAGCAGCAAGTCCGGCTTATTTCGATGTCACGAGCATGTTTACCATGAATGGAATCACTCCTCACGCGACGTACAAACCACATAACACAAGATACAATCAGAGGAACAGGTGAATATAAAAAAAATTAAATTAATTAATTAAAAAAAACGCAGGAAATATATATAGGGACCTGTGTTTTGAAACAATTTTAACGAGAAGTATGAATTTCCAAAATGGAGATTGATTTGTAATTAATTTTTAGAAACAAACAAAGAAATGGACCTGAAAGAGGAGGCGGAGGTATGGGAGTAAATAATGTAATGGTAGACGGAAGTTTAAGCAACGTTGGAGGTGGTGGTAATATGTCAATGCCACGAAGTTCGCATCCTCCATTGAGCGGTGGACCTGTTCCGATAGTAACAGCGACTCCTGTCTTAACACCAAGTTTACCCACAGCAAAACCAACAGCTTCCTCCTATCAGGTTGGCACAAAATTTCACGTCTCACATTCAACAAATAATACGATTGGCGAGGCACAATATGGTAGTAGCAGCGGCAGCAGTAGTCATACAACAAAAGGAGGGTCACAGGAGAGCGATGCTCAGACCACTCTTGAAACGACGAGCGCAGTACAATTTACGCGTCATCGCATACATCGCAGGACCAAAGATCAAGAGACAAATTCAAAAGCAAATAACAGTAATCAACAACCATCTTCGAATAGAGATTCTGCTCCGGCCAGTAATACGCAGCACAATCGAGGGATACAATTTGATTTAGAGGCATCGGCATTTCCACCACTTCCCGGCTTAGACGCCGATCATAATAAATCACATAATCCAACGACAGAAACAATTGCCAATGAATGTTCGCAATCGCAAAATAGACTCGCGGACGTTGTTAAAGGTACGGCTAAAATAAAAAGCACAAAGGAGAAAGAATCGGGTATCGCTCAACAATTTAATCAACAACAGCATCATGTGCATCATCATCATCATCAGATTAGTAACAGTAGTAGGTCGGCGAGTCCTGGTTCCTCTAATCCAATTGCCACCACTGTTGTTACAATTACTGCTGTTCCTCCTATTGCTTCTTCAACTGGTGGTGGTCATGGTTCTACGCAGGAGAATGCTGGACAAAGTAATTCGTCTTCAGTTTCCGGCACGGCTCCATCATTGAACTCCAATACATCGGCAAGCAGCGCCGAAGTTACAGACAATGCTCTGAGCACCATCACTCCTCTATCTCCCCCGTCATCTCCCGATAAGTGAGTGTGCTTTGTTTCTCATACATACATACAAATTTACAATACAAAAAAAAAACACTGCTTTTTCTCCCTAAATTAGTTCTCGCGTTTACATTACAATTTGGGTTTGCACGAAGACTTTTTTTTTTTTTATTTCTTTTTCAATGATTGTAAAAATCAATTTGTCTGAACTCAATTCGTGGTCTTGATCAGTTTTATTTTTACTCGATTATCAAGTTCCAGTTTATTTGAATTTTACATGGAAAACTTTGACGTAACTTCTACTTACTATAATAATAATAATAATTTCTTGTTTTTACAATATCAAATTTTTATTCGTCATATTTATTTCAGTAAACTAATTTTTTATCCTTATTTGCAAAAAACGAATTTCCATATTATGTATTTTTTTGTTTGCCTGAAAAATTATTTAACAATATTAAATTAATTAACTGAATTTCTTTTTTTTTTATGACGAAATCATTTTTTCGGCAAACAAAACTTGTAATGTGAAAATTCAGATAGTTTTCATAGTACATAAAATGTGGACATAAAATGATAATTATAGTAAATATGTCGAATTAAAATTCTCGTAAACGATTATTCGGAAAGTTGAATTTCGATATAGTATAATAAAATTGCCAATATTATTGCATTCAGAATAGTATTAATAATTAATAATAATAATAGTAATAATATAATATCATTATTACAATAATTATTTTTTTAAATTTTCTTTTTTTACTTTGTAGATTTAAACTGATAATCAGTTCATTAAAAGATTCTATCTACTTATTGAATATTTTTGAATTATCTTTAAAAAAAAGGAAAAAAAAAATACAAAAATGATGAATAATTATTATAACTATACAATTCTATTTTTAACTGTATTTTTGACATTTTCAAATTAATTTTATTTTTTATATAAAAAATCGTTTTTTAATTTAACATTACGTTAATTTTATAGTTTTTAATTAAAAATTTAAAAACTAGAATTTTAATCATTATAAAAAGGAGAAAAAAAAACAATTGGAAAGTAAAAGCAAAACGTTAACAATACGTTTAGGGGCTTTAAAATTTCTTTATTGTCGTTTGAAGTGTAGCCAAATTTAGAAATTTAAATTTGTTGACGATTCATCATATCGTAAAATTGAAACTAATGGAAAACTAAACTGAGATATTTCTTTCGGTGTAAATAAAGCATTGAATCAAGATTATGAAAATGAAAGTAAAATAGAAAATACATTATAAAACGTAAAAAAAAATTCCGTATTATAAATTAGTTAAAACTAAGATCACGAATTTTGTTTTTATGCAAAACATTTTTACATTCAATGATATATAATTTGATATTTAAAAAATTAAGACTAAATTGATAAACGTAAATGTGTACTCAACTCTATAAAGCATAGTAGAAATATTTTCCAAATATAGAAAATTTTATTACATTTTATTTAACTGGCTTTTTTTCAGAAAATGAAAATAAGAGTTGAAATCTACGTTTTTCAGATATTTTATTTTCCAATTATTTCATATTTTTATATTCACTTTCGTTAATTGAGATTTAATTTATATATAAATTAATGAACATGAAAATTGTCTTTTATACCAGTTTGAAAATATTATTTGACAAAATGTCATATATATTTAAAAATAACAAAAACAAAAATTGAGCTTTCTTGAAATACGGGTTTGAAAATTACTATAAATTTTATTTTTAATTTAAAATTTGTTTGACATAATTTTAAGACAGAAATTTATAGGTTTTTAAAGTACATTTGATCAAGTATATATATATAATTATTTTATTTTTAAAATAACTTAAAAGTTAATTGTTATTTTAAAAAAATTATTCTTATACTTGTATATTTGTTTTTGCTTTTTTATTTTAATTGTTTTTCACAAATAATAATTTAGATTTAATGTGTTTATGGAGAAAAGTCTTATTTTCAATATTAAAACACTGCCTTGCGCACTTAAAAAAAAAAGTTTTCTTTAATGTCTATTTTATTTGTTTCGTTACAATTTTTAGTTGATAAACATGTAGTATTCATGTATTTTAGAATTTAATTAAAGTTTTTATTTTTAAGTATTTTTTTTTTGGTTTTTATCTTCTGCTTGGTAGTAGTTTTATTAATATAAATATTAAATTTTAGTTATTTCTTTTCATTTCTAGTGGTTAATCGTACGCTTTCTTGTTTGTGTTAAACTATATAGATTTCCCACTTTTATGATTTGTAGTATTGTAAAATTTTTCAGGGACATTGTCCTAACAAACCAAAAAAAGATATACATTAAGAAATAAAGTACATATTAATAAATAAATAAAAAAAACAATATATATACATTAAGGAAAAGAATATACAATTAAAAATAGAATTTACTATTTAAGACATTGAAAAATTAAATTTTTTTTTAAGCGACTGCTCAAAGTAGAACGTAATCTTTGAGTATTTTAATTTTTGAGTTTTTGCTAAACTTTAAACTAGAGATAAGTTACTCTGCTACTTTAAAAAAAAATACACGACACAAAAAATTAAAAAATTGTGCAAAGTATGAGAAACTCGCTGTACAAAAATAATGTACGGATGTATGTTACTGTATAATAGTTTTTCGTTAATGATTTGCACCAATCTTCGCGACAGTGAAAGAAGATAACTAAAACAGACTGCGTTAGTCATTTAACGTCTCATTATTATTATTATTATTACTATTATTATTATTATTATTAATATTATTATTATTATTATTATTATTTTCTTGATATTGTTGAAAGTTTCATTGAAAAGAGTCTCTATGTAAAAAAGTGTTCGATTTAAGGTAACAAGTAAACATTTTTTTAACCACAGAAGTTAGGTTTTGTTTTTGATTGCAAATAATCATAGATTTATTGTCAATAAAAATAAATGTATATCAGTTTGTTAATATTGTGAGTTACAAATCTTGCAAGACCCGATCCCTGAAAAGTTTTTTTTTTCAATTATTATTATTATTATTACTATATCTTTCTCTTTTTCTTTCTGTTCACAATTTAGAAAAATTATTCTTTTTTTCATATAGTAACTTTTATTGAAATTTTTGGTGTGTATAGTTTTTTTATTTATTTATTTAAACACAAAAACCTACACACATGTAAGTAATTTAGGTAAAAGACCTTTATCACTGAAATGCACCACTGACAGATCTATAAAGACTGATGACTCGAACTTGATGAATGGTGTGGATGAGGCCATAAGTACAAATGCACAAGCAGCAGAAGAGTCCGAACCAGTGACCAGGTGCGATTGTGACATCCCTACTGCCACCCAGAATATCCAGTCGCAATCTGGAGTGGCCTCTGCCTTTCCTTTAGTAAGTTTTATTTTTTTCTATTTTTTTTTTCTCTCGTTTATTAATCTCTCTTCTTCCCCCAAAAAAAAAATAACTAATTTTTTTTTTCAGCATGTTTTCAACTTTTATTGCTTTTTATATTAATATTTCGTTTGTATATTTATTTCATTTACAGATTATTGGATTATTTGTTCAAAAACAAATTTCAATTTTTGATTAATTTTGATAATTATTCTATTTTATTTTATAGCAGTAGTTAAAAACAACTTTAACTATGATATTTAACGACAAAAACATCAGGTAGACGAATAATTAAAAGAGAAGAATAAAAATTCGTCTACTCATTAATTTATAATCAATGTGCAATATTTTTTTATTTTAATTTTGTAAAAAAAAATCACCTGCTTTTATTTTGTTGTGAGCTTTTATATTAATTGTTAGTTCATCTAGATATAATTAAATTCACTTTTTATTCGCATTATTTTTTTAAAGGATATTTTATTAAATTGTAAAATTAATTTAAAAAATCAATTATTTATTTATTTCAATTAAATAAAATCCTTTTTTTAATAAATTGAAATAAATTTTTAATAAAATTTAAATAATATGATAGTAAAATATAATTTTTTTCAACAGGATCTTACCAGGCCAAGTTATGCCCAAGTAGCCCAACATTGTCGCGAACTACCATGTACAAAACACAAAGCAGATGAAAGGGATGGAAATGCGTAAGCCGATATGTAAGTAAGCTGCTCATTCATAATGTCCTTCCTCTGATCAATTGTTCGTAGCTTCTAAAGAGAAAAAAAAAAACAAAAAAAAAAATTTAAAAAAAAACAAAAACAACCGATTACGTTGATGACTTGAGAATAATCACCTAATAGATCGATCCAAAAAAAAAGAATTTCTCCAAATTTTCCCCCCCTCATCAAAGGAAAAGCGATTAATGAAATTTTTTTTTTTGCGTTTATTTAATATAAATAAATGGAACGATCTTTTGCGTTGTTATTCTTAAGAAATAAAAGAGAAAGAACGAGAAAAATGTTAAAGTACATATTTCTGATTGAATGTTATCAATGTGTAGTATTCATACGAAAAAACAAAATACTACTGCGATCAATTTGAATATATTTAGCAGTTACCATTCATTTGAAATTGAGTGGATTGTTTATCTGCTTAAAAATGCTATAACAAAACAAAAATAATAATAATAAAAAGAGAAAAAAAAAAGTGGGCACGAAAAACTCTTTTTACATAATTGTACAGTGACTTCGCCTACATAATGAATGTGGTATTGGTTGACAAAAAGTATGATGAAAGCAAAAAAAAAAAAAAATCATTTTTATTTCACGAGACAGTAATCACAATCCCCCTCCCAATCCATACCCCCCCCCCACCCCCAATTTTACTTTTAAAAAATGAGAATATGATTGCTGGCAGGATAATACACTATCTAATGGGAGAGTATTGTTATTGCTTTGGTTCTGTGATTTTGGAGGTACATATTTGTTAGCTTGTAAAAAAAAAAAATGTTAAACTAAGGTGTTAATCTTTTTAATTCCTTTTTCTCCTACCTACTTATATCATAGTGCAGAGCCGTAACTGGGGAAAAAAAAAATCTTTGTATTTGTGCCAAACCCTGCTATTTACACACATACACACACATATATATATATACACAATTACACAAAGACAACGTAGTCGAAAACGTTTGTTTTGTTTGTTTTTCTTTTTTTTCTTTTTTTTTTTTTCTTACTATAATTCGGATATACTGATTTTTCCAGAATATTGGTCACGAGAATCGAAATCAAATTTTGCATCTACGAAACCATATTCGTTAAAGAGGTTCTTTTTTTTGTGTCTCTTTTTTTACGCTTACTATGCGAGAAACAAAAATAATAAACGCATCTTGTATATAAAATGATTGTGTCAAGAAGAATAATATAAAAAGCGATTAAGAAAATCGATGCGAATTTAGTCTTTAGGAAATTGGCTAAAAAGATTGTGAATTTAGACTATAGTTTTAAATATATATTTTTTTTTTCTTTTTGTTAACATTTTTGACTTTTTGATTGTACTGCCTAAGTAATTAAGCAAAAACAATTAAATGATCTTAATATTTTATTTTGTATTTTTACCATTTTTTTTTTTTTTTTTTTTCATTTTTTTAAGGGTTGCAAAAGTCATGAATTTTTTTTTTTTTGTATTAAATTGGCCATTCAATTTTTCAAAGAAAATATATTTTTTTTTTTTGTATTTATATCTTTAACTTTTAAGAGAAAATAGTTGGTTTTTTTTTTCTTCTCACCATTGACATGCCTTAAATATTTATAAATATATAAATAAATATATATATTATATATAATTCGGTGGCCATATTATAGTGTGGATCAAAATGATGGGGAGGGATGGGGACGGGGAAAATAAATTTTATCGCTTAGATAATGTACTATATAATTCCTAGTGTAAAGTTTGTATAATTAAATAAAATGTAAAAAACAACAACAACAATGATTAAGATCGTTGCAAAAAAAAAGCAAGTTCCAAAATGTATTATTCTACAATTATAATGTTCTAAGTAATATACTAGTCTTTACTAGAAGCTTTAAAAACGGTAAATTTCACGGGAAACGGTATAAAAAAAATAAAATAAAATAAAAAAAAGGGAAAAAGCGGTCACCATTACATCAAATCGTTATCGGTATTCTGGAAAAATTTCTTCTTCTCTTTCACAACTTGTTATTTCCCGAATTGAGATCTATAATTAATTATTATCATTATTATTATTATTATCATTATTATTACTATTATTATTATTATTATTATTATTATTATTATTATTATTATTAATATTATTTCCGTTTGTATACCTAATTACGGCACTGACAATTTTTAAAATATAATTGTTACAAGAGATAACATACAATAGAAAAATCTGCTTTGGCAAGTAACATAAGACATGTGAGGAAAATGGTATTTGAGCACACAATTAAGTGCCTCAAGTGTTGTGAAATATTACAGGAGCTTGGCTTTAGATGTTATGTAATTACATGTATCTATACATTATAATAAAGAGCGCATATGATATATTTGTTACTGATATGCGTGCAGAATTGAGGTAATGGATGCTAAAAAAAATTAAATAATTAAATAAAAACCAATCTCCTGAACTATAAAAAAAAAAGATTTATTGACATATGTAATTATATTGTAAGTTAGCAATGCTGCCTTTTAAATTTTTTTTTTTTACATTTTCAAAGCGGTTCAATTATTGCAATTGTTATGGAAATGTGTTGTCAGGAAATCGATTGTCGATTGTAATCTAATTAATATATATATATATATATTCAATTATTTGAGTTTATTGCGTTGGTGCTGTAGGCTGTTTAATAATCTTTAGTCGATTTCATATACCCTTGACCGATTTTTTTTTTTTTTTTTTTTTTTTATATATATTAGTGAAAATATATACTATTTTCACTCCCGGGCCGAATAAATTGCTTTTACATACGACAATATATGTATTTTAATAAAAAAAAAAAGAAATAATGAATGAAAAGAAAACAAATTTTGCTAAAAAAAAAATAAGGACGAATTGTGCATTCTTCTTTTTTTTTGTATAAATTATGACTTGCTTTATTGGTACGAAATTTAATTGACAAAAAAAAAAAAAAAGAATTTTAAATCTTTAATAAAATTATATTAGAGACGGTTATAAAATTTTTGAATACAAGATATTTTATTGAAATTTCAAAACAATTAGAAATTCAAAAAATTTAAAATATTTTATTTCTTTTTTATTGGTGATTTAATTTAATGAAAAGTTAATTTTGCATGAAAAATTATTTTTGAGGGAATGTTTAATTTGGTTTTATAAAAAAATATTTTAATTTTGTTTTAGGGGAAAAACAATTGTGCATTTAAAAAAAAAAAAAAGTTATTTCTTTTATCGAATTTTAATAATGTAAATAATTTTTTCGTAATAGTAATTAAATAATTGAGAAAAAAGAAATCAATTTTTTTTTTTAGGGAAAATTCCCTTTTTTCGTTTTTAAATATATTTAAACTATTTTTCAAATATTTTCAATAATAATTTACCATATTTTTTGTACAATCATTTATTAGAATAGGTTTTTTTTCCAAAAATTAATATTATAAGAATAAATAATATATTTTTTTTTATGAAAAATAAACATTTTTTTTTTCTATTTGTCAGAATCGCCGATAAAAAAAAATAGTGAATGAAAATAATTTTAAATTTTGATTTTTTAATTTAAAATAAAAATGATAATTGGATTGAAAAAGTGAAATAAAATTTATTTAGTTTTTTTTTTCTTTGTCATTTACATTTACCAATAAAGTGAGTCTGCTAATGCACATGACTTCTGAATGAAAAAAAAAAAATAGTTTTAATTTATCGAATGCGTATGAATATAAGGTAACTGTGCCGCACATACCGTTATTTTACACATCGCTTCCAAGACGATTATAAATTAAGAGGATCCAATATATCCTAGCGAATTTTCTCTCAATTTATTAATTATTATACTGTTCTCTGACGAAAGTGAAAGATTCGAAAAGATTTAATTCTTTTCTTTTTTTTCCAATTAAATATCTTTATAATCAACATAATTACATCGTTGTTATAGACGAGTCGAGAAAAAAAATATTGATAACATGGCAGCAGTTGCGTTATAGATATGTAACTATGTAATAAATAATAATAATAATAAAAAATAAAAAAAAAAAAAAAAAAAACGATATTTACAAAACGATGAAAAACCAAATATCTTAAATCACATAAAATTAACGTGAGATTTGACAACGCTTCCGATTATATTCTCACGTCTTTTCTCTTTTTTCTCGAATAAAATATTCGATAAATTACCGAAATTGATGATTTAATTAATAATTAATATTCGAGTTTGACGAAGCAAAAAGAAATATTGAAAAAAAGAGAGAAAATATTGTGATTCAAGATATTGGTTATTGAGAGATATGAAATTGTCAAAAAAAAAAAAAAAAAAAAAGTATGAGCAGAGTGGACAAAAAAAAACGTATTATCAGAAAAATTTATCTCTACATGGTCCATCAAACATTGTGGTTGGTAAATAATTAGTTAAGTCAGTAAACTGTGATTAGACTTAAAAGAAAAGCCCCCACAAAAAAAAAGAAAATACACAACGTAATGTATACTCTGTTTCATTAGGCCCCACGAGAGCCTTAGAAAGTCTGATTTTTTTAAAACAACAACAAATTGAGGGTGTGTACTATAAAAATATGGTCTACAAAAATATTTGTTTATAAGTAAAGCGAAAGATTTCAAAATTAAACATTAATCACTGTTACATATTGGTTTTTGCTTTTATTTTTTCACTACTTGCAGTCACTTCCAAAAAAAAAAAAAAAAAGCATTGCGTACTTGTATACACACTGTTGATGCCACGTGCTCACACATAGTTTCAATTCTATTTTTTCTTACGAATCGTACAAAGATATTTTTAGATTTAGACGGCCTAGCGATACAATTAAAAAAAAATACAAAAAAAAGTGAACAAACAAAAAAATAAAAAAAACACAAAATAAATGAAAAGAAAAAGAGAAAAAAAAATAGTAAAGCGAATCGACGACTTTTCCATATAATATTAAAATTGATATGATGAAAAAATCATTATTAGTAGACGTGCACGAGATTTTCATTCAGGGCAAAAAATAAAAAAAAAAAAAAAATAATAAACTGCCGATACTTCGAACACGTGAGACTGACTGTAATTATTTCATTAGAGACGAATTAGTTACCATTCTTTAAATTTCTAATACACCTTTAAATTCGTGATATGTACAAAGTTCAAGATTATTACAATTAATTTTATTTTTCCTTCTTCTTCAATTTACCCAAATCCGAGTATTATTAATTTGCATTTTAATTATTTTCTTCTTTAAAAATTAAATTATTCAATTAAATAAAATTGATTTGATTGAAAAAAAATTATTTAGCAAAAATAAAAATTTTTAAAATAAAATCATGTTAGAAAATTGCTCGGATGTTGGAAAATATGAATATTATAGGTAAAATAAAATTTACTGAATAATCAAGTATCACTAAATTTTTTTAAATCTTGATATGCTTTTGATACTTTTAATGTTATTGGAGAAAAAAAAATTTACAAATTAGATTTCAAATCAAATATAAATGAAAAAATTTCTTATTATAACTATGTCTGTTGATTCATTCGATATTAGTTTTGGGAATATTAAATGCAATATTTAAGAAAGAATTTACAATTAAATCAAAATTAAGATTTCAAAAGAAAAAGTATTCACAGTCTTGAATTTTTTAATAAAAAATTTTTTTCTAATTTTAATCTTTTAAAATTGTTTCTAAAAAAAAAATATTGAAAAATAATTAAAGGGACAGATAAAAAAAATTGAAAACTGATGTTGAATGTAATTTAACGGATTAGTATATTAAAAAGAAAAAAAGAATAAAATATATGAGGAATAAAGAACGTTAATAAAATAAAGGTTTTTATTCTAAAAATAGTATATTAACAATATTTCCCTTGACATTCAGAGATATTAAAATAAAATAAATCGAATGTTAAATCAATAATAATTATGTGCGATTTGTGTAATTACTAAACTTCTACTTGGTGTTTTAAAAAATAACAAGAATGTGAAAAATTTAGCTAAAAAAAAAAAAAAAATTGAAAACTACTTTTTAAAAAAATTATTTGCCCCAATAGTAGAAATACAATATTCTTTTTTTTTTAAATGGCCTATTAAAAATTTTCTTTAACATTAAAAAAAATGTTTTTTTTTTTAACTAATAATTAAATTACAATAGAATCAATGAAATTGTTAAGTAAATAAATGAAATTATTAATTAAATTATTAAATAATAACTTATTAATTGTAATTAATTTTAACAATCGTAATTTGTTAATACGAAGAATATTTTATTTCTATTTATAAAGGAAATTAAAATATTAACACGTACCCGTGTGGAAAAAGCCACGATCTTGCCCTCAAGAGTTCGGGGCCCCCGGCGGGGGCCCATGAGGGCTGATCCATATGGCGAATCCATGAGGGGCACCGTAGGGGCCCCGCATGGATCGCCCTCATGATCGATTAGCAAAATTTTCTAAGTCCAAAAATCAAATATTTTTTTATCACCAAAAAATTAATGTTTATAATGATTCACAACAATGAAAACCGCGTTTTTAATTAAAATATATTTTCACTTTTTTTGAAAATAACACTCACACTTATGGCGAATCCATGAGGGGCACCGTAGGGGCCCCGCATGGATCGCCCTCATGATCGATTAGCAAAATTTTCTAAGTCCAAAAATCAAATATTTTTTTATCACCAAAAAATTAATGTTTATAATGATTCAGAACCACGAAAAACGCGTTTTTAATAAAAATATATTTACACTTTTTTGAAAATAACACTCACACTTATGGCAAAATAGATGAGGGCCACCGTAGGGGCCCGCATGGATCGCCCTCATGATCGATTAGCAAAATTTTCTAAGTCCAAAAATCAAATATTTTTTTATCAACAAAAAATGAATGTTTCCAATGATTTAAAACAACGAAAAACGCGTTTTTAATAAAAATATATTTACACTTTTTTGAAAATTCGCCTGAGATGATTCATGATAATAATCATAAAGCATATAATTAATTATATTTTATAAATTGCATTTGATTGGAAAATATAATTTAATATCTTAACTTTAACTAAATGATGTTAAGCACTTTTCTTTGTTAGGTATTTTTGAAGTTTAAATAGCATCAAGAAGTTAGCATTCGTTTTGAAGTAGCGTACGTAGCGTAGTTGGTAAAACGTTAGACTCATAGTCCGTAGGTCGTAGGTTCGATTCCCCCCATGCGTTAGATTTATTTATTTCTCAGGTTTGCGTTTAATCATTAATTCTATGTATGAATTAATTGAAAAATGAAAATATCCGTTAATAGTATGCATAAATTAAATATTTTTTAATTTTTTAATTAATTAATTTATTATTACTTTTAATTATATCCGACAGTTAATTAATTAGAACGTTAATTAATAAATTGAATTTGAGTAAGAATTTAATTTAAAATTGAATAATTATTAAATAAATATGTTATTTATTCATAACTTAAGCTTATTTATTATTAATTAACTTTTATTATTAATATTATTGATTAAAAAACATTATGGCAAACTTGAGGGCAAGATGAGGGCAAACGTGAGGGCCCATAAGGGCGCCCGTAGGGGCACCCTCATGGATCGCCCATGCGGGCGCCCTCATCGATGAGCATGTCGTTTCCATGAGGGGCCCCTATGGATCATCCATATGCGGCCCTCATGGCATGAGGGCGATCCATAAGGGCCCCCGCTGGGGGCCCACATCACTTTTCCACACGGGTAGACAAGAAAGTTAAACATTAATATTAATTATTATTATTATTATAATTGGTAAAAAATATGAACTATATTGTAAAATAGCTTCCAATAATTTTCTCTTTTTTTAATAATTAAAAATGTCAATGTATTACTTTTTTTCAAGAGAATCACAAATACGTTAGGGAATTAGATCAGGGAATTAAAAATCGAGTTTCGAAAAAAAACTTACGTTTATGACTCCTTAAAACTTCCTTGCAATCGTACAACTCTTCTTTGTTAGTCATGTTTCATATTTTTATTTTTCCTTCTGAAATTAAAAATCAGTTTTCCAAGTGTATTATATATTTTTTGGAAAAAAGACGTAAAATCTAATCCCTGTGTGTTATACTTTTCTTGCTCAATATTGTCTTGTTACTTGTATTTTTTTTTTATATAATTTTCCTTTAGTCCATTGACATATGTAAATATTTAAAATTGCAAATTGTAGTTGATATATTGAAAAAAAAATTATTTATATATTTTTTTTTGTACCTAAAATTCTTTAATTAATCAATGAGAATTGAAAAAATTGCTTTTAAAAAAAATATAAAGTAAATGTATATTCAACGATATTGTTTTATAAAAAAAAAAAAAAAATTCTTGACAAAAAATAACTAAAATAGGATATAATAAAAAGCTGTTACGACATTTCTGGGAATTTCTTTTTTACAAAATTTTTAAAAATTATTTTTGTATCGAAAAGATTCTTAGGAATGAAATAGATAATTTGTAACTGGCTTTTGTAATATCTTAGTAAACACACTATCACCGAAAACAAATGGAAAACAATTTTTTTTTTAAATAAATCACGATGCTAGGAGTTGTCAATTTACATATTTTGGTTCAGCGCTTTGCTGAGCAAAAAAAGAAATTTTTTTTTTTGCAAATGTAAAAGTTATATAACTATTGATAAAGAATGCTGATAATCAACATTTTTAAGTTACTTATAAAGAATGTTTATATATTTAGACATGTAACGAGCGTTAAGAGCGTTATATCGAAGCCATCCATAATATTTGTTATTAAAATTACATCTTCATTAAAAAAAAAAAAAATGAAAAAAGTGTACAGGTAGTGAAAAACAAATTCTCACATCTCGAGATTTTGATTTTCAATATTTTTTTTCTCTTGTTCTTTTTCTCCCCCATTTTTCGATTTATTTTATTTAATTTCCTTCAATTTTTATTTCTTCCTTTCGTTTCGTTTTCTTTATCGTTTTGCTTATAAAGAAATTAAAATTTTGTTTCAAAAAAAAAAAAAAAAAAAGTCATTTTGCAATTTTTGCCATGAGTCAGAATTTTTTTTTTATATTTTATTTACACTAAAACCTCGAATTAATGCTAAATTGGTGCTTTATCGAGGTTCTACTGTATTTTTAATTTTTAAATAGAAAATAAAATGACAGTAATAGCAAATCCCATTGAAAAAATATAAGAAAAATTTTACACACTCGATTCTATGCATTCATCTCAAGGCAATTTATTTTTTAACGCTCTAAATGTATATGTATATTAGTTTTGTTTAATTTAAGTTCTTACACGATATTTCTTATGATTTATTTACACAAATAGGATTCTTTTAGTTGTATAATTTTTCTTTTCTTTTTTTTTTTTTTTTGCAATTGTAAACGTTTTAATTCGATGATAGTAGAAATTTCATTATAGCTGGGTAAATAAGCGTATATCTAAATCGAATTAAAAAGTTTTCAAGGCATAAATCATTTTTTCAAGATTTTTAATAAGAAATTTCTTTTTAGAAATGATAAATGATATTAATATAAAAAATATTGATAATAATTAATTAAATAATAAAAAAAATAAATAAAAAACAATGAGATAATCATATCAAATAAAAATTTATATTAATTAATTAATTATATCAATATAATATTAATTCTTTTAGTGGACAATTTTCTTTTTAAATCTTGTGAAATAATTTTAGTCAATAAATTTTAGTTTTAATACAAAAAAAAATCAATTCCTAATTGTGTAAAAAAAATTTTTTTGTAAAGGACTGGTTTTAATTTTTAAAAGGTTGTTTGTCTGCGAAAATTTTCCGAAAAAATGCTGAAAATTTGAAAAAAAAATTTTTTTTTATTTCTTACTGATGGTTTTTCTAATAACAGAGGAAAGATTAATTTAAAAAAAATTATCCTTACAATTTGTAAAAATTTTTTGAAAACTTATCTAAAAAAAAAAAAAATTATGATAACTAGTATATTAATAGTTATTTAGCATCTATTTTAATAATTATGAAAGCTCATTTAGTATTTTTTTTTTAAATTCCAGTGGAGGAAAAATAAGTTGATTAAAAGAAAAGTCTACTAATTAGTACGATTATGGTAATAATAAAAATAATAATAATAATTATAATATTAGCAGTAATAATATTTATAATAATAATATTAATAATAATAATATATAAATAATAATATAAAAATATTGTAAATATTGTTTGTTGTAATTATTTATAGTTTCTATTAAGGGATTTATTTTTTTTTTAATTTCTTCTTTGTAAAACTATCAGTAAGAGGTAATTAAGTAAATTTTTTTAATTTTACAGCAAATTAAATTTTTTTTTTTTTGATAAAAATTTGAACAGATAAACCTTTTTGTCACTTCCTCGTTAATTTCAGTTTTAATCGCACTTTTTGAAAAAGAAATTGATCCATCGAATTTTTTACTCGACAGCTCCCTGAGTGTTCTCAAAATGATGAAGAAAGTTGAAAATGATGATTTTGTAATTTATAAGAAAGACTTCAAACAACAACAAAAAAAAAGTGGATTGTCGTAGCGTTTTAGTTGCATCGATCATAAATGATAAAACAAAAAAAAAACCTACACCGACACTCTTAACGAAAGCTAATTATATAACAAAGGGAGAAAGAAAAACAAATAAAATATAAAGTCTGCATATTTCGTCGTTTGAAGTATTTTCTACGACTCTTGATGTTTAAACATATATAACATAAAAAAAAGTAAATGTACGATAACCAAGTAAAAAAATAATTAAATCGTCAAAATAAATATCCATTGCTTTAGGTTCTAAATATCCATGTACAGTCTTTTGATCCGTTGTCGATCTTACTGTATGTTCAGTGCCTTTTTAATTACGAGAAATATGTGCTCGACAAATCGAACTTGCTTGAATATTGTTATAATATCATTCTGCTTATCAGAATGATATTTAGCGTGAACTTAAAAAAAAAAAAAAAAAAAAAGAAAAAATAAATGAAAGAGACAAATTTTTCGAGCGGTTACAATTTTACGAGCTGCGTACAATTTACGAATAATGTGCGACTTTGTATTATTAAAATATTTGATTTTCGTTAAGAGTGTAGATTTCGATTTTATGCTTGTATAACGACACACAATTTCAGTAGTTGCCGCCTATAAGAGTAATACATACACATATTTTTGTAAATTTGTTTCAATATCGATGATGCTATATAATAAACAACTTTACGAGAGATAAAAAAAAAAAATGAGGAGTATACACGAAAAAAAAACAAACAAAATATGTATGAAAAATTTTGAATGTTATTAATGCGAGTTACTATTTAAATGTACACTAAACGAAAAATAATAATATTCAGAGAATTTTTTAAAAAAAAAATTTTAAATACAAAAAAGATCAAGTTAGCGGGAAAGGTTTAATGAAATAGCTACGTATACTGATAAATATACTAAAAGCGATGCGATAAAAAAAAAAAAAAAAAAAAAAAATTAAAATTAAAATAAAATAAAGGAAAAAAAAAATTTGAAGAGTGACAATTCGATCGAGTACTCTTTACATGGATACCTTTCGCAATTGTGAAGAATTTTTGGTGTATCTGAAATAATATAAATGTATATATACAAAAGTTCATCCATTGCGCCCAAAGTAAGTTTAGAGATTACTTTGTACATAATATACATAACACAAATAAATAGATATACGTACCTAGCGTAAAATTGTTTTTATCAATTAATTTTTCATATTCTAATTTTAATTAATTAAAACTTTATAACAATCTATTTGAAACTAATTATCAAAATATTTTTTTAAATCCCCGTTTGTTAATATTTAAAAAATTTTAATATATTCGAAATTTAAATCATTTTAATAAACATTAATAAATGTTAATTATAATATTTTGAGTTCATACCTTTTTTTATTTGTAATTTCATCAAGAGGATTGTTATATAACGTTTGTATTTTACCACCACGTTTTTTTAAACACTTTTAAGGTTAGGTTTTGCGCATGCCATTGAAAGTGACAGGTGACTTTTTGACAGTTCGTGAAAAAAAACAAGTTTTTTTGAAAAATAACAAAAAATTAATTGAGCAAAAGAAGAAGACAAAATGACATCGAGTGTCAGGAAACCAAAAATAATTGTTTTCGATTTAGGTATTGATTAAAATTACAAATATTACTCCGAAATCTCAAAAATATTAAAAATTAGTAATATAAATTTTTATTGTTTAAAATTTATGATTTTAATTATCTTGTCGTTCATTTATACATATTATATTACTCTTTTTTGTCTTTGAATTGGAAAACTTGTTAAAAATAACAAAAAAAAAAAAAATATATTGTTTTTCAACATAACCTCACTTTGAAAATTTATTTTTGTTTCAATTATTATTCTTAATGGAAAAATTTGTTTTTACATATAAATTTAAAAATTATAATTAATAAAAAGTAGAATAATTTTTATGAATAATAATTATTTTAATTAAAAAATCATGTTTCTGAAGTTTTATTTTTTTTAAAAAAATGAGGAATTTCAATGATTTCGCAGATTTTACATAATCAATGTTAAATTACAGATTATACTCTTTGGCCTTTTTGGGTTGACACTCACGTTACACCTCCATTTAGATACGGGTTTGTTAAAAAAAATTTATTTACATGTACATTGTAATATAGTTTTTTTCTTACAAAACATTTGCACTAAAAATAAAATAGGGGGAATAAAATTTAAGAGAAATTATTTTTCAGAAAAGGAAACGACGTTGTAGATGCTCACGGTAAAAAAATACGATATTACAATGACTCTGCGGAAATTTTAAAAAATTTAGTACAAGAGGGTTATGAAATTGGTGTTGCATCGCGGACCTCAGAAATTAAAGGCGCTAATCAGTTATTGAATTTATTCAAATGGGATAAATATATTACATATAAAGAAATATATCCTGGATCAAAAGATGCACATTTTTCGAAGTAAGTTTTTTTTTTTTAGCTTGAAAAGTAGTTTCAATCTCCAGAAAAAAAGTAATTCATTTTTCATTTTAAACTTTGCAATTTTATTGCAGAATTAAAAAAGCATCCGGTGTTGACTTTAAGGATATGTTATTCTTTGATGATGAGCATCGAAATATTGTTGATTTAACAAAATTAGGAGTTCTCTCAATATTAGTTAAAGATGGTGTTTCACATTCAGTTATTAAACAAGGACTAGAAAAATTTGCACACCAATAGGTAGTACATTTAATATAAAAATAGATAAAAACAAAAATTTCTAGATTATTCAATTAGTACAATTTAATTATTTATTTATATAATTGTAAATAATATACAATATATTTTGGTAAAATACAGTTGACTCGTGTATAATAATAAAATAATATGTAATTATAATTAATCAGAAAAATTATAATTGATTCACTAATCAGTCAAACTATGTATTTACAGTTAGAAAAAAAAATCATATTCGATGGTAAAATAAAAATTTAATTTTAAATAGAATCTATCTTGGTAAAAATATACTAATATCTCAAAATTAATCGATAAATTTCAACTATATTACAAAATTAAAAAAAAAGCAAAAAAATATTTACAAAAAAAAAGAAATTAGCATAAACTATTTTTGGCGAAATAAAAATCAGCGGGACTGATTACAGTCACATTATTTTTTACTTCATTGCATGTTAATTTCAAAAAAGCTTGACATGCACTTCTTGGTTGCAGGCCAAATGTAATTTTTAAAAATTGATCTAATTCATTTTTTGGTAATATAGAACTTAAAACTTGCTTTAATTTCCTTTTATCAAACTCTTTGAAAGGACATCCTCCTTCGTAATTTGCATTAACATTCGACATCTGTGAAATTTTTTAAAAATTAATTATTTCTTTTCAATTAAAAATTATTATCTTTTTATGATTTTTAATTAAAATTTTTCATCAATACATTAAAATAAAACATATTCTTAAGAATCTAAAATACTTACACAAATAGAATTACAAGTAGGCGATTGATATTGTTTTCGTGATCCCTCTAAACCATACATGTGTTTAATACTGTAAGTATATTTTCGCGAATCTTTTTGCCATTGATGAGAACAAATAGAAACATTTAAATGTGGTTTTGAATATTCATTTTTCCAATATTTTAGAGCCTCATCAATTTTCATACCACATTCTTTTAAAAAAAGACTATAATAAAAACGTGCATAATGACTTAATCGATGATTACGAATTAATTCATCATGCAAATGTTTCATACATGGTGGAAATTTTAATGATTCCACATGTAAATTTGCAGCTGTTAAATGTCCACATAAAATATCATTTCTAATTGGTGATGATTTAAATTTTAGTCTTTCATTTAAATAAGTTAAATGCGGATCATTTGTTACTAATTCTTTAAAAAATTCCGTATCAAACGTTTCTAATTCTAAGAAAGTTTGAAATAATTCAATAAGAATTTCCTTCCATTGTGAACAATAAATAATTGCCGAACCTTTTTTTAATTCCACTTCCTTTTTCTCAATCATATTTGGAATTAGCTCAAAATTTACTGTTGAAATTAATTATTTTAGATTAAAGAAATTCAACTAAAGAAAAAAATAAAATAAAAATTCAAACAAACCTTTTAGAGGATGTTCTTCACATTCAGTTAAAAATTTTTGATAAACAAAATGTTTAATATCATTTTGTAAATAATGCGTAGAAACTTCAATTAATGTTGAATCTATCATTGAATTTACTTTTTCACGTTTTTTCACTTGACGTGTTATACTTTTAAATAATCGACTAAATTGCCTGGGAGAAATTTGATTTAATCTATGTTTAAATAATAATGTTTCTCTTGTTAGCCAGTAGTGGCAAAATTCACTCGAAGCAGCCGCTAATAATCTGAAATTAATTTTTTTTTTTTATTAATTAACAATTTACAATAATTTATAATTTAATTTATTAAATAATTTACATTATACCTTAAAGTAAAATGACCAACGAAATCATAATTTGAAAATTCTAATAAATATTCAAAATTTCCTTTTAGCTCGTGCGGCTTTTTTTGATAAAGTAGTTCCAAATATTCCAGTCTTGTTAAAATACATTCTTCTAAAGTATGAAGAGGTATATGCCCTGATGGAGCATTGACATAAAACATTTTAAATATTTAATAACATAGTTTAAAAAAAAATAATAAAATTGTGAGTATACTGTTAACAATAAATGAGGTTATGTTAATCAAAACAATACATGTTAGGGAGCATTCACACCTCGATTTTTAATGGACGTCCGAAAAATGGTGTATAAAGGTGAAATCACACGAAGGCATTGAAAAGTGACGTTTATGAAAACGAGGTTTAATATCTTTGTCCACAAATTTTTTTTACAAATGGCGACCGCACTAGGAACTGTCGGCTGGGAAGGTATTTATTTTAATTTCTACATATAATTTTCGTTAAAAAGTGACAATTATTGACAATTATAGTATTTACAAGTCTTCTATTAATAGAAACGAAAGTTTCATTAGCATAAAACGTGAATTTAAATCATTTCAATAAAAGTGAATGAACTGTCGATTTTGACAGAAAAACAAGGGGGGCTACTGCGTACTGTATTTCATCACTTTCAAAATAAAATAATATACCTGTTGCTTTTAATCTCCAATAAATTTACTAAATTCGTTTATAATTCTTAAAAAAGGGGAAAATATAAGAATTTTATAAATATTATATATCAAAATTATTTCTTTTAAAAAAAGGCAATTATTTGCACAATGATGTCTATTTAATAAAAATATAAAATTTTTGAAATTGGAATTTAAAAAAAGATATTAAAATAATATTAAATAAAAATATTACTAACCTCAATTTTTTTTAACCACGTCAACAATTTTTCAGATCTTCGTAAACAAGCACGACATGTGGAAAATGAAATTGATGCAAAATTGGTAGCTTTTAGTAAATTAGGAGTAAATACAGCGTCAAGTCATGCAAGTAGTGATACAGTTCCATTATTGGATGAAGAACATGTTTTTGAAAATATGTCAACAGAGATTGAAAATCTTTTGTCCAAGGTAGGTTAATTAATAGTTAATTATATTTTTTTTTATCAATTCACTTCTTATTATTAAAGTTATTTGAAAATGAAAACTAAATTTACGTTAAAATTTTAGTTGAAGTCATTAAATGACAGAATGAGTGAAATTCAACCAAATGGAGCCGCAATGTTACATACAATGCAAAGACACAGGGATATTTTAAAAGATTATAAATTGGAATTCAATAAAATACGAAATAATTTTGTGGCAAGAAAAGATCGCGAAGATCTTTTGGGTGATATACACAAAGAAATTGAGTAAGAATTTATTTACATATATTTTATTTTTTTGTGTTCCACAATGAATAAATTTGATTATTTTTTTTTTTTTCTAGCAATTACAAATCTGGTGGATTGAATCGCAGAGATATGTATCTTAAAGAAAGTCAACATTTGCACAAGTAAGTTAAAATTTATTATATAAAATTTTACAATTATTATTGTTTAACAAAAGAATTATTTTTTTATTTACAGTTCCGATCGAATGATAAACGATCAGATCAGTATTGCAATTGAAACACGGGATAATTTAATGTCCCAACGTCATACATTTAAACGATTTCAAACAAGATTCAATGATATTTCTAATCGTTTCCCAGCAGTGAGCAGTTTAATACAAAGGATACATTTACGTAAACGAAGGGATTCTGTGATTCTTGGTCTTGTTATTGGATTTTGCACATTTTTAATGCTTCTTTATGCTTTCCATTAAGAAAACAAAAAAAAAAATGAACGAAAACAAAAGCTCTTCCCTATTTTCAACCAAAGTGAAATAAATTTTTAATTATCGGGCTATGGATTCTATACTTGTTCTTTCGAGTTAAAAGTTCATTCTTCATGACCTAGATGTATGAATTTTTTTTAAATGTACACGAGAAGAAAGAAATTTATATATATATATAGAAAAAAAAACTAGTGGGAATGATGCAAGACTGCAAAAAAAAAAAAAAAAAAAAAAATGAATTGTACAGATTTTTTACTCTCTGTAGATAGAATGTGGAACGTCTTTAATAATCCACGATTGTTGACTAATTAAAAAAATAAATTATAACACATCTATGAAATATTATTTTTTAGAAATCTAGTTTGGAAAAAGAGAAATATCTTTTTTTTTAAATAAAAGCTTTTATTTTCCTATAATATAAACATTTAAACGAAAACTTATTCTAAAAATGAAAATATTTAAAAATAAAAAAATTTAATATACATATTAAAAAATTTTAATACAAAAAATTTGTTAATTGCCTTTTTACAAATTTACCTAATTAAATAATCTATATGGATTTATTTTTTTTTACGATCTTGCGTACATTTTGGACAATACCATTTTCCTTTGGGTTTCGTTGTAAGTCCAACACATGTGAAATGGAACCATTCAATGGGACACTGAAAACAAAAAATGAAAATTCAACAATTTTTACGTAAATTATAAATTACATGTAAATTTAGAAAAAACAACTCACGTCTGGATTATCACAACCAATCATTTCGCCATAAGATACTTGATGACATAAACAGTAAGTTGGTTCATTTGGATCAACAGGCATATCTAAAACATCCGCAGGATGACCAAGAGATGCATCAGCTTGTGCTCCACTACCAACAGCTCCAGTCGAAGTAGCTGAAAAATAAAATAGATTTTTTTATTTGAAAACAAAGAAAAAACCAAATTTTATCAATTAAAAAATTTTTAATACCTTTCTTTTGTTTCTTTCTCGCATTTTTGGTTTCATCTTCACTGCTTGCATTTGCAGTGCCCTTTTTACGTTTTTCCTTTTCTTTAAGTTTCTTTCTACCCTTTTTACTTGCGCCACTTTCTTCCTGTGCTCGACTACTGCTTAAAGCTTTATCCTGAATTTCAGCCTCAAATCTCGCTAAATCCGAATCTAATCTTCGAATATGTTTATCGACTAATTCATATGTTTGAATTGCAAGTTGCACCTTATCGTCAGCGTAGGCTTTTGCTTGTGTAAACATATTTTGAATTTGTTGCAATTGATCATTATTCTTGTCATTTGCTTCTTCTTTGACATTTTTTAAATAATCATCAGCTAATTTATCAATATCTTTCATAAGAGTTTGTGCCCTCGCGTCTAAATCTCTCATTAAGGTAAAATTTCGTTGCAATTCAATTGGTAAATGTTCCAAACCTTTTAATAAATAAAAAAAATTAACATTTTCGAACTGAAGATAATTTCTTTTAATTAAGAGAAATTCCAAAATAAATTTTATTTTTTTAATTATCCACAATTATTATATTATAATAATCTTTAAATTTGTTTATTTATAAATAAAATAAAATGTCAAAACAGCTGATTCGTTAAATGATTAGCTGTTAAAATTTTATTAATTTCATCATTATATTTATTTACTAAGTTGATAAGTTCATTGACTTTTATCTACAATTTAAAAGTGTTTTTTTTTTTCTTTTAAATTCATTTTCAAATGTAGGTTAACATATTTTAATTCAGAAACCCGCCATTTTATTTGCATGCTAATATTCCTTTAAAAAAAAAACATATATTTTAACAATGATTAAAATGAGCAATACTGGCAGCAAACATGCACAAATGATTCATGAGGGTTGGTTATCCCTTTAGTATTGATTTATGGGGATACTCACTGTCTAAATAATGCTCCAAATACAAAGCTGTCGTCATTTTGACTAAGGTTAAGAATAAAGCACTTGCTGAGTTTGTTTACTAAAATGTAACCTTACTCCTTTAATTAAAAAACAATCTCGCTATCACCTTTTCCATATTTTTTATTAATTATATTTAGCTAGCATTGTTAAATATTTATAATATATAATTCAATGTTTTTTTTTGTAACTTAAAAAACAGTTATGTTAGTTTTAAACGCGAACAATATAAACGATATACAGAAACATGCGAGATGCGTCCTTTTTCTATATTGAAATTCTTTCAAGGCTAATTCACATGAGTCATAAAAAAAGGATTTTTAAATTTAATTATCTAAAATTAATATTTAATTCTCTCGTTCTCAGTTAAAGTCATTAAATAAAAAGATTTATTTTAAATAAGATATAAAAAATTATTTACTCTACATTTTAGAAAGTAAAAAGGAAAAAGAATTTTGATTAGAGAAAAATTCAAAAAAAATGCAAACAACTACAGTGTTTCTCGATTCCATCACCAGAGAGCGCTGCAGTCGTATAAATTGGATCGATCGCATCGCCGCCCCTTTGATTTTTAAGTCTAAATTAATGCTTCTATGTTAAAATTTGTCTAAATTAGATATTAATTTAGGTGTAGAATATTTCTAAAATTGTCCTCTACTTATGAGAATTGTAATTATGCAAAAATTTCCTCTAAATTCGCGTTCTATTGGGAGTCCAATTTCGCGTTCTTTTCTTTTTACCGCGTATACTTTAAACTATAGTAACGATCAGCGCTGTATGTCGGCGACGTTGCCAAATCTATTTGCAGTAACACCCGTTTCTCACAGGAATGAAATAATTTTTTATATACAAAAAAAAGTTCTATTTATTAAACAAAATTACGTATATATTTATTGATGAATAATTATCTATTTCTGTTAGAAAATTAAATTTATTAATGATTTCTATTTCTGATCGTTATTATTCATCTCTGAAAAGGTGTAGCGAACAAAAGAATTTTTTTACATATTTTTTTTCTCTCTACAGCATCAATTATTTACATTTCTCGTGGAATATGTTAGAAATATCAGTATTAAATATCAAAAAAGCATCATCTGAAGTTTAATTATATTGTAACATAATATTTAAAAATTAATCTTTTTCTAAATATTGAAATATTCTTCATAATATAAAAAATGGTGTTTTAAAAATTAATTTAGATTTTGAATTTGTTCGCGGGTTGGTTAATTGTGAGCGTGGGTGGCAAATTGCAGAATCTGGCAACGTCGCAAAATTTTCATGGGTAAATTCAAGTGCAATGTTTTTGTATTTGCATCGTGGTGCACCGTGGGCCGGGCGAGATAAGATGGCGGCAGCCTAGACGACAAACGCGTTTAAGAAGCAGTATATATGCCAAAAATGAGCAGATCTAAACGCTTAATAATTAATTAAGTTGAAAATTAAGAATTCGTACTAGCCCCTGAGTCGGCATACAATAGAGGAACGCCATTCAAGGCAGGAACGCTGAAGAGGAAGGTCGTAAGTTTTCCCTTGTCATTCGCGTCTAAAGATCGCGTTCTTTCGACGGCGACGAAACAATCTACGAGTTCCTCGGCAACCGGGTAATTCCAACGTTAATTGATTTTTAAATATTTGGGTACGAGGTGTGAAAATCAGTTCAAAGAAAAACCAGGCAAACAATGGTGAGTAAATCCTTGATAATTTTTTTGCACTTCACCGGGGGCTTTTGTACGCGCGTTTTTTTTTTTTTTTTTTTGCTATGACAAAACGTTTTTCTAATGAGACAATTGCTTTATATAAGGAAAAAAGGATGATTATATTTGTTGTATTGCATTTAATTTATTCATTCATTAAATTAGCGTTGCTTTTGCAAATTTTCGACACTTAAAAAAATCCTTTTTTTTGTTTCAAAGCACGCTGTGTTTCTTCATCCCTCCCATTTCTTTTTGTGTCTGCTTTTTTTTTTGCCAAGACGGTTTTTTATCGTAAAAGTGGAATGTTATTTTTCCCAACCTCAACGGATTATAATTTAAAAGTAACTGTAGAAAAAAAAAATTTGTTAACTATTTTTTTTTAGTTTTATTTATTTTTATATTGTGCAAAAATAATTTGCATATAAAAGTATAATTTAAAAAAAAAATTTTTTTATTTTAAAAAAATATTTTTTTAAAAAAGAATAAAGAAAACATTTTTTTTTTTTTTAAATATTTTTTTCACGTGCAATTTTTTTCGTTGATATGAACATAACCTATTTCACATGCGTGAAAATGATAATAAGAATGGAGATGACCGACTGATTAATTGTAGGAAAAAACAAAAATTTTTTTTTGTCCCTAAATGAATTTAATTAATTATATTGTTTTATTTATTGTCTTCGATGTATTTATAAATTTAGAAAATAAAAAGACACTTTTTTATAGAAAAAAAAAGAAGCAATGAATCAGCCTTGAAAATATATTATTACTGAAAATGATGTAATACCATATAAATTAAAATAATATGAATAAAAAAAATTTTAATCGTATTCTTAATTTAATGAAAATTTGATTTTGCAATTATTTTTTTTTTTCAATAGGCAACAACACGATTTAAAGAATCGGTGAGCGATGAAAGTAGTGGTAGCGATTTTGATGAGGACGAAGATCCAGACAAGATTGAAGTTCCCGGTAATTTATTATTTACTCTTATATTTTAATCGAAAGTCTATAATTTATTTAAAATGAAATAAATGATGCAATTCAATTCACTTATTGATTTTTAGGTGGAGGTAAAGATCTTGCGACAGTTATAGGAAATGCAAACATAAAGGATGAGAAACCACTAGATATACCACTAAATACTGAAGAGACGAAAGATTCTGGCGCTATTAGTGGTAAAATTGATTAATTATTATTTTTTTTTTTTTATTATTATTTAAATGAAATTGAATAATTTTTTTTTCTATTTTCTCAAACTTGAATTTTTAATTGTAGCTTTAAATCAGAAATTTGGAGGTAAAATTCCTGGTGGACTTGTGACAAAAAATGCAGCGCCAGGATATGAAATGGTTCGTTTACCAGGACCTCAAACTGGAACTCCTAATTTTATGGGACAAAATCAATTAAATCAATTAGGACAACTACCCCAAGGTGGTGGACCTTATGGTGGATTTCCATCTGGACTTCCAAATATGTCAGGATTTAATCCTGCTGCTTTTTTACAACAGTGTAAGTATTTATAAAATTAAAAAAAAATAGATCAGTTTTTTATTTACAAACAAATTTTTTTTTTGCAGCTATGGGTATGGATTTAAATAATCTTCTCGGAGTTATGGGAATGTCGGGCATGAATATGGGAGCAAATCCATTTATGCAACTCTTGAATCAAGGAGTTATGAATCCTAATTGGGCTGCTGGTCTCACAGGTTTGTTTCAAAAAAAAAAAAATATTTAAATATAAATTAAAATTTTTTAATTTTTAGGTAAAAATCTTCAACAAATGTGGATGAATCCTTTAGATCCGAATAAAATGAATATGCAACAGGGAATGCAAGAAGAAGAAGATGTTGAGGATGAAGAAATGGGAGTTGCAGAGACTTATGCTGATTATATGCCAACAAAACGTACATTAAATTTTAATTTATTTTAATTTATTTAATTATTTAATTTATTCTATTTAATTAATTTTCTCTTACAGTTAAATTGGGAAGAAAACATCCGGATCCAGTTGTCGAGACTGCATCATTGTCAAGTGTTGAACCAACGGATGTTTGGTATAAAGTTTCAATACCCGATGAATCGATAAAATCAGGAGCTTTATCTGCTTTGCAACTTGAATCAATAACTTATGCTTCACAACAACATGAACAACTTCTTCCCGATGGAACGCGTGCAGGTTTTCTTATTGGTGATGGTGCTGGTGTTGGTAAAGGTCGTACAATTGCTGGTATTATTTTTGAAAATTATTTAAAAGGCAGAAAACGTGCCATTTGGGTATCAGTGTCAAATGATCTCAAATATGATGCTGAACGCGATTTAAAAGACATTGGCGCGGGTAAAATAGACGTTCATCCATTGAATAAATTTAAATACGCAAGGATAAATTCAGCTGTTAATGGAAATGTGAAAAAGGGTGTAATTTTCAGTACATATTCAGCATTAATTGGTGAATCATCGCAAAGCGGTGGAAAATATAAAAGTCGATTGAAACAACTTCTTCAATGGTGTGGCGAAGATTTTGATGGTTTAATTATATTTGACGAATGTCATAGAGCAAAAAATTTATGTCCCACGGGAAGTTCAAAACCGACTAAGACTGGTAAGAAAAATAAATATTTAATTTAATATTTACTTTTAGAATTTCAATTTTAATTTTAATTTTCTTTTAAGGTTTAACGGTATTAGAAATCCAAAATAAATTACCGAAAGCAAGAGTTGTTTATGCGAGTGCAACGGGTGCGTCAGAACCACGAAATATGGCATACATGGTACGTCTTGGTATGTGGGGTGAGGGAACGCCTTTTCCTGAGTTTACCGATTTTATAACAGCTGTGGAAAAAAGAGGTGTTGGAGCTATGGAAATTGTTGCAATGGACATGAAATTAAGAGGAATGTATATTGCTCGTCAGCTTAGTTTTCATGGTGTTGGATTTAAAATTGAAGAAGTACCACTGTCGGACGATTTTATGAAAATTTACGATCATTCTGTTAGATTGGTGAGTTGATTTTATTTTTGTTATAAAGAAAAGGAATCTATAAATTTCATTTTTCAGTGGGTGGAAGCTATGCAAAAATTTCAAGAAGCTGCCGAATTAATTGACGCGGAAAATCGTATGAAAAAAACAATGTGGGGACAATTTTGGTCGTCGCATCAACGATTTTTTAAATATTTGTGTATTGCGGCAAAAGTAAAGCATGCAGTATCAGTGGCACGTGAAGCTGTTAAATGTGGAAAATGTGTTGTTATTGGTCTTCAATCAACGGGTGAAGCGCGTACTTTGGAACAATTAGAACGTGACGATGGAGAATTGAGCGATTTTGTTTCAACTGCAAAGTAATTTTTACTTTTTAAAATTTTTAGTATTGAAAAAATTAGAATTTAAATTCTTATTTTCCATTTAATAGGGGAGTTTTGCAGTCATTAGTGGAGAAACATTTTCCCGCACCCGATCGTAATCGAATTCATCGTATTATTGGTGATTTGCCACAAGCGCAAACAGTAGCAGAAGTTGAGAATACAGTGGAAAATGCAAGTGGATCAGGTGGTGGAAAAAGAAAGCCAACACGTCAGGCAGCGCAGAGAGCATCGAAAAAAGTTCGAGCTTGGTCATCGGAGGATGAAATATCCGAGGAGGAACGAAATGGTGGACATAGTTCGGGTTCGGAATTTAAATTAAGCGGCAGTGAAAGTGAAGAGGAAAATAAATCAGACGAAGAGATAAGTAATCCAAGCTCGGATTATAATCCATTTGACAGTGATAGTGACTCGGACGTAGGTGAGAAAGAAAACGGAATTATTGTTAAATTATTTTGATTGTATATTCATTTTGTTATTTTTTCCTCTAGATCCATGGGATAGGAGAAAAAAGAAGATAGGAAAAAAACAAAAGAAACCAGTGAAGAAACGTTTGAGTACACAGGATAAAATTCAATCAATGTTGACGAGTAAAACGTCGAATAGTAATAAAAATAAACGAAATGGTGATACAGCGATGGGAAAGGGAAGTTATGGTGTTAATTCAGCGGCAGTACGTAATCAAGCACCGCCTCGTAGTTCAATTGAACGTGCTTGTAGCATGAAAGAGGAATTGTTGGCACAAATTGAAACATTGGGTGAACGTCTACCGCCAAATACACTTGATCAATTGATCGATGAACTTGGTGGACCGGAGAATGTTGCCGAAATGACGGGTAGAAAAGGGAGGGTCGTTCAAACGGAAGATGGAGCGATACAATATGAATCGAGATCAGAGGCTGATGTACCACTTGAAACTTTGAATTTAACTGAAAAACAACGATTTATGGATGGTGAAAAGACAGTTGCTATTATATCGGAAGCGGCAAGTAGTGGTATTTCATTGCAAAGTGATCGACGTGCACGTAATCAAATGCGACGTGTTCATATTACTTTAGAATTACCTTGGAGTGCTGATCGTGCAATACAACAATTTGGACGAACACATCGTTCGAATCAAGTGAATGCACCTGAATATATCTTTTTAATATCGGATTTAGCTGGTGAGAGACGTTTTGCATCGACTGTTGCTAAACGTCTTGAGAGTCTTGGTGCATTGACGCATGGTGATCGACGAGCAACTGAGACACGTGATTTATCACAATTTAATATTGATAATAAATATGGACGTTCGGCACTTGAGGCAACGATGAAAACAATTATGGGGTAAGTTTTTGGCAAAATAGTTTTTTTTTTTATTAATTTAGAAAGAAAATTTTTTTTAAAAAAATGTTTTCAGATATGAACAACCATTGGTTCCTCCACCGCAAGATTATCGTGGTGATTTTTTCAAAGACGTTGCCGACGCATTAGTTGGCGTTGGATTAATTTGTAACAGTGACAATATGCCCGGTGTATTATCGCTTGATAAGGATTTTACAAATATATCTAAATTTTTAAATCGAATACTTGGTATGCCGGTTGATTTGCAAAATCGATTGTTTCAATATTTTACGGATACATTAAATGCAATTATAACGACAGCGAAGAAAACGGGGAAATTCGATATGGGAATACTTGATCTTGGAACGTCGGGTGAAAATGTTCGTCGAGTGAGATTGTTTAGATTTCAGAGAAAGCACGCCACGGGTATTGCACCAACAGAATTACATGTGGTGCATGTTGAACGTGGAATGAGTTGGTCTGAGGCTACGGATCGATGGTCGGAACTTACCGGTGCCAAGGAGGGTTTCTATTTGAGTCATCAAGTACGAAACAGCAAACAAACGGCAATACTCGCCGTTGCCGTTGACAGCGGTAAAAAGAAAGCCGAGGGCAAAAAAGATCAATTGTTTATGGTTTATAGGTAATGGATTTTTTCAGCAGCAATTTTTTTTATTCTTTTTTCAATCGAAAAAAAAATGTGTATTAAAAAACAAAATTTCCAGGCCAAATACGGGACTTCAATTACGTCAGGAATCGTTGGGCGAATTAGAAAAGAAGTACAAAAAAGTTTCATCTGAAGAAGCTGAATCACATTGGACGCAACAATATGAGGCATCAGTGAATACATGTTCGCATGCATATTGGCGTGGAAATTGTAAAAATGTAACACTTGGCCAAGATTGTGAAGTTGGTTTACGTCGACGTTCTTATAACGTTCTTGCTGGCTCAGTTCTCAGTGTTTGGAGTCGTGTCGAGAGTGTTCTTGCCGCACGTTCTGGACACAATTCAAAAATGCAAGTTGTACGATTACGTACCGGTAAGTAAATACAAAAATTTAATTTCCTTTTTTTTTTTGTTAGAAGAAATTTTTTTAAATTAACATTTTTTTTGGCAGATGAAGGTCTCAAAATTGTCGGCACATTAATTCCAAAATCATGTATGGAAGCTTTACGTGAAACACTATCGACGGATGCAGAAAAAACTGAGGAACAAACGTTTTGAACGAATTGATGATCTCTCGAAAAGAAAAAAAAAGTCTATATATATATATTTGAAAAATACCCCAAATGTTCAATGGAGCTTCGAGGGTAAACTAAAAAAAAAGTATATTATTGTAGTTAGTTTTTTAATTTTTTTTCTCTGGTACTGGAGGTTTTTTAAAAAAATACCTTTGACTCTACCGGACAATACATTATATATATATTTTTTTTATTTCGCGCTAAAATTTTTAATTTGAAAACGAGATCTAGTATTGCTATACATAAATTTATAAATATAAATATTAATAAAAGAAAATTAAATAAGTTGACGTAGGATGATCGATCCCGAGCGACCCATCATCTCGGCTGTGCCCTATGAAAAAGAAAGATAAAAAAATTTTGTATCCATTTCATCGAATGGATATTAATAGTGAACAAAAAAAATACATTTCATTGTTTTGAATAAAAAATTACTATTCACGATTTCTTTTTTTGGATGAATTTCGTAAACAATTTTTCAGTGACAACTTTTCTCTTTTTTTTTTAACTATTTGATGAGTTTCGATAGAAAAGGATAAAAAAAAGCACAGGGCTGAGTAGTCGCCCCCCTCCCATTTAAATAATAATTAGAAGTTTGCTGTCATTTATCAATACTGTCATTAATATACTGTTATTATGCTAGAAATATTTCTACGTTACTTCATTAAAATTTAAAGAAGTAAAAATTGTCGGCATAATACAGTACTGACAACATGTAGCAAGCTACTATTTTTTTAAACTTTTTTTTAAAATAGTAATTTTAATTATCTTCCTTTTTTAAATTCTTTAGAATTATGAACTTTTTTTTAACATTTTCTGTCTTTTCTGAATAATTATAGAATTAAATAGTTAGAAGCAAAATAAGTTTTTTAAGAAATTTTTAAAAATAGATGGCTTAATATTTGTGACCAGTACTGTGCTTCTTCGTAATTGACATTAAGATTTTTCATAAACTAATTTCTTTTTTTACAATACAGTATTACGATGGTCAGGGTACATCGCGTATTTAAATGAATCTTGAGCTTTTTGACGGTTATATTATAAATTCGAGTCGATAATTTTTTTTTTTCAATGGCTCGATTTAGAAACAAAAGCCGTTTTAATTATTATTATTATTATTATTATAATTGTAGATCACTTAATTGTAATCTTTATGAACAAAACAGGAGTTGCATTTGAAATTCCCTGATTTGTAAGTTTCATTCTTCTCTTGTCATCAAGATTACTAATAATGTTAGCGTTTACTAGAAATTGACAAATGCATACGACGATATATTTATATTCAAAGATAATAGTTTAGCGATTGAATTGTACACTCTTGAGTAGATGTCTGTGGTAATGTTTGTACGTTTGAACGGAATAATTACTTTTTGTCGAGTGTTTTAAGCGTGACAAGCCTGGTTAATCGTCAAATTTGAATGTTCAGTGAAATTTAGATACAAAAAAAAAAGAAAAAAAAATACTCCAAAGTTTGACAAAATTGTTCGGATGAATCAATTTAAAGAAAGATTCTTTTTTATTAATAAAATAAAAGAACTTGGGATGAAACTTTACCAAAAATTATGAAAGAAATTTACACTAATTTGATAAAGTAAAAAATTAACATATCTAGAAAACCAGTATTGACGCGCTTTTCGTGAGACGTGAAGTGTGAATCTGGTAAAAATGTTAGTTAATGAAAAATTTTTTCCGTTTTTAAGACGAAATAAGTTGGCGAGATCTTAACTAAAAACAAGTCGAAGATGCTATACATATATATATGTATGTGTGTATATATACATGTATAAATGTATCTGTAATATGAATATACCTTAGCTAAAACGTCTTTGGAATTTTATTTAAAACAATTCCTAAAATATTTTTTTAATTTCTTGGTTTAAATTTTTTTTTTAATTATTTTTATTAAGTAATTGAAGTTATTTATTTATCAATGCAAGTATATAAAACTACATTCTTTTCTTAATTTTTAAATAATCTTTGCTATGTATCACAAAAATTTACATATTTTATCTACAAAAAAATTAAAAACCTAAAAATCAGAAGTTAAAATTTTATAAATAAAAATTCGTTGTTATTTTTTTCTGGACTATTTTTAACGATAAATATTAAAATAAGCACTCTTAAGGAATACCTGACTGTCGATTACAACATTGACTAGGAGGCACAGTCCAATTATATTGATAACTCATACGTCTTTGTATTTCTTTTGAACATAAAATACCATTTGATTGATATAATTCATGGAGACTTCTCATATTGTCAATTGTTTGCTTATGTGTAATTAAATATTGATTTGAGCATCCTCTGGAACGGTATTCAGTGTCAAAGCGAACATCATGTCGCCTTTCGATATTTGCAACTGGTGCAAGCCACAATCCAACAGAAACATCTTCAGAATTGTATAATCTAAAAAAAAAAAAAAATTTTTTAATTTTCCTTTACATAAAAAAAAAATTAAATTATACATACTTTAAATTTTCCGCATTTTTGGCAATAAATTCAACAAGTTTGTATGATAAAATATATCCTCCACCAAGTGCATATGGTAAATAATTATCACATAAAATCCATTCAGTCTCCTTCCAAGGACCATTTCTTTTAACTTGTGCTTTTCCATTAAAAAATCCCCAATATAAAAATTTTTTTCTACCCTCACTTTCCCAACGATCTAATTCTCTTAATATTCTATGAATAATAACAAAACTGTCATCATCACATTTGAGAATAAAATCAAAATCATATTCTTTGTGAATATGAAAGAAAGATTGAAGAATTTTTTTTGTTATTGTTCCATAAGTATCCTGAAGATTTGGCAATAGAAGAAGATCATTAAATTTTTGTTTCTCCGATTGAAGAGTAATTCTTTGACTTTGATGAATATTTAATGTTCCCACGGCAAATAAATATCTAACATCGTTGTATTTTTCAGAGAGCCAAGTTTTTCGAATTGTATCACGTTGCTCTAAATGATCAACACCACTTAAAACAAGAACAATTAGACGATATTTTGATTTATTGTATTTTGATGTATTTTGTTCCTTTGAGGAACACATGAAAGTTGAAATAAAATGTACAGAAATAAGTAAAAATGAAATAATAATAATTAGAGAGATGATATTTATCTTAATGTACGTTCTTCTTAAAATCATCTTTCGAATTTAGAAAAGGTAAGTAATTTTTCATCATTTATCAAATAAATATCTTTTTTGTTGTCATTCTGAACACGTCGTTGGATTTATTACAATTCAATTTAATCATTCCAAGTGAATATTGTTGTTGTTTTATTGTTCTTGTAAAAAAAAAACAATTAATATAAACAAAGTGACAGCAGCCGAAGAGGTAAACAAATTTAAATGTCAAATTTTTTTTAGGTTATGTTTACTTGGATGAAGTTAGTAATAAAAGGTTGGTAGCAATTTCGCGCAATACTTTTGAATTCATTTATTTATTAATTATTATTTTTAAAAAGCATTTTTAAAAATTACTTTTTTGTAAAATATAAAAATTTATATACTGAAATTTATTAATTTTTTTTTTAAAGTTAGTTGTAAGGTAAAATGAAATTGAATTTTTAAAATAATTGTGTGTTTTGGAGTTAACTTCAGATTGTAATTGAACAACATGGTTGAAAATGAAAACGTTAAAGTTGTAATTGTTTAATATTTGTTTGATGCCGCATAATATATTATTCTGTAAATAATAGAAAACAACTAATAAGGACTTGTGTATTTTATTAATAAATAAATATGTTTTGTTTATAAGTACTTTAAATTAAATTTTCAATACAATGGAGAAAGCAAACATTGAAACACAAATATTAAATATTGTTCACGATATTCTGGTAAGTTGACATTATTTTATGTATATTTAATAATAGTATATGAATTAATGATATTTTTTAGTGTTTTTAATAAAGTTTTTAATGATTTAATTAAAATTTGGATATTAATTGTTAATTTAATATCAATTTAGAAGTATTTTTGTAGGTTATGTTATCAATAATGAAAACTGTGTTTTTATTATTCAATATCAATTTTTCTGTATATTCATTTATTTTTGTTTATATTTTCGTAATTAGTATTATTTAAAAATTTTTCATTATTATAAAATAGTATTTTATTCAAATAATTGATTTTTTCCCTTGTAAATGTATTATATTAATTTACTTTCACATATTTTCATTTTAAATTCCTCTATTTATTTTATCGTTCATAATTATTGAACAATGAATTAATATTGAACAATTATTTATATTTAACAGAAAGTAGAAGCAATAGAAGAAGCATTCAGTTGTGTTATAGTTCATAATGCAGAATTAGAAAACGAAAAAATAGCAGGATGGCAAAAGGAATTATCAACCATAATGACAGGATTAACTGCAGAACAACAGGAAAGTGCTGTACGTCAATTTCTTTCCTTAGCGGCTGGAATGACAAATCATAGACGTTTACAATTATTACTCTCAATGTTAGAAACATTAGTTACAAAAGGAGTTTTACCAGCTAGGTAAGAATAATTCATTTTTTTTATTCTAAATCAAATTTTAAAATTTTCTTTTATTTACAGATTAGTATGCGAGTGTATTCTCAATTGTGATAAACTTATTTATCAAGCTGAAGATTTTTGGGTCAAGTGTTTTTCATTAATTCGAAATATTATCGGTGGAGTTGACTATAAAGGAGTTAGAGAAATTTTAAAAGTAATTATCACCTAAAAATTCGTTTTCTTATTATTTAAAAAATAAATAAATAAAATTTTATTTTAAGGGATGTAGAGATAAGGCTCAAACAATTCCCACAAGACTGCCAACAACTGTTCAACCTCAATTAAAAGCTCTTGAAAATGTAATTGAATATATTTTTGATCGTAACGCTTGTCTATTGCCTGCTGTATTTATTATTAATGAAATAAGAAAAACATCACCTGATCATAAACGATGGCCACATTGGGTAAGTATTATAAAAATTCTTTAAATTTACTTATATATTTTTCATTTAATTTATTTATTTTTTTTTTTTAAACAGAGATTGACGAAGCTTCTTTCGGATTTTGTCGAAAGTTTTCGACCCGCCGCACAAATGGTATCAATTGTTGGACATTCAAAAATGTTACCAGTCGTCGAGCATTCTGGTTACGCAGATCATTTAATAAATCCTTGGGTATTGGATCGGGAAAATTTACAATTCTCCCTCAAGGGAAATCTTCCATACGATCAGGATTTACTAAAGCCACAGACTGAATTATTAAGATATGTTTTGGAACAGCCCTATAGTCGTGATATGGTTTGCTCAATGCTTCAACTTCCGAAACAAGTATTTACATTTAATATTTATATAACTTTTTTTAAATTGGTATTAGTTATTAAAAATTGTGTTCTTTTTTTTCTAATACAAGCTTAAACAACGCTGTATAGCTTTAGAAGAACAACTTGTGGAACTTGTTATTCTTGCTATGGAACGATCTGAGAATGATCCATTACCTTCAGAATCTACTGAAGGAACTGCTGCAAATCATTATGTTTGGTTGCATTTGTCCTCACAATTAATATATTTTGTGCTCTTTCAATTTGCATTTTTTTCTGAATTTTGTACAGCGATTCATGACAGAGTAAGTCGAATAATACATTTTTTTTAAAAAATAAATTATGAAATTTCATTTAAAATAAATTAAAAGAAAATTTTTAATAAAAAAAACTATGTTTAGCTAGCGAGTTGTGAATTACGAAAAGGACGTGATCACTTAATGTGGGTTTTACTTCAATTTATTTCTGGAAGTATACAACGAAATCCCGTGAGTAAATTTATATAAAAAAATACAGTATATATTTTTTTTTTGCTATTATAGTTTAATAATTTATTTTTTATTCCAGTTATCAAATTTTCTTCCTGCTTTAAAACTTTATGATCTTCTTTATCCTGAGACTGAACCATTTCCAGTTCCCGATCTCACTCATCCTTTATGTACACATCAAATGGCAAGCACGTGTATTTGGATTCATCTTTTAAAAAAAGCTCACAGTGAACATGCAAATTTTCACAGACCAATTCCACATGCTCTCAAAGTTCATCATGAGTAAGTGAAAATTTTGTATAAAAATAATTTAATTTTGTATTATATTTTTTTGTCATTGCGATTTTTTTTTTTTTTTTTTTTATAGATTTTTACAACATTTAGTAATACCGAATACTCAATTGTGTATGGGATCCGATTATCGAATTGCTCTCTTGTGCAATGCTTATTCAACGAGTCAAGATTATTTCAGCAGACCGATGGCGGCTCTCGTCGATACAATATTAGGCAATCAGAAGGTAATATTTTTTTCTTATAAACGACTTTTTTCACTATTTAAAATTGAAATAAAAAATCGATTTTTTGCGTCTTAAATTCAATTCGAGGGGAAATTTAGTTAAAAATCTATTTTTTGGTTTTTTATAGGGACAGCAACAGCAGTCATTGCAAAATTTACAAAATAATGCAGCGCTCGTTAATGGACCAACGACACCATTGTCAATGTCAATATTAGATTCATTGACAGTTCATTCAAAAATGAGTCTCATACATCATATTGTCACGCATGTTATTAAATTGGCTCAATCAAAAAGTAATATGGCTCTAGCACCAGCTCTCGTTGAAACATACAGTAGATTATTAGTTTACACTGAAATTGAGAGTTTAGGAATTAAAGGCTATATTGGTAATTATTTAAAGTTTATTTATTTTTCAATATTTATAAAACTAGTGATAATTTTTTTTTTCAGGACAATTGTTGCCACAAGTTTTTAAATCCCACGCCTGGGGAACATTGTACACTCTTTTGGAAATGTTTAGTTATAGAATGCATCACATTCAACCTCATTATCGTGTACAACTTTTATCTCATCTTCATAGTCTCGCCGCTGTACCACAAACAAATCAAACTCAATTACATTTATGGTAAAAAAAAAAAATGAATACTCACTTTCGTTAATATATCAAATTTTTCTTAATTTTGAAATATTCAGAAACAATTTCATTTTTAAAAATGTGTTTAGAGATTTATTTATTCAGTTAATAAAGACAAATAATAGTAAAATAAGTACACAATGGAAAAAATAAATATAATCTAATCAGGAAAAAAAAGAAAAATCTAGTATGACACTTAAAATATTTTTTTTAAAATAGAAAATTTTAAATTAGAAATTTTTTTTAGTGTTTGAATTTGTATTTTTATTGAAAAGAAATAAAATTATTTTCAGTGTCGAAAGCACTGCTCTCAGACTGATAACTGGACTTGGCTCCGCTGAAGTTCAGCCTCAACTCTCACGATTTTTATCGGAACCGAAAACTCTTGTCTCGGCAGAGTCGGAGGAATTGAATAGAGCTTTGGTTTTGACTTTGGCACGTTCAATGCACGTGACAGGTAAATCTTTTTTTTTTTACTATACTTAAAATTTTTTAATACCTCGTTTACAACTTACAATTTAATTAAAAATGATTCGAACGTTCGTTCGAAACCAAAATGTGTGACATATGAATAAATAAATAAATAATGAAATTAAAAAGAATTCAATAATTAAATTACAGGAACTGGAGCCGATTCATTAAGTGGTACATGGTGTAAAGAATTGCTCAATACAATTATGCAAAATACTCCACATTCATGGGCAGTTCATACTCTACAATGTTTTCCACCCGTTCTTAGCGAATTTTTCCAACAAAATAGTGTTCCTAAGGAAAATAAACAACAAATAAAGGTAATTTATTATAAATAAATAATAAAGAATAAATTTTTTTTATTATTTTATTTAATCGTTTTCTTAAAATGAATGTAAATTAAATTAAAAATCATTTTTTATGTGTTTTAGAAAGCCGTAGAAGAAGAATACAGAAATTGGGCATCAATGAGCAATGAAAATGATATAATTGCTCATTTTACAGCTCCAAGTGCACCGCCATTATTTCTTTGTCTTCTTTGGAAAATGATACTCGACACTGATCGAATTAGTCCAATTGCCTACAAGTATGAAAAAATTTACAATAGAAATTATTTTATTAAAAAATTTAAAATGTATTTTTTATTTTTATTTCAAATGCAATTGAAATTTTATTTTCAAAAAAATTCTTTTTCAGAATTCTAGAAAGAATAGGAGCAAGAGCCTTGTCAGCTCATCTTCGTAAATTTTGCGATTATCTTGTTTTTGAATTTTCAAACAGTGTGGGTGGAGGACAACATGTTAATAAATGTGTTGATACAATAAATGACATGATTTGGAAATATAATTTAGTAACAATAGACAGATTAGTGCTTTGTTTGGTAATTATTTGAAATTAAATTTCTCATTTTTTAATGTAACAAATATTAATATTTAGATGTTATTTAATTTTAGGCATTAAGAACCCAAGAAGGAAACGAGGCACAAGTGTGCTTTTTTATAATACAATTATTACTTTTGAAAGCAACTGAATTTCGTAATAGAGTTCAGGAATTTGTTAGAGAAAATTCTCCGGAACATTGGAAACAATCAAATTGGCATGAGAAACATTTGGCATTTCATAGAAAATTTCCAGAAAAATTTGCACCTGAAGGTATTGTTGAACAGACAAGTGGTGGGCCGGGACAATATCAAAATTTACCAGTTTATTTTGGAAATGTTTGTCTACGATTTTTGCCTGTATTCGATATAATGGTTCATCGTTATTTGGAAATTCCACCTGTGTCAAAGAGTTTGGAAATTCTTTTAGAACACCTAGGCTGCCTCTACAAATTTCACGGTAATAAAAACAAAAACAAAATTTCAGTTTATTTGAATTTTGATTAAATATTTTTTTTTTAATTTCCAGATCGACCAGTGACTTATCTTTACAATACATTGCATTATTATGAGAGAAATTTACGAGACAGACCAAATTTGAAGCGTCGTCTTGTCTCAGCAATTTTAGGATCTTTGAAGGAAATTCGTCCATCCGGTTGGGCATTATCCGAAGCTTATACATTGTATATATCAAGACCAACGGAGGATGTTATCACTTGGGTGCCTGAACTTGATTATTATATTCGACTCGTTCAAAGAATCGTCGAAAGTAAGTTTCATTTGGTAGGGGAAAAATTAAGTCAATTTTAATTTTAATTAAAATAAATTATTACAGCAATGTCGGGAACTGCACATTTTCCTGCCACCGATTGGAGATTTAATGAATTTCCAAATTCAGCTGCTCACGCATTATATGTAACTTGTGTTGAATTAATGGCACTACCAATGGCACCGAATTTAGTTGCTAATTCATTACTCGATGTCGTTGCAAAAGGGTAAATTTTATTTTTACCTTTTATTTTACTAATGAAGAATTTTTAATCATTTTTTTTTTTTTTTGTTATAGATATACAATCATTAATTTTAATGAAATACATTTGTGGATTAATTGTGTGGGTCTATTAATGGCAGCCCTTCCTGAATGTTATTGGTCTGCGCTTTATGATCGTCTTGTTGAAACAATCAATACACCGGCTTTATTAAAATGGCCATATGGAAATTTAAGTCCCTTTCAGCTCTTTAATTTTAATACCACACATAATGGTCTATTGGAAAATAAATACAGTTATATGCTTGCATTGGCACATTCGATATGGCATCACGCTGGAGTTGGACAAATTACAACTCTACCGCAGTGAGAATTTGGAATTTTTTTTTCCATATTTTATGTTTTTTAAAGAATAATAACAGAAATTTTTTTTAGATTCGTTAAAGAAAAACTACAACCTGTTGTCACGAGTGAGGAACAATTACTTTATGCTTGTCATTTAATTGGACCAACTTTGGCGCGTTTCAATGTTGAAAGACCGGCCTGTGTCAATAAACTCACAGTCAATTTGTACGAAATGTTAGAACAAGTCGACAAATCTCAGACTCATTTAAATTACATGGATCCTGTCTGCGATCTTCTGTATCCTTTTTCAAAAATTTTTTTTTATTTATATTTTCAATTTAGCAATTTCTGAAAAAAAATTATATTTTTTTTTTGCTTTTTTAAAAAAAAAAAACAATGTATTAATTTGACAGTTATTTATTGAAGCAATTTCCTTACATAATTTACGTATTCAATAAAGATATCACATTAAGTATATGTTCGTTGGCGATACGATGAAGACTGATGTGGAATCTATTATTCGAAGACTGAGACCAGCTCTACAAATGCGACTTCGCTTCATCACACATTTGAACATTGAGGAAATTCAAGCTGATGGACAATCGCAAGCAACGCTCGCAACAACTTAATTAATTTCAGAGGCGAAAATATTTTCATTTTAAAAATCAAATTTAACGATAATGATAAGTATATCGTTTTTAATATTTTTGATAATATGATCATAATATTTATATAAATATTATATATATATATAAATAATTAATTTCTCTTAATAATTAATTGAAAGGCAGAGAGATTATTCGAAGCGGATATCTTTTTTATATATATATATTGTCAATCAAATTGTATAAAGTGTAGGTGAGGGCGTCAATAATTAATTAACATTTTTATTATAATAAACTCGTAAATAGTCTTCAATAGTCTTCTGTAATTCTTTCCTTTATATTATAGGTGTAAGCAATTTTTTTTTTCCCAAAAAGCTTATTCTAATTATTGATTTTTTATCACATTGTTCTTTTTTTTATTTTTAGGAAGAAGATTTTTTTTTAAATGGTATCGTAATTGACGGTGCCCTCTCTTGAGGCTAAAATAAGTTCAGCAAATTTATCATAAGCTCCTGCATTCTCAATTACAAAATCTTGAGATTTCATATTTGTGGTCCAATTTATCTACGAAAAAATAGAATAAAATTTTTATTTAGTATGCAAATTATTGTTATTGTAAATAATTTTACTTACAACATGGGGAAATTTTTCTTTTTCAAAATTCTTTAATGGTTGTTTATAAATCAATGGAAGTGCTTTTGATCGTTCTACCCATGGCCAAATCATAATATCCACAATTCCAGGTTTTTCACCTATAAATTTGAATTAAAAATTGTTTTCATTAATTTATTATTACTAATTTTCAAATTTGTTTTTGATTTTTTTTTTATGTTTATTTTACAGAAGTATTTTCATCACCTCCAAAGAAGTCAGTTCCTCGAATTTTCAGCTCCTCTTCAAATTCCTCCAAATGTTGGGAAATTTCAGCGACAATTTCATCTAGACTTCGATCTTCTTTTCCGTGAATAACATTAGAAAATAAGCTGCTTATCTGTAAGTATTTCCTTTTTTTAATTCTAATTTTCTTCAATTATTAAAAAAAATTATTGGATTATAATTTTTATATCATTTATCACAAATTTTGATTTAATTTTAATTTCAATTTCCTAATTATAGTTAATTAATTAATTTGGTACCTTTCCAAAATTTGTAATCAACTCCAAGTCTCGAGTTTTTCTATCTTCATTATATAAAGGAGGATCAGGATACATTTCATTCACGATGTTTACAATCACGTCTGATTCGATAACTACTTTGCCATCCGGTCCGATAAAAGCCGGAACTTGTCCCTTAGGATGGATCTGAATATTGATGAAAGATACTTTATGAATTTTTAATCACAATGAAAAAAAATACATGCTTATTATTTTAATTAATCTCTTTAAAAAAAAAAAAATTCTAGAAACTTACATCGAAATACCATTTTGGTTTATTTTTTAAATTTATGTTTATTATCTCGTAGGGGATTTTTTTGAATGAAAGTGCCAATCTTGCACGATGAGCATATGGACAAAATTTCATACTAAAAAGATATGGTTTTCCCTCCACTAATTCTGGCTTATCTGAACCTAAAATTAGAAATATTTTCTATTATTCTAATTTTTTTTAATCGATTTTATAGAAAAAAAAAAAATTAAACAGTTTTATTTCTTCATGTTTCAAAAAGTAATATTTGGAAAATTATTTTTCTGTATCCCCTACCCGAAAGTACGGACTTCCCTGTCGGTAATCGTTCAGGGAAGAACGGCTTTTGTGGCCGGCCAGAAACAACGTGCGCTCTGATTGGCTACGAGACTTTAAAGGCTTGATGGCATAGCAACCACATAGCAACGCTTATTTCATGGCCTGTTTTGTGTCAAGTGCGGTAAATAACCACAAAAATAAGCAACCTAAGTTAAAAAAAAGTGACAAATCATGTATAAATAAGATGTACTTGTGTAAGTGTTATTGTACTTTCTCCTTCTTTTTAAATGTCTAAACTGAAAATCTTTCACTTTCATCCACTATTATAAAGTAAACAAAAATTTTCAAAGGTTAACTATATATACACAAAGACACAACACAGGTGATTAGATGCCTTATGGTTAATAAACTAAATTCCATATGCCAAATTATTATTCGTGCATTGGATTTTTGTGCGTTTTATTTATATTTTTCATATAATTTTGACGCCCGCCCCGACCAGCAAAACCTCGGCTTCGCCTCGGCTTTGCAAAAGTCGGGCGGGCTACCTGTCATCTGTAACTAAGCCTTCTGCTACAAGCTTCGCTACGTGGCCGGGAGGGCGCGCTGACGCGAGCCACAGCAGTAGACACATGGTTAATGCCATTTTATTAAAAAATAATAATTATTAAACGTACTTTCGAGTGGGGATAAAGAAAAATTGTATACAACACACGGCCAAAAAGTTTGATGCCCTGCTGAGCGTGATATAAGGCCTCGGCTTCGCCTCGGCCTTATATTTCACGCCCGCCAGGAAATCCAACTTTCTGGCCTAGTATCGTAATATACTATTTATTAATATTAATAATAGTGTTAAAAAATTGTGATTCAATTAATTAATCATCATAATTACATGGAAAGATGAAACAAAAATGCAATGAATTTAATCGCATGAATATCATATGATAATAAAATAATGTTTAATATTTTTTAATGATTGTATCGAATGAAATTTTAATCAATCAAAATATTTACTATACCTTCGGAAAGATGAACGGAATTCATGTTTTCTTTTTTTATTTTCAGTTGAAAGGAGAAAAAAAAAGCCGGAATATATTGACTGAATGTAATGTAAAACAAAATTTCACTTTTTTTTTATCAAAAATTTTATAAAGATTATGAGAAATAGTTTAAAAACTAATTATTTATTGCTTTTCAATTTAGAAAATTTCCTGGAAAATACGCAATAAATATTTTCAAGATGATTCTACGAACACAAATGGAGTTCTACTGCCGGTCTGACGGGTCGATGTTGACTAGAGAGGGGTCTCAATAATGATAATAACTAGAAGTAACTCCCACTCATTTTTCTTTCAATTTCACTGTTGATTTCTCCTTTTTTTTATTACTATTGACACATTGAACAAAAAATTCCATGAAAATTCTCAATTTATAGCTTGCACTTTTTTTTTTATTTTTTTTAAGAGATAATTTTTTATTTTATTAAATAAATTTTATTTTGTATTATTTATTTAATTTAGAATTTTTTTTAATTTATGAGAATACATACCTATTTTGAAAATTTTTGTTTTAATATTTTTGATTGTTATTTATTTATTAAAAAAATATTTCGTCCATGTTTTCTTTTTTATTAAATATTTTATTTTTTAAATATTTAAACATGAGAAACTAAATGAACGAAAACAAATTGTGTTACTTTTATATTTGAAAGAGCAATTTGTTGCAAATAAAAATTAATCTTTCAAAGCGACATTTTCAGTGATTCAGCATCAAAAACTGAGACCGTGGGAGATGATTGTTCTCCAGGTTCTCCAGCAACGCTGATATGAATTTCCGGTATGGCAGAATCTGATTCTTCCACATTTTTTGATTCACTACTAAATTAAAAAAAGAATATATATACATTTTAATTTATATATTTTTTAATTGAATTTTTTAAAAATAATTTTCAGATAAATATTTACTTGGAACGTGCTGCTTTTCGCCATAATTTCCGGATAGATTCACTACGTAAATTTTGATCATGAGGTAATGATTCCAGTTCACCTTCAGTAATATCACCAGCGTCTGAAGTCATTGACATTCCTCGAGCTGGTAATTCAATACTTTTTTCATTTGGATTTTCACTTTCGTCTAAAATTAAAATTTTTTAAAATTTTACATTCAAATTAATTTCTTTTTTAAGTATTTAATTTTTTTAATTGCATTTTTTTTTCAAATGTTTATAAAAAAAAATTTATTTTATTTAAAATTAGATTAGATGTAAATTATTATTAAATTAGTAACCTTTGACAATTGATATTCCTGTGTCTTTTCGTGAAGGCATAAACGATGGTAAAATATTTTTCCATCGTGTAAATGGAGTTTCTTGTATTTCTTGTCGTTTTTCTGCAATTTTGAACATTTTTCGCCTTTCTTCAGTACGTTCTTGTCTCAATTGTATCTGAAAAAAAAAATTATTTTCTCTCAGACTTTGAAAAAGTATTTAAAAACAAAAAACAAATACCTTTAAATCATTATTAGCTTCTCTTAGCGATCCAGTTAGGGAAACCATGTAATAAATAATTAATACCATCAAAACTATTAATGGTATCACTATGCCCGGTGAAACAATATAATCGAAAATTCTGAAAATAAAAATATTTTATATACAATATTTTAAAATAGTGAGAACAAATTTTTTTTTTTTTTTAATTAATTTTTTTATTCTTTTTTTACTTACTTTTGCAATTTTTCAGGTAATGCTTGCTGTAGAGTTTTCGTTCCCAAATGATAAATTCTTTTGTACTGAGAAAATGGTCCACAATGCCAAGAAGGTTCAACCCAAACTATCGCGTATCCAACGGGAAGAACACATAGGAACAACATTGTCAACAATAAAGCAAAGTAAAAATTATTCGACCTATAAATAATTTTATAAAATATTTATTATAATAGAAAAAATTAACATTTAATGTTATTTTAAATTAAAATATTTTTTATTATTTTAAATTTAAATTTCTTTAAACTAATTTTTCCCCTTTTTTTCAGTTCATTTGACTCACCTGGATGCACGAAAAATTACTTTATGCGGTACATTATAATTAAGAACTGCCCACGATCGAATGTGCATAAGAATACCAAGTTTCAAAACATTCAGGGTAATTAATCCAGGACTAAAAAACATACCCATCCAAACCATACCCTGATTATTGATTAAATATAAAATATTTTCTGCAATTTTAAAATCGCCATATTGAGGGAATTTTTTCTCTAAATCCCAACACCAACAATTGTTCATGTAACGAACGAAAATTGCTCTTATAAAGTCGAGTGTTAAGACTGACAATATAGTCATCACCTGGAACAAAAAAAGATTTGTTTGTTCGAGGAAAAGGTAATTTTGAAAAATATAATTTAATAACGATAATAGAAATTTAAATTAATTACAATGTAATTTTTTAATTATTGTGCAATATATATTTTTTTTTCTTTACCAGATCCATGACAGTCAATTTTGCAAGTTCTTGACCAAACATAGTTTCCCAACAGAGACGACGAAGTTTTGTACGAATTTCAAGACTCAGAGGAATTGAAGAAATTTCTGGTAAGAATAAATTAGATCAATATTGAAATATTTTTAATTAAAATTTATAATTACCTCTCTCCTCTGAGATAGTAGATGAAACATTACAAACTTTTACAAAACATCTATTATTAAAAATAATTGGATATGATTCTGTCACTTGTTCCGTAATTATGGTGGAATCAGTTTTATTTTCATTCACAAAAATTGTCTTATCTAAAAATGAATAATTTTCTTATTTTTTAATTTATTAAAAAAAATATTTTTTTGTTTCAGTGAAAATTCTACCTGAAATATTTAAAAAATCATAATACGTATAATCAACATGAGGATCGTCATCATCTTTAAAAAGATAATTTTGATAATCACTATCTTGCAATGAAGTAGTTGATGAATATTTTCGATCATCATCATCAGATATTTCAGAAGTTTCTTCAGATATTTGAGTAGTTATTTCAGATATTTGAGAAGTAATTTCAGATATTTCTTCATAAATTTCTGAAGTTTCGGAAAATTCAGACGTTACTTCATTTGTTGTTTCTACATGATTATTTTGTGTTGATAACGAAGAGAGATCATTGAAATAATTAAATTTTGGCACATGAAGATATGTTTCATTTTCCTGGAGAAAATCATTTATGGAAATTTGTTTTTCAATGGGCGACGCAACTTGAGTGGAATTTGTTAAAACAAGACTCAATGAAGCCAATGTCATTGTCATATTTTGAAGATTTAATTCATAACACGATTTTGGAAAATATTTGCATGTTGAGGTAGAAACTTTCGTTTTATTTGGTTTTAAACTCTGAAGCTGTTTTTGCTGATAAAAAGAATTGATAATTATTGAATTTCGAATTGAAAAGAGAATTAATTAATCATTAATAATTAATTAATCAGAATTTACCATAATGTCAATTTTGCTGAACAATGCGAAAATAAGTGAATATTGATTAAGAAGATTAAGCACCATTATTCTGTAAATTAAGAAATTTAAATTTTTTTCTGAAATGAAATTTAACATAATTATTAAGGAATTTAAAATTTATTGATAAATACCTGGCAAGTTGAAGTCGTAATTGTTTTCTTGGATGATAATTTTCAAGAATGCCAAGAATTTCAAAGAAAATTGGAAAAATATAATTTATAAGTGACATAATAACTGTGATCTCATTTTGTCTCCACCAATTACTATTTGCTTCCGGCTGTGTACTTCTTGCGACAATTTCAATAACAATATAAGCAGACAATGACAATAAAAATAGAACTGATAAATTGACAAATATTCGACAAACTATTGTCTTCCAACTAAAATAAAGAATTTGTGCTTTATAAAAGGTAAAACAATACAAATGAAAAAATTACTTAAATTCTTACTAACCTTCGTTTATCTTTTGCTTTTTCAGCTTCTTCAAGAAGAGCTTCTTTAAAACCAAGAGTAATACTGGAAGTACGATTATTAGACGTTTCTGGATTACCAATCATAAAATCCCAGCTAGTAAAGAGTTTCCACGAAAATGCATATTCGTCTTCTTTTTCCGACAATTTACTCATTCGTGAATTTTTCGCCATTCTGGAGATTTAAAAAAAAAAAGAAATTTTTATATTTCAAATTTATTCTAGTAAGTATGAATAAAAATTAATAAATTTACTTTCGTAAAATGACGACAAAACTATAGGTATAGACAACGATATTTGTGATGAAATATGCCATTGGCAATTGATAAATTTTATTCGATTTTTTATTTGTATACCATCCATAAAAAAATGGTGAATATTTTAAAACACCTTCAAATTCCCATAATGTTAATAATTCTTTGGATTTTATTTCTTCCTCAGGAAGCATTATTTTTCTTTCGCCTGCATCTTTTGGAATTGCCATCAATATCTATAAATTATAAAATTCCCTTGAATTTTAATTTACAAAAATTTTCAATATATTTACTTAAATAATTTTCCTTTTTTTTTTAATTCACTAGAGAAAACGCATACTTCTGGAATGGCAATAAAAGCAGTTAGAATTCCAGAAATGACGAGATTTATCCAAAATAGCCATCGAAGAAATGTGAAAAATGAAGCAACAGCAGATCCAAAATGTGATTCTATATCTTTTATTCGATGCTCCCAGGGAATGAGAAATGTTTGAATATTGACGATTTCACGTTTATAATATTGCCATTTCTATGAAAGGTAATTTTTTTTATTTACTTATTTTTAATCTGGTTTTAATTATTTAATTTCAGTTAATGAGTTGAATTATTATTTTTTTTTTGTTAAGTTTGCTTCTCCATAGAGAAAGTATTTTCTTTTTTAAGTTAATTCATTTTTTTTTTTTTTTTTGCTTGAAAATTACCTTATCCAATAAAATTGACATTCTTGCTAAAATATCTCGAGTGTTGTGTCTTTGGGCAAGTCTGTCGTGAAGAGCACCTTCATGTTGTTTCACAAAAATTTTAGCTTGTCTCGCGAGCTTAATTTTTCTCCGAAGAGGCCATGGTTGTTGTCTTATTCCACTTAGAACTTCTTTATGAAGTTTTAATTTCTCAAAAATCAATTCTTCTCCTTTTTCTTCCATGGATATTGCTGTACTAATTAAATTTTCAACAAATATTGTACAATTACAAAAAAAAAATTATAATTGATAAATTTAAATTATTTTTTATTACTGCAAAAATTATTAATATTAAATAAATTGTCTCTTACTCTCCTGAACTTGTAGTATAAACTGAAGATCTTCGTCTCACGTTGGTATCAAAACTGTCGGGATTAAATGGCGAAGATGATCTTCTTCTGTGTCTTTTTTTACTTTTTCGAGTGGAATTTCGTCTTTGAATAATTGCACAAGCTGAAATCGAATAATCATCTTCTTCACCTGGTTCCTCTTGTCCATCTATTTTTACGAAACGGTTAGTAACTCATTTATAAATTAAAATTTTTAATTATTTTCAAGAAGAATAGAAAAAACAATTTGAATTTTTTTTTTTAAATAAAACTAACCATTAATTGAAACACCTCTTTGAATCATTGTTAAATTTTTCGAATTCACGTTCTCCAATGTAAGATTCTCTTCTTTACTGAATTCGCCGTTATTGTCGTCATCAAGAGCAAATGAAACCTGTAGCGTTTGTTGTTGAGATTTAGGTTCCTGAAGCATTTTTCAAAAAAAAAATAGGTATATCGATTTTTTTTCCACAAATATTTATTTTTGCAAAAGAATAGTGTTTTTTTAAATATTAATTTTTAAAAAAAAATTCTAACTTGGAAAATAAAATATAATCTTTTAATTTTTACTGTTTTTTGATTTAATAAGTACCGTTGTGAAAATTTTACAGTTAGTTAATGAAGATAAATATTTTAATCACTTGGAAATTTGCAGGCACTTGAATGAAATTTTATTTCACTATGGAAAAAATTGAAAGAAGTCATTATTTTTTTTCAAAAGAAGTACGACGAGAGAAGAGGAAAAAAGAAAAAGAACTGGACTGTATTAAATCACGAAAGCTACTGGTTAAATTCTACCTCATATTCTCATAACAACCCTCTGCCGCACCTTTGCAGTATTTTGTAGCAGGTGACTTAAGTTTAATATCTAGCCTTTCAATTCATAAGACTCCTACATACATTAGCTATTAATTAGAAATCGTTTTCTTTAATAATCGGAAAACACGACACTATAAATTATCATTTTTTTTTTTTTTTTTTTCTATTAATTTCCCATCCAAATTTTCAACTTAATTTTAATTCAATAGTTTTACTTTTAATTTTTCTTACAATTTAATGAAGTATTTTTTTTTAATATTTACAAATTTTTTATTTATTTTTAAATAATTTCAAAAATTAATTTCGAAAAAAGTTAAAATAACTTGAGTAAGAAACTAAAAAAAAGGTCCTTGAATTTTTAATTTATAGACGTATAGTTTATAAAAAACAGTCTGGAAAAATCTGTTTCTTCATTCTGTGTCAACTTTGGGTTTTTTTTTTCTACATTATACGAGACACTCAACTTTGCGTGCCGTTTATATTCCACACCCTCGTAATGTTATCTTTCTTCATCCATAAACATAACGAGATATTTCATATAATATTAAGATTTAAAATTTCGTCTTTTAAAATCGAATAGAAAAGATCAAATTTTTCATAAATATATCGAGACGATTCAGTTTATTTATGAAAAAAAGAAGTTTTTTTTTACAATATTTTCAATAATAATTTATTATTATAAAATCAAAAATGAGAAATTAATAGAAAATTTTTTTCACCTATAATTAAGAATTTAGTTTTTAATTTAAATGAATAATTATTAATTTTTTACTTATGAAAATGAAGAAATAATTTTAAATATATTTCCCATGGGGTAAGAAAATGGATTTTTGAAAATAATCGATCTTTTTCCCATATAATGTCAAAACATCATACAAATCATCGTGTGTGACTGCACCCATTACCTAGAGCTAATCACTTCAACTCTACTCACCCTCACTAATTGTTAGACACGCCACTTTCTAGAAACACACAAAATCACCATTTTTGTCCTACAATATTATTTTTCACAATATGTGTGTAAAAATCTTTTTTTTTTTTTTTTTTTTTTTGCATAAAATCAATAACCACCGCGTGGCAAAATAAATAATTGATCTTTCGCGTGCCTCCAATTTTCATCAAAATATTATTATAGAGTCCTAATTTTTCGCTCAAATATGAATATGTAAAAATAATTTGTTTCTCCTCTAAATAATTGTATGAAATAAAAAATAATTTTTAAATTAAAATATAAAAAAAAGAATTAAATATTAAAATAAATTATTTATAATTAAAATAAATTAACGAATAAATTCAAGAATTTTACCTGTCGTGAATATGAGGCATATGATCGAAGAATACCACCTGATTCTCTAAATTTTGTTTCCGAAATTTTTCCATCACTTGGATTTCCGATTTCTTTTTCTTGCGATTCTTTGGAATTCATGATTAAAATTATTTATATTAATAATAATAAAAAATATTTTTTAATATTACAGGTAAACTAGTACGCAAATTTTGCCGAGCTTCGTTACCCTTTCGATGTTAAAGTTTCACTGGTGTTTTTATGAAGCAGAAAAGTTGCTACATTTACTAATGAATGTGGTGTCATTAATTTCCAAGTGCTAAATACTCACTGTTCACGTAAAGTGCGCTTTGTGCGCTATACAATTTATATATACATATATATATATAGAGAAAAAGCAAACGTATATAGGCTTTTATTTACCAGAAAAGTGACGAGACGCACCCTCATTTCCTCGGAAGTTTAATATTTTAATGCGAAAAGCAAACATTTAAAAAAAATATTAATTAGTCTCTAATAATCCTATTTTATATTATTAAAATTATTATTACATCTAATTATCTCATAGAACAAATTTAAAGTTGAAAATTAAAACGAATTAGAATTTTTATTAAGAATTTTTCATAAATAATATTTTTAATAAATAAAAAAAAATAAAACTTTTATTTAATTGAATGTTAAAATAACTTGAATTGAAATTTAAATTAATTAATAATTCACAAATTAATTAATTTCCAATTTATTTATTAAATTAGGTTTCAATTCAATTGATTTGATTTTTAAGTAACTTGAATTGAATATTAAATATACTTAATCGAAATTCAATGTTTAATTCAAATGACTTGATTAAATTAATTTCTAATTTAATTGATATATTTTTAAATTATTTCAGTTAAATTAAATAATAATTTCAATTTAAATAAAATTTAAATATTGTCACGTGACATTGTAAAACGCGCGCACATTTTGAATTTTTAAATTATGTTCTTTACTTTTAAAGTTGTTTAAACTATAATATCGTGTAAATTTAAGTCAAATGGATTTAATAACAATTATATTAATTAACTACTTTATTAAAAATATAATACTTTGGAGAATTATTAACAAAATAGATTAAAAAATAATAAATATCAACTCTTGTGAAGTAAGCAGCGTGGTTGCAAAGTTCGATTTATCGAATACCAAGAGAGAGAGTTGGTATCACTGATATTTGTTAATATATTCAGAGTGATAAAAATACAGAAAAATTTTTTTTACAGTGTGTCAAAAATTATGAAACAATAATTTGTAAATATATTTAATTTTAAATACAATTTAACATTGGTAAATTAATAATTATAGTGCTAAGATTTATATGAAATTTTTCAAAAATTACAAATGTTTTACATTATTTATTTTTTGCAGTAAGAATACAAACATGGAGCAAATTTTGTGTGGAAGATTTGGGTAAGATTTTCAATTATATTGTATTTTTATAATATTAAATTGACAATTATCATTTATTTGTAATTCAACATCATCTAATTTATGAAAAAAAATATATTGTTTTATTTATTTTCAACTATTACTTAACGTCAATTCATTATTACGGTTTTATAGGTTATGTTCATTATCAACCATATATTTATTTTGATATTGCAAATAAACGTAATTTTCACTATTTAATTAATTTTTTGAATGAAAAACTAAATATTTTATTACTATGTAATGATAAAGTAACAAATCAATGTATTAAAAATGATAAATCAATAATTAAATATTCGGAATAAATGAAATGAATTCAAAAATTTTTTAATTTCAAATTTTAAATAAAAACATTATTTATTTCACAAAAAGAATTTAGAATAATTATTTTTAAATAATTCATTAATTTACAGGCGCAATATTTTATTGAGATCAAAATCTTCACGTAGAACAGTATCAATGATAAATTCAAAAAGTTTAATGACAGGAAGACTTACAAGGCCCTTACTTTCTTCTCCTCATCCTCGTTATTTTTTGAATCCTCATCGTGCATATGGAATGATTTTCACTAGAGTATTGAGAGGAGCTTTAAAGCTTCGCTATATTCTTTTAGGTGGAGCAATAGGTGGAGGTGTCACTGTGCAGAAGGTAATTAAAATTATTAATTTAATATAGAGATAAATTTTTAATTTTCAATAATATTATTAAAAATATTTGTTAAAATAATACGTTTTAGAAATATGAAGAATGGAAAGAAGCCTTACCCGATATGAGTTGGATTCAAAAATTACTACCAAAAGAACAAGAATGGCAAGACGCGGCTCAAACTCTAATTCAATACAAAGACAAAATGTTGGGGAATATGAATATAGGTTTGTAGATTAAATTAATTTTAATTTTGGAGTTGAAAATTGTAAAAAAAAATAATTAAATTTTCAAAAGGTAAGTGAAGAGACTCCAAATTTTTTTGATTTATATTATTTTTAACAATCGAATAAAAATATTCATTTGCCGTGAAATATTGGCAACTGTAAACAGATCCACGATTGAAGGAGCTTGGGGAGGCAAAATATCGAGAATATAAGATGTGGTTTGACCAGAGATTGGATAATGCCATTAAAGCGGCCGAAAGCCGCAAAAGTATTGAACAAAATGGCAATTCTTCAAATCGTGAGTCACTTTTTTTTTTAATTGTTTATTTGAAATGCCTCCCAAATCCAATCCCTGTCCAAAAAAAAAACTGGTTAATTTTTTTCTCAAAAAAAAAAAAAGAATATTTTTCTTTCGTTTTTCTTATTGGGTGTGTAAATTATGCACTCGTATTTTAAATATTTTTTTAAAAGTTGCCAAATATATATTAAGGCAATTGAATACTCAAAGTAAGTTAAAAATAGATATTTAGTGTTTATTAAATATTTTTGCATGATTGTTAGAATTTTGTTTGCTTTTCACTTTTTTTTTTTCACAGTAATTTTCTTTTATTTTTTAATGATTAATTTGGTCTGTTCTGTTCAGGTATGTTTGACGTGATCTCGACTGTAGCAAACCAAGTTTACTCAGGTGTGTAAAAAAAGTAAATTAAAACTTTTTTTAAAAAAAAGACTATAAATAATTGACAGACTATAAATTGACTAAAAACAATTGTCCGTCCATTCAGAATATTTTTTTTTAATGACTCAGCTATGAAAATAGCTCAAAATTCATTATAATTTATTAAAACTGAATGGGACAGACCTGTTGCTTTTTTATTTTATTATTTTCTGCACAAAAAAAAATAATTACAATATTTACTCGACATGATTGCAATATTCAATAAAAATTTTAATTCAATAAAAATATAATTAGAATTGATTTAAAATATTTTTATTTAATAATTGTATTTTTAAAGCAGATACAAAGGATGAATTTCTAAAGAATTCGGTAGTTCAAGCTCGACCGTTATTAAATGATAGTGTTCAAGAAGAACGTCGAAAAGCTCGTAGGTATAATTTGAAAATGATTTGATATATAAAAATTTTCTATGATAATTAACATTTTTTGTCATTAATATTCAGAATCTTCACAGCAAAGAATGGATGCGATGCAAAATGAATTAATACAAATTCAATTAAAATATCAACGAGAATTGGAACGATTGGAGAAAGAAAATAAAGAACTTCGCAAGCAAATGTTATTGCGCGGAAATCAAAAACTAAGCAATCGTAAAATCAAAGTAAGCACAAATTTTCATTGAATAAATAAAATATTTTCTATAAATTTAATATTTAATTAATATCTTTTTTTTTTACTTGAAAATTAAATTAGCAGAAATAATATTAAAATTTTGGTATTAATTTTTTATAGAAGTCTCTCATTGACATGTACAGCGATGTGCTTGATGAACTTACTGAATACGATAGTACATATTCGACAGCTGATCATTTACCTCGTGTTGTTGTTGTTGGAGATCAATCATCGGGAAAAACTTCTGTTCTTGAAATGATTGCACAGGCGAGAATTTTCCCGAGGTAAGAGGAAATTTATTTTCTTTATTATTTAATAAATTGATATTTTATTTTTATTTATTGGTATTAATTAACAATTTTCATTCTGCAGAGGTGGCGGAGAAATGATGACAAGATCACCGGTAAAAGTAACTTTGAGTGAAGGACCATATCATATTGCACAATTCAAAGATAGTTCCCGGGAATTTGATTTGTCAAAGGAATCAGAATTGGCCGAATTAAGAAGAGAAGTGGAACTTCGTATGAAAAATAGTGTTAAAAATGGAAAAACAGTTAGTCAAGATGTTATTGCAATGACTGTAAAAGGTCCCGGTCTCCCTCGTATGGTCCTCGTTGATTTACCTGGAATTATTAGCGTATGTCAAATGAAAATTGATTTTTATTTTCCATTTTTTACAATTTTTCCAAAATTTATGTAATTAAAATGTGAATTTAAACATCATTAGATTAAATAATTATTATTAATAATAATAAATTAAATAATTAATCAGCGGAGGGTTTGAATTGTCAATTTTGCTTTATTGCAGACAGTGACAGTCGATATGGCGGAAGATACTCGAGATGCGATTCGTCACATGACTCAACAATACATGAGTAATCCAAATGCAATTATTCTTTGCATTCAAGATGGTTCTGTGGATGCTGAGAGGAGTAATGTCACTGATTTAGTCGCACAAATGGATCCCTCTGGCAAGAGAACAATTTTTGTGCTGACAAAAGTGAGATAATGAATTTAAAATAGTTTATTTTTACAAATTTTTTTAAATTTTTTAAAGAAAACAAAAAAGTTGATAGTCAAATATTTAAAAAAAAATTTATTATTTCTTTAATAGGTTGATATGGCAGAGGAGAATTTAGCTAATCCGGATCGTTTAAGGAAAATACTTTCAGGAAAATTGTTTCCAATGAAGGCGTTAGGTTATTTTGCTGTTGTTACAGGACGAGGACGACAGGAGGACAGTATACAGACAATAAAAGATTATGAAGAAAATTTCTTTAGAAATTCAAAGCTATTTAAGTGCGTTAATATTTTTGAATTAATTTTAGATTATAATTTAGATTAAATATTTGATATTTTAATTTCAATTAAAAATTAATTTATAATTAATTTTTTGTTTTTTGCAGAGATGGTTTAGCAATGTCTAGTCAAGTGACGACGAGAAACTTAAGTATGGCTGTGTCTGAATGTTTTTGGAAAATGGTTCGTGAGACTGTGGAACAACAAGCGGATGCCTTTAAAGCCACAAGGTTTAATCTTGAAACTGAGTGGAAAAATAATTTCCCAAGGTAGAATTAAAAAAAAAAAATTTATTATTGAAATAAAAAATAATTGTTTAAAACAATATGTGATTTTCAAAAATCTGATTTACTTTTTTAGATTGCGTGAGCTTGATCGTGATGAACTTTTTGAAAAGGCCCGAGGGGAAATTCTAGATGAAATTGTGAATTTATCGCAAGTTTCGCCACGACATTGGGAAGAAGTGTTGATGGCGAGAATTTGGAATAAAGTTAGCATGCATGTGTTTGAAAATATTTACTTACCCGCCGCTCAGAGCGGAAATCCAAGTACGTTAAACTATATCCAATGTTACTTATCCATTACTTTATCCATTAGTTACTTATTTTTTTAAAAATTATTTTTAAGGTACATTTAACACAACAGTGGATATAAAATTGAAACACTGGGCAGAGCAACAATTACCAGCAAAAAGTGTTGAAGGCGGTTGGGAATGTTTAAAACAAGAATTCGAAAAATTCATGTCACAAGCGCGTTTGAATCCTGATCATGATGATATTTTCGATAGTTTAAAAAATGCAGTTGTTGACGAAGCAATGACAAGACACACATGGGAGGATAAGGTAATATTTTTCGAAATTTAAATATTTTCTCTATTGGAGATTTTATAATTTTTTTTAATACTTAGGAAATTATTGATAAAATTTTTAAAGAATACCATTTTTTTTTAGGCGTCCGATATGTTGCGTGTAATTCAATTGAATACTCTGGAAGATAGGAATGTTAGCGATAAACGAGATTGGGATCAAGCAGTTCGCTTTTTGGAAAATTCAGTGAAGGAGAAATTGCAAAATACTGAGCAAATATTGCATGAAATGTTGGGTCCAACTCGAAAAGAACGTTGGCTTTATTGGGAATATCAAAATGAGGAGCAACAGAAAAGAACATCAGTCAAAAATGAACTTGATAAAATTCTTTACGCCGACAAGGTATCATAAAAAAATTTTTAATTAAAAGCAAAACTAAAATCAAAAAGAATTAACAAAATTAGAATAAAATAATTGAATGTTTTCTTTTTATAGAAACACGCGCCAACTTTGACACAGGACGAATTAACGGCAGTCAGAAAAAATTTACAGCGAAACGGTTTAGAAGTTGATAATGAATTTATTCGCGAAACGTGGCATCCAGTTTATAGAAGATTCTTTTTACAACAAAGTTTATCGAGGGCCTACGACTGTAGAAAAGGATATTATCTTTATCATACTGGGCACGATCAAGAGGTATATTCTTAATTTTCCTCTAAAAACTTTCTAAATTTGTAAATTGTTTATTATACTCTATAATTTTGTTTCAGATGGAATGCAATGATGTTGTACTTTTCTGGCGAATACAACAAGTTCTAAAAGTGACAGCAAATGCAGTAAGGCAACAAATTATGAATCGAGAAGCGCGAAGACTAGATAAAGAGATTAAAGAAGTACTGGAAGATTATAGTCAGGACAATGAAATAAAACAAAAACTTTTAACCGGTCGAAGAGTAACGCTCGCTGAAGAACTCAGTAATTATTTCATTTTTCATATTTAAATATCGATTTGCAATAACAATTTTTTTATTTTAAAAAAGATCGAAATTATGCATTTTATTAATTAAAAAAATTTTTTTTATTATTTTCAGAACGAGTAAGACAGATTCAAGAGAAATTAGAAGAATTTATACAAGCTCTCAATAAAGAGAAGTGAATATAGATGGAAGAATTTCAATCAGGCCAAAGTCGTAAATGAAAAAAAAAGCGCGTGGTTAACCCCAGAGATGAACTGTTAACTCGCGAGTGTGTGAATTAATTATTTTCATGAATTGCAACTGTATGAGGTGCACTCCACGACATCAATTTTGGACTAGTGATTTATTTCAAGTACAAGATATATCATAATTTCATTATCGACCGAGTACCACGAAACAATGGAAACAAGTTTTTCAAATTTTCATAAAGGACACAATTATTTTGTTTTCGAAATTTTAAGAGACTGAACTTCAAAAATTTATATCGATTTTTACATTTTACAATTAAATATTATTCTTTTTATAATTATTTTAATGATTCTTATATATATTTTTAAAGTCATTAATAGTAATTAATTTTTTATTTTAAAGTCAGTCTAATGTGAATTAGCATTTTTTGAATTACTTAGAAAAAATTACAAAATTAAGGTGTCCTATTATGAAAATGTAAACTTGTACTTCTTTTACATAAACTAAGTTGTATCGATTTTATCCTTCTGCCAAAGTATTTTTTTCTTATTCAGAACATTGAGATTTATCATTTAAAATTAAAAAAAAAAGTGTAGAAATTTTACTAATATGAAAAAAGAAGCGATAATAAAATCGATAGAATCTAGTGAATGTAATTGGAAAAGTCACTTGAAAAAAAAAAAAATTGTCATTTCGTCTGATCTGATCTGAGTGGGTGTAAGACGAGGGACATTCGTATTGTGGCAATGAGTGTTTCGTTTCGTGATCGTATTCCAATGCTAGTGAAAAACACGCGATGTATATATACACTGTTATGATCCCTATGTGATTAAAGTCTTTTAACTTTAATTTTCGTTTTTTCGAAAATTTTATCAAAAAATAAGGCAACTAAAAATCAACTTCACTTGAAAATTGATAAATAAGGAAAAAAAAAATTATTCAAATTCAATAACTAGAAAATTTTATTAAATAAATTATTAAAATCATTAAATTGTTGTAATTATCAATTACAATTAATGATGATGAAATTAATTAAAGTAGTAAAAATAAAATTTTAGTCTCAAAAATTAAAGAAAATTAACAGTATTTAGGGAAATTGGGTACTTAAATAAAAAATAATTTTTGAACAGATTGTTAAAAAAAAAATGGTAAGATAATTTTCTATGTTAATTTTTTAAATTAAAAGAATAATCAATGTTTTATTAATTAATAAATACAGTAATTTGTCAAATTATTATTATTAATTTTTATTTAGTTTATTTTTACTTTTGCCTTTTTATTATTATTATTTTCATCATTATTATTAATAACTTTTTATTATTTCAATTTTTATTTATTATTTTAGTTTCTTTGGTTTCGATTGAAAAAGAAGTTCCAAAAAGATGAATTCAAAAATTGACAGTCAACTTTTCAAAGAAGATAAGAAATCGTCTTGGAATGAAGAAAATCGAAATACAATCGTCAGGAAAAAAGCAACTGAAGCTTTAATCTATATTGACTTCAAAGAGAAGATGACCAAGTGTTTTCGATTATTCTCCTCTCAATGCTGGATCCAACGTTCGCTTCGTATTAGGTTCAAATTTTGTTTCTTTTATTTCAAATATATTTTTTCCTTTTAAATTCTCAATCGAAAAAAAACAAAATTGTCGATTTTCTTCTTCGTGAAGAAAAAAAAATAGTCAAAATAATAAATTTATTTAATTCTATTTTTTAATGAAAATTGTTTTTGTATTAGTTTTTTTTTAGTTCTTAATTTTTTTTTTTACGAATGTGTGTTTTTTTTTTATTAATTTGTGTTATTTTTGCAGCGTATGGTCCAGATGAGAAGTAATACTGCGAGGTACTTGAGTTTTTCTTTGAGGATTGTGTTTGCCAAAAAAGTATAGAAGAGAAGAAAAAGAAAACGACGAGGAGGATGAAGTATAAAAGGAGTGCTCGTTAGAAATTTGGCCAGCGAAGAGTCGCGTCGAGGTAGATTTAGGAGAATGATGAATATCGTCCGTTTTTCGTGTGCTACAACAGCTAGAGCTTTGGATCAAGAGTGCCAGAACCATCGGGTGGCACATGGAGCTTTCTTCTTTATTCCCTGCGTTAGCGGGAGCTTTTCGCTGATCCTAGAAGTACGAAGAGCTCAAAATCGTCCGGAGGTGGAGTCAACACCCTGGTTCAGAGAGCTCTTTCTCTTTTTCGCACTCCTCTCTCTCTCTCTCTCTCTCTCTCGCTAGCCCTTTTTCTCCTTCAATCTATCTCTCTATATACCATTCGAGCTTTTCTCTATTGCCATCGCATTTTCTCTTTGCTTGCCAACGTATTTTCTCTCTTTCTCGCGCTATCGGACTTTCTCTCTTGCCATTGCACTTTCCCTCCATCCCATAGCATTTCTCTCGGTCTTTTTTTTCTCTCGCTCTCTCTCTCACGGCTGGTGGTAGATACGTATGCACGCTCGCGTAATAGCCTCGTTCCTGGTGTGTGGCGATGGCAGATACGTGGCATCGCGCCACGCCACGCCACTCTGGAGCCACGAGGCTGAGCGTTAAATGGTGCTGCGCCATGCCGCCTCCATCGCCTCACCCTCTGCTCTTCTCTCAAATGTTGGCGTTGCTTCTCTATTCTCTCTCTCTCTCTTTTACCATCCGCCACGCCAGAAGCGCGTGATGAGGCGAACCATGAGCCGAACGAAATATCCCCACGGTTAGATGGTACAGGTCACAGCAAAAAGCTCAGGATTTCAAGCTGAAGCTATATAGTAAAAAAGAAGAGTCTCAAGAATTTTTCAAACTAGGTCGGTCAAGTCTACTGACTGAATAACAATTACTAATCAGTGGATTTTCTTCGACTAATCTCTCTCTCTCTCTCTCTGTATATGTTGAGGTTCTCAGAAAGAATATCCTAGACATGTTCCTCTTCATCATCATCATTTTCTTCTTTCTTCTTTTGCCTCCTCAAAGCAGGTAGATTCTGGACTTTGAATTTCTAAAAACTCCCTTTGTGTATTTCTCTATTTTTTTCGAAAAATATTAATCGCAACTTTTGTATCCTTTTTTTTTGTTTTTTATTTTCAAAAAATACAAAATATTAAAATATTCTACAGTAATTCAGATTCTTATTCTCGACAATCAAGAATTTTGTTAAGAAAATTTAGCCATTTTTTTTTTGTAGAATCGTTTGATAAATTTATTTTCAATATTTAAAATTTTCAAAAAAATTAAAAAATATATTTATTTAAATAGAAAAATATTCTACAGTAATTCAGATTGATCAATTATTGATGAATTTTAATCGAATAATTTAGCCTTGATTTTTTTTTTTTGTAAAATACTTTGATTAATTTATTTTCAATTTTAATAAATATTTTTTAAAAATTGAAAATATATTTTGAAAATAATTATAATAGTAGTATATTTATTGGAAATTTCATTTGAAAATCGTGAATTTGCAATTATTTCATTTTTATAATCAGAAATATGAGACTCAAATTATTTTGAATTTAAATTTGCGAAAAATTTTTGTTTGTTAAAAAATAGAATAATTTCAAATTAATTTTGTATTCAATGAACAAAATAATTAAAATTTCTTATTAAATTTAATAGAAATTAAAATTAGTTTTGAATTAAATAAAAAATAAAATAAAAATAATTAAATTAAATAAAATAATAAATAATAAAGTGCTGTTTTTACTGAAGACTCCAAAATAATCAGATTCATAAAAAAAAAATTTTACATTCATATTTCGTCTTAAATTGTAAAATTCTTATCTTATTATTATCTTTTTTTTTAAATAGTAATATGTTTTCCATATTTTTGTCGTTTATTACAAAATGGTTTTCTCTATGCGATGCATACTCATCAGAGAGCAAAGTGGAAAAATCTGCAGATAGCAGGAAAGAAGATAGATTCCGTTCATAGAGAGAATTTCACGAGAAAAGGACTCTTGAGTTTAGAAAAGCTGAAAATCATGCGATTAATCGTATTTCTCTCGTATATAAATGAGCAAACATTTTTTTTTCAATATTTATATTTTTTTTGGATATATATTTAGAATATATATTAAATTATATCTTTTATAATTATTTCCTTTTATTTTGAAGTTAAAAGTAATATTCAAAATGTCGCGCCAACAATTACTAATGTGTTTTGATTGGTTCCCAAATTTATGCATTATTCATAAGTTGGCAGCACTGATTAGAATAGAAACAAAATGGCTGCCTTTCACCAGTGTCATCAAAATGTCGCTAAAATTTTTCAGATAATCTGTATATTAGACAGTATATCTTGTTAAATATTTGATTCATTAGGTTTACATACGACTTTTGAGTCTCTAGAAATAAAAAGTTTAAGTATATTTCGCAAGCTGTGGCAAAAATAAGGTATTTTTCATTGACGCTACCCGGAGCTCCTGATTTGCAGGTAAATTACATTTATACATATTTTAAAGTGTCTGCATGATAAGTTTTCTTAAAATCGTGCTGCAATTAGATTATTAATTAGAAATTTTTGTAATTTAAAGAAAAAAAATTGATTTTTAATATTAATATTCATTATATGGCAAAGAAATGCTTTGCGCATGCGCAGACTACAAATGCAAGTTTTTCATTTCTCTGGGTGGCAACCCTGCTGAATAATTAAAGATGGTAGATATACTTGTCAATGCACTGTTTGTTGCTAGTGCATCTCGTCAAATTTCTATATAAAAGTGTTTTTATACGAACATCCGACTATATTATATTCGATTAATATAATTCTAATCCGACTTTTTATTGCTTAGGAATCAAAAAATAACTTATTTTTTGTAAGATGTGGCAAAAATAAGGTATTTTCCATTGACGCTACCCGGAGCTCCTGATTTACAGGTAAATTACATTTATTCATATTTTAACGTGTCTATATGATAAATTTTCTTAAAATTATGCTGCAATTGGATAATTTATAATAAATTAACGTAATTTTTTTAAAAAAATTGATTTTTAATATTGATATTCGTTATAAAGCAAAGAATACCTTTGCGCATGCGCAGCATACAAATGCAAGTTTTTCATTTCTCAGGATGGCAGCCCTGATGAATAATTTAATATGACTGCCATACTTGTCAATGAACTGTTTGTTGTTAGTGGATCTCGTCAAATTTTTATTATAATAGTGTTTTTATACAGACATCCAAGAATATATTCGATTTTATATAATTCAGGTAGGACTTTTTATTGTTTAGGAATGAAAAGATGAATTATTTTTCGCAAGATGTGGTAAAAATAAGTGTTTTCCTCAACTCCTGATTTACAGGTACATATTTTACATATTTTAAAGTGTCTACATAATAAGTTTTTTAAAATTATAATGCAATTAATTATAAATATTTATGAATTTGTGTAATTTTTTCAAAAAATTTGATTTTTTAATGTTGAATATTCGTTACAAATTAAGGAATGGGGTTTGCGCATGCGCAGCCTGCAAATGTAAGTTTTTCACTTCTCAGGGTGGCAGCCCTGATGAATAATTAAAGATGGCTTCCATACTTGTCAATGAAATGTTTGTCGTTAGTCTTTCTCGTTAATTTTTTTGTAAAATTGTGTTTATTTACAAACATCCGACAATATATTCGATTTATATAAGTCAGATCGAACTTTTTATTGCTCTGGGAATGAAAAGATAAACTTTTTTTTTTTTTGGAAGATAGTGACGAAAATAAATATTTTACAAATTTCGTCTTTTGAGTTTCTGTCTGCGGTAAATTATTTTTTTTATATATATTTTTATCAATATACTTTTGCATATTTGTTGAGAAATAATAATTTAATAGCAAATCGTGATTATTTTCATATTATTTTTGATTTCGTCAAGAAAAAGAATTAAATATTTTCGTTGAAATTTAGTACTAAAAAAAAGACCAAATCTGCGCATGCGCAATACAACAATCTTCCAAGTGGATGTAATTATTGTGAACAATCGATTGAATTTTCGTTATAATCGTAATTATACGTGAAATATCTGAATATTTCATACGATTTATTTTGTTTTTTAAATAATTAAAACACTTTTTTAATTTAAGTTGAAGTTAATAATGATATTTAATAATTATTTTTGCTACAAATTATAGAGATTGTACATTTTTTTCGCAACAATCGTAATATTTTATTGTTATTTAAAATTTTTATGAAAAATTAATTATTTTCGTGTTAAATTATAAAAAATTAAGTGATTTTTATTGCATACGAGTAATAAAATAATGAATTAGTGTCGTTAGTATAATTCTGAAAAATTGACAAGATTTATAAAAAATTGAAAAAAAAATCAATTTTAACTGAATTTATCGAGTCTATTTTTTTTAAAATTTAAATATCAATTTTAAAATTATATACAAATAATTTATGACTATTGGATAAGAATATTTTTTCTTTTTTTGATTTTCGAATGAATTTTTATTTTAAAAGAGTTATACTAAATTTTATGAATAATTTGCTAAACTCCAAAGTCTAGGAAATCAGAAAAATTAGTGTTCATGTTGACGCCGAGTTATCGAAAACTATAAGACATATTTTCAAAATTTTGATGTTATTCGATTACTTCAGGTTTCAGTCTCGATGCCGCATTTATTTTTGTTAAATTTGGAAATTTAATTTTTTTTATAGCTTTCTATATTACCGACTGATTAAATATTTAACTACATGTTAGTATACAGCGCTGACAGTATCCATACCATACCTATATATATGTATAATGGTGAAAATAATTGAGGTTACACTGAAAATAAAATTTATTTGATTTAAATAAATATTTACTTGAGCCAAATAATTTTTATTTGAATTAAATAAATTGTATTTTAACCAATAATTTTTGTATTTGAAATAAATACCATTTAATTGATTCAAATAATAATTATTTAATAGAAATAAATATTTATTTGATAATAAAGTAATCGATTGTTTGAATCAAATAAATTATTTTTTCAGTGTATGTTTTGATATTATTCCGGTGCAAAATTTCAGTAATTGACAATACTTGTGGTATTTCGTTTCGAAAATTTTTTAAATTTAATTGTTTTGGAAATTATTGTCAGTTTATTCGAATTTAATGTTTAATTACAAAATAAATACTAACAAAATTCTAATAAAATGAATTTTAATTAATTTTCTTTTTTGCAGATTCAACATCGATAGCTTGTGGTGTGTCGTTCTTCAAAAATAAGGTCAAACGTAAAAAAGGGTATCTTATCTTCGAAGGATTCACAGAATTCTGCATATTAATGTGAGTTTAATTTTTTCAAATTTTTCTCTATTATATTTTTTAAAATTAAATTTATAAAAATCTAATTCGAAAAATGAATATTCTTTTTAAAAAAAAATAATTATTAGTATGTAATAGAATTATTTGTAATGGAAATTAATAATTAATTATTAATTATTAATAAACTATTATTCTGACTTTTTATAAAAAAAAATTTCTCAAAATATATGGTCGACAAAATATTTTAGAATTTTTCTGTTGCAAATTCTTTTTATTAGGAATTTTTCTTTTAAATTTTAAATTCTGCCAAAAGTTCGGTATTTAAAAATTTTGTTAAGTAAAAATTGCACTGAGAAAATAATTTATTTGATTCAAATAATCGGTTATTTTATTATCAAATAAATATTTATTTTTATCAAATAATTATTATTTGAGACAATAATTAAATGGTATTTGTTTTAAATACAAAAATTATTGGTTTAAATACAATTTAATTCAAATAAAAATTTTTTGGTTCAAGGAAATATTTATTTGATATAATAGTCAAGTATTTAAATCAAATAAATTTTTTTTCATTGTTTACAGGGTGTCTAACAGTCAGGGAAAGTCAGGCAATTTCAGAAAATTTCATTTAAAGTCAGGGAAATTTCTGTAAATTTCTACAAAAATTAAAATTTTTTGTGAATTTAAAAATTTTTAAATTTAAAAAAACTTGAATGGTTTTTATTACCATTTGTTACTATCATTAGAAATTAATTTATTGTTAAATATGTCAGTAATCATATTTTTGTCCAAAAAAGAGCAGAAATAAGGTTATTAAAAAGTCAGGGAAAAATCAAAAAATGTCAGGGAGGAGTCAGGGAATTTTTTTCTCAATCTTTGTTAGACACCCTGGTTTAAAAGAAAATTCTGTCGAAATTCTAATTCGAAAAATAAATATTCTTAAAAGTAATAATATATATTTTAAAAAATTCTTTTAATTAAAAATTTTAAATAATTAATTTTATGGAATTTATCATACGCCCCATATAAGAGTAATTAATTATTGAGTATAAACGAGGTATATTGATATATAAAATTCCTTCTATTAATGAACTTTTAAAAGAAGACTTTGCCTTGTCCTTTGAGTCATTTGACTTTCTTACGGGTTATATGAAGAGTACGGATTTAAAAATTGATTTTCTAGTAACCTAGTATTGGAAAAGATATACGGGTCTTCTTTTTCTAAAACCGATCGGAAGCAAAAGTAGCAGGAAAAGTCGATATATCGATGCGTTAAGTTTAAAAGAGAGATATATAGAAAGAAAGAGGATCCGAATTTGCAGTGCGCGGATATCCTTCTCCGGTGCTGCTCTTGTGCGGTGATAGAAAAGAAAAAAAATTTTTTTTTGAGAGAACGGGAAAGAACAGGAAAAAAAAGAAGAAGAAAAAAAAAAAAAAAAAAGGAATAGTTGCTGGGTACTCGACGCGGGTCTCGTGCCATCTACAGCGCACGGAGGTTCGCTTGCTTATTACGCGGCGAGCGAGCCTGTCATCCGTTGTGAAGCGAACTTTAAAAGTACTGTCCTCTTGACAAGAGTCAGGTCACGTTTTTAGCGATCTTTCCATATTATCCAATTCGAAATTCACGAATTCACCATGAATATATGCACTGGCACAGGCTGTGTGCAAATCAGAGGTTCGAATTTCTAGAAATACTCCTTTCGAATAGGAACGAATTTGACGAGTACGAGTCAGTAGTTTTCCAACTAGAGAGAGAGAGAGAGAGAGAGAGAGAGAGAGAGAGCAGAATATTGGGGATACTTAAACGCGGCGTGTGGAGTGGCGGCCAGAGACGAGTATAGAAGCGGAAAAGAGCGTGGAATGGGGTTGCCACCGTGTATGTGTGGATGTTGATGTGGAAGTGGTAGCGCGGGTGGAAAAGAGCCCCGGAGGCAGCAGGACAGAAGCCAGCCTCTGCCTCACGAGTACCACTTCTATATCCAACATAACGGGTGTACTATGAAAAATTCCATTTTTTCATTCCCCCCACTTTTCTTTCTAAATATAGTGTTAGGAAATTTTTTGATTTTTAGAGCTAGAATTTTCATTTTAAAGTATTTTATTGAATAATTTTTTTTTTTGAAATGAATTTTTCTTTTTCGAAAAACAAAATTTTATACGAATTTTTATTTTAAAAAAATTTTTAGATACCAAATTTTTGTTTAGCAGAATTTTTATTTTATAGTCATTTAATTGAATTCAATTTTTATTTAATCGAATTTTAATTTAACAGAATTCTCATCGAATTTTATCTGACATTCCAATTCACCGAATTTTAATTTGTCCGAATTTTTATTTGCACAAATTTTTAAAACGGCAAATTTTAATTTGTCCAAAATTACAAATGGCCAAAGAAACAATCGACAAAAAGATTTTGATATGATTTTTAAAATTAATCATTTTTAAATTATCGCGAATATCGTGATTGGTCAATTCTAAAAAATGTACCGAACTCTTTTTGTCGATTATTGTTTATTCAGCCATTTGTAGTTTAGAACGAATAAAAATTTCTCGCCTTGAAAATTCGTTTTAAAAATAATTATTTCTAATAAAATACTTTAAATTAAAAATTCTAATTAATGAATTTCATTTTAAACAATACTATTTTATAACTATTTTATTGATGAAATTTTTATTTTTTGAATTGGCATTTGAGAAGATTTGTGTTATAAAGCGAATTTTTACTTAACAAAATTTTAAAGTAGCAAAATTTTTATTTGGTAGAATTCTTATTTTACAGAATTTCTCTTTAAACAACTTTTTATGTTAAAGGAATTCTAATTTAACCGAATTCTTATTTAATTGAATTTTAAGTACTTCGAATTTTTAAATGCTAGAATTTCTAATTCACCGATTCTTAATTTGTCAAAATTTTTATTGGTACGAATAATTGTTATTTGATAAAATTCTTAAAATGCCGAATTTCTCAATTTATCATAAATTGTAAGTGGCCAAACAAATAATCGACAGAAAGATTTTGGCGCTGTTTTTAAAATTTACCAATTACGATTTTCTTGTTAATTTCTGATTCGGTGAATTTTAAAAATCGAACCGAAATCTTTCTGTTGCTTGTTTATTTGTCCATATAAAATTTCGGAAAAAAATTAGTTGTTTTAAAAATTATATCAAAAATAAGAATTCGTGTAAATAAAAATTGGAACAAATGAAAATTCGGTGAATTAGAAATTTTTATATTTAAAAATTCGTATTACTTAAAATTCTGTTGAATGAAAATTCTTCTAAATTCGGTTAAATTAGAATTCTTTTAAATAAATAAAGTTGGGTAAAAAGAAATGAGGTGAAATAAAAATTCTGCCAAAAGTTCGGTAAAAATTTTGTTAAGTAAAAATTCGTTTAAAAAGAATAAGTTCTGTCAAATTCTAATTCGTAAAATGAAAATTCGTCTTAACAATAATTATAACTAATTCTTAAATTGAAAATTCTAATAATTTTTTTATATGGAGTAATCACGCGCCCCATTAAAATTCCATTTTTTGATTCAATAACGAATTTAGAACTAAATTATTTAAAATTTTAACTTCTGATAACCATTGTGAGTATAAATATTTGAAAATTATTTCCTTGGATATGTGTGTAATCGCGAGAGAAACAGAGAGAGAGAGAGAGAGAGAGAGAAAGGAAGAGGATGAAATAAAGTCCAAAGTGAGATGTAGAATGATGACGAGAGGAAAGGGGTAAAAAGGGATAGGAGCAACGGGCTTGACATCCGTATCCGTTTGTATGTCGTGTCGATCTAACGTAGAGACAGGTTCTGGTGCGGGATTTCTGGCTTGCTTAAATCGTGAAGAGGGTGGATGAGAGGGTGATTCGACGGACGAGGGTTTGAGGGTGGAGGAGATGGTTTGAAGCAGCAACCGAGTTGAAAGCAAGGCCAAGAGCTGAGGGCAAGCGGAAGGACTGTGGTGGTGCTTGCAAGAGGGTTTTGAGTCTGTGTGTGGGTGGAGGCGAATATAGCAAAAGCTTCGGTGGCTCCGTGTCGAGTTCGATGATATCCGAAGTCTCGAAAGGATGGTTCCCGACTCTTTCCTCTCTCTCTCTCTCTCTCTCTCTCTCTCTGAGTATAAGCAACGATATATATGCTGATATCTATGCCTTCGAATCCAGATCGATGGTTACTGGCAAGAGCGATGTTTTTCAAAAAAGGAAAAAAAAAATATCCTCATTTTGGAATACAATATTTTTTCCAATATCTGTTTTTACTTGAAAAACATTTTTTTTTAAAGTAAAGATCCAAATCTTCATAAAATTGCATTTTGTTAAATATTCTATTTTATAACATATTTTAATTATTTATTTAATAGCTATGTAGTAATTTAGGTTAGTTTCATATTTTTTCTTATTAAAGTTAGACTGAAAAAGAAATCCTTGTCGTTTTAAAAAAAGAAAAAAATTCCCAAGACATTTACTTTGATGTCTTGACTTTTAGAAAATATCGTATATTTTTGAGGCGAGTTAATCTTAGATGCGGGCGAGGAAGAATTTCTCTCTTGCCCTGAGATTAGTCCCAGGGGCCAGACCTCAAGTACCTCTGATCCTTGTCATTACCCTTAGCAACGTCAGTCTGTGGTGTATTATCCTCCATATATATAGAAGTCCCCAACATTTGTGAACTTATACTTTTCTTTATTTCATTTATATGAAACCAATTTTAGTAATTGTAATTTATCAAACTTTTTCTAAATTCTGTCACAAAAACCTTGTTTCATAGAGAGAAGGTTTTTTTTTTAAATTTTAATTGCAGTGCTAACTTTTAGGACATTTCAATATTTTGAAAAAAATTGAAATCTTTAGGAAATGTAGATTAACTATCTTCATTAAGATGAAGAAAGTTTCGTAAATATATATATATATATATATGGAAAGAAATATATTAAAGCAGAAAACCCCTAATGTGTATATCATATATATATATATCTTCCTATATTACAAAAAGATATCGCCGCCGCCGCCTCCGCCGC